TGTATCGCAGTCTGGTACATCGTTGACCACCATCACGACTTTCCCACAGCCAGTGCAAACTGAATACACCACCACCTGGACTACCACCAAGTCAGACGGATCAATTGAGACCGACTCTGGTATTGTATCGCAGTCTGGTACATCGTTGACAACCATCACGACTTTCCCACAGCCAGTGCAAACTGAATACACCACCACCTGGACTACCACCAAGTCAGACGGATCTGTTGAAACCGACTCTGGTATTGTATCGCAGTCTGGTGGTTCATTGACTACTGTTAGTACTTATGTTCCGGTGTTATCACCTCTGTCTTTCACGAGGTGGACTAATTCTAGTTTGGCAACTTCCTGCAGTTCAGTGTCTATCGGTGCCACTGGGATAATTCGTACAACCTCTGATATTTCAGAGTCGTTGATTCTGTCAGAGACGCTAGTGCCATCTGGTTCATCTTATCCGTCTTATCCTGGTTCGGAAGCCCACCCTATTGGTGTGTACAGTCAAAGCACTCACCCTATTGAGGAGCTAACTGGTTCAGAAAGTACGGGTAGCGAATTAACGAGTGTGACCGGCGTTTTAACTATTGAAACAGAATCATCAGCTCCGCAGGTTTCTGTCGAGTCTTCGTTGGTAACTACTCCACTCACAACTTCAAATGAAATACAATCGCAAGGAACAGAAGCTACCCCAAATGCCGATTCACTGTCTAATGTTTTCGAGGTGGCAGAGTCATCTGCAGCTGTTGAACCCACAAACACCCAAGAAGTTGCTTCGAGCCAACCTGGGTTGGAACAACAAAGTTCAAGTTATACAGACAGTGTGACTACGTTGACAAATCCTACGAGCGGCTCAGTTCCATCGGCTGCCGTTATTAATACTTATGAAGGTGCTGGTTCAAGAACCAAATTTACCTCACTGATGGGTGTTTTCGTTGCTTTTGTTTATTTCTTATTCTAAGTTTTCTGGGTAAAGAAGCCCTATAGACCTGACTTTACTTTCTGTATGTGCGATCAGGATTCACGAGTTCTATTTTGTGTGACTATCAAAGTTAAATTAAGATTTCTATTGATGGATCGTATTTGTTTATGTTTATTTCGATTTTATCTATATTAGTGTTTATTTTGATTGTGAAGATTTGTTTTGAAGAATTGTTGATCAATGTAGATTTAGATGGTTATTAAAATAAGCTTAATCGAATGCCATGGTCTATTATTTCACATATAAGCGTGTTTGTTTTCTTAAAAAAGTTGCCGGTACTGGCCAGGCTGGAGTAGATGGCCCCAAGCACTTACTTTACTCCCTAGTCAATATACAGCACCAAGTTTTTCATATCATTACTTCCAAATTGATCACCGGCAAACCCCAACTTGATCCAATCTTCCTTGCAATATTTATAAACGACTGGTGGTGACTTGTATCGATTCATTAGGTTACAAATAGCATCATAGCTCACTGCGGAGAAGAAATGGTCAATAAACTCGCGACCAAACCGAGCTTTAGCAACCTCGCATTCGTGCATGATCCACTTTAGTAAATTCTGGCTCGACTTTCTATCAAAGGGACAAACAGTTATTGGTAGATGAATATCAAAATCTTTAGCTTTTGATAGTTTTATTTTTAAAATAATCTCAAATTTTATCGAGTAAAACTTACCCGGTGCTGTAAAACTCTGAAGATGAGTGATAGGTACTCCTTCAGACAAGCTATCAATAGCCTTGTGGGTTGCGATATTTGCCGATTCAATAATTGTCGTACCATTGTCCTCGGTAACTTCGTTTTCAATGATGTAAGGTGTTGGATCATGATACATTTCCAAATTGTCATTAAGTTTGGGAAATTTTGTGCTGAAGCTTTCGATTTCCCCCTGAGTATTTAGTTCCTTGTTTAATTGCAAGGTTTTTGTATATAGCTTGTTTTCCTTTTTGGGAGGTAGTCCGCCATCGTAGCACTCTAGATACTCCTTTACTTGGAAAGTGACTTGCTTTGCTGCCAAATGCTTCTTTACTTTGTTATTCGCTGAGTTGGTCATTAATTTGCAATGTAGGTCTAAGTGGTCACCGGGACCAATAGAGGTTACTGGCACGGTTACTTCCGCCAACACTTGATTATCGGGCGACTTCTGTAATTCCACCACAGGCTCGTTGAATTGTCGGTATAGCGGTAATGTATCATACGTTTTGATAACAATGGGAAAAGTATCAATGAATGATGATTCGACGCCGCTGTTCTCCCCAGTAACCACCTTGACAGCAAGATAGTGCGTTGTAGAAACTCCAAGCGTGGGCAGGTACCCCGTGGGCATTATGTCTTTGGGAACAGGTATCATGATAGGCAAGTCTATTCCCAATACGTGCTGTGAAAAGCCATTTACTGGCTTAAATGCCAATGGATCCTCAAATATCTTGAATTCTTTAAATGCTTCTGTACTACCAAGTTTGGCCGGCACAATCACTTTCTGACGTGTGATCAACACAATCGAAATTGATCTTATCAAAAATGATGAACCATTGGTTGTTCTAATATGTATGATTGTCTCAATCCGTGGTATACTGCGTGGGATTCCTGCACATCCAAACACGATTGTCGACGCTGTAGGTTCTAGGAAAATCGTAAGTGGGTATTCCTGCTTTTGGACACCAGATGATGAGCCTTGAAAACGCATTTAGTTGGCTTTATTAAAATTAGTTTTGATGTAGTCGTGGTATAGTAGTGTTGTTCCGCTGACGAGAAAGTGACACAAGCAGCTTAGAGATAATGTTTTAAACAATCAGAACGCGTTTTACACTTTTTTAAGTTTCACACGAATACTAACAACTTACCTATAATACACATACTTTTCTACACAACGCCTGGAAATATTGCCCATTTCAAATTGAATTCCTCTTTATACTTTGCTTGGTAGTATTGATATGTTTGAATAGCAGATACCGACAAGTTGGTAACAACAAATACCCATCCTGATATAAACATGATGGATGTTAAAGTGATGCCGTTTTTAGTACTGAATATCATAATTACGGTGTAGATGAGGACTTCATACAGGTAATGTGGGGATGCCACTAACCCGAATTTAGGAAGCGAGTACTTTACCAAATGTGCTAGGTGGTAATGAGCTCTAAATTGTTGTAATGAGGCAACTCCAAAAATAGCAATGAGAATGTAGTCGACTATGGTCAAAGCGGCACTTCCTGAACAGTTACCCGATAAGCCCAAGTAAGTTGCCAACGCAATCAACACATAGTGAGATATACCAACAAGGTAGTGAGTCATGTTCATGTAGGAAGTAGGTGAAAACTTGGTAACAGCAAAACTCTCAAAGGTTCTTCTTGCCCCTTGCAAGATGAGTAATTTATTAATAATCAATAAATTTTTGTAGGTGGCTTCATCAGATTGACCTACGATAGTTTCATGACAAGCCTTGAAGTAAGTGGCAGTAGACAAGGTAAACAAGCAAATGTAAAAATGGGTAAACCACAGTTTACGCACTACAGCGTATTTGGCTATAATCTCAATTACTTCTGAAGGCGGACTGTTACCGTCATCACCAGTGGATGCCGTCTTACCATAGTTTAGCAATTTTCTCAAAGGTCGAACACATTTAACAAGCAAAACACCCGACGTTAAAGCAAAGTATACTAGCGAGACAAGGATTTGTAGATCGTAAGTTGTAATATTCATGTTATGGTGTAAAAAGGTGAGAAAAACGTATGCGGGAAAAAAAATAAATTTGATCTTTGCCAACCCAAAGATCACTACTCTCTAAAAGATAAATGGAAAGTTATACTTGAACACAAGCAATGTCTCATCCACCAGAGTATGCCCCAACGGCATCAACTTCATTCACAATTTCCTCAAAATCAGCCAAATTTAACCAAGAGATAACCCGATCGTCATTGCTCAAGTCACAATCAAACAAAGCAATATACAATTCACTAGCCGAAATAAGCTCGATCCTCCTTTCAGTGGAAATGTTGGAGAACTCGTTTGTCAAAGATTACATCACTGATAAAGAAAAATATACCTCGACTACATATAGACTAATATACCAATACCAAATTATAATCAAGGGCTTTGACAAGTCAAAATTGTCAGTATTAAGGGAATTATTACCAGAATTAACTCCCGACTTGTCCAATTTCCTACCCCAGTTCACAGCCAAATTCAATTTAAACTGCCCACAAGCGGTAAATAGATTGCAAAGTGGTGTACCTTCAACGATAGACCACGTTACCGACACAACAGGAACAAGTGGCAATAGTAGGGCCAATGCTCGACTAATTGCTGAGATTACGGGCAATTTTATCACGTGTATGGATGCTGTCAAGCTAAATTACAAGACTAGAGATCAATTGCATCCGTTATTGAGTGATTTGGTAGTCAATTTGAATGAGTTTAATGAAAGTATTGAGTTTAATGGCAAGTCGAAATTGATAAACTGGCTCATCAAGATTAACAATTTGGAAAAGGAACTTTCACAAGAGGATTCGGATTCATTTTTAAATGATTTAGATATTGCTTATAAAGGGTTTTATACATCCTTAGAAAGTCATTAGTTCAGTGTGTATTATTTGGTATTTTTTTTTTCTTTTTTTCATCTATATAATTGATTCAATTTGTTCAGCATAACCCAATACATTCTTAATAATTGATTCGTTATCCACAGTCTCTTCATTTTCAACCTTGGTGAAATAAATGACCCCCTTGTCGAATTTCCAATTTGTCAAGTCCAATGAGTCTTTTAATGTTTGTTCAAACGTTGCATCACTCAATTCTTGCGGCAAGTATAACAAACTTTTACAATTGGAAATTGGAATTGAATCATACGTCTTTTCCAAACTTTTTGCAATTTCAAACCTCAATGCATTGATTAAAGTTTCAGCAAAGTGGGTAAACTCTTTACAAGGTAAAGTTTTTTCCTCTTTTAACAAGTTCCAAATTTTTATGTAATTTCCTTCCATCAAATTTCTTTCTAAATCGATTGGAAAACTCAAGTATTTGTCGTGTTCCACATCGTACTGCTTTGAATTGTAAATCATTTCCAATTCAACATTGAATTTTGAAATAGATCCCTGACTTAAAAGATACAACAAGAACAAAGATATAATTTTGGTGCTGTCAGTATTGATGTGCGGCTTGTTTAAATTGTGAATATTGCCATTGGTATAAAATGGCTTCAATTGAGCAAAGTAGCTTTCAAAGCCAGAGTAGTTGTTTGTGAGCAATGATGATAATGCCCCTATTTCTAATATCCTTTGGGCTATTTTGAGGTCGTTGATTTGGTCCTCGGTTTGGGTGTTTGAGCTTAATGGCACCAACAAGTTGTGTTTGATCAATTCAATTTTGATGGGTGCTAAAAGTTGTTGACATTTTTGATAGTCCAGTTTATCATAGACACTGTATATTTCAGCAGTAAGCTTTTGTAGTGACATTGGAAATGGAGGAGGAGAGTTGGCTGTGGATTTGGGTGTATAACTTCAGTGGCGAAGAAAGTTCTTGTTGACAGTGATTGCCACCAAAATTCAAGAGAATTGAGAAAACGAGAAAGAAAGAACTGCTTTAGGTCGTGTAACACAAACACAACAAAATACAATACAATACAAAAAAAAATTTCACATCTCTTTCACATCTCTTTCACATCTCTCTGTGTATGTGTGTGTGTAAACTGACTTGCAAACTAAACATCAAATTCAATATATATAACTACATCACTTGGAAAGGGGTCAGATAAATAGTATAAACACCATGAAATTCTTAACCACAAACTTTGTACAATGTGCAGTTAAAAGCTGCCAATCATCATCAGACTCATTCCCCCTAAAATATGAAGAATGCCAATTGGTTCAAGAAGAGCAAGAGTTTAAACCTGAATTCATAGTGCATATGTTGGATAAACTTGATTGGAATGCAGTAATATCGGTGGCTAGAGATTTGGGAAATGACGCATTACCACAGACCAAACCTGAAGGGTTAGATCCTATAATGGAAGATGATCAAGTCGTATTAAGGGATCTACATAGTTTATTGGTTGAGACCCAGTTGATTGAAGGGAAAATGGTTTGCAAAAATTGTCACCATATCTACTACATTAAGAACTCAATACCAAACTTTCTTTTACCGCCGCATCTTGCCAACTAAAGTTGGTTGTTAAGTGTGACATGAGCGACAGAAAGGTATACCGTGGGTCGATGGGCTACAGTGTACCAGCACTATTGTGCTGCAATGGAGTAGTTTGACTCACATTGGGATGGACTGGATACTAGCCTGGAACTCAGTTTTGATTCATTTTTGAGTATGTTTCTGTAAACAGAGTTGAACTATGGGGGTGTGGCCCGGTAGAGGAGAAAGCTCATTGCCGCTTGAATGACATGGAGTATAAATACGTAGATTAGTTTTAGGAAATACTGCATTTAGTCCATTTGGTACTGTAAAATTATCAATGACTTTAGAAGAAGTAAAACCATTCTATATATATACATTCCATCATCAATCGTACATTCCCACTCTATTTATCTTATAACTTTAATTTAATGAGCAAATTACACGACCCAAGGCTTTTGACAAACATACCACAAAGTTTTTGTTTACATTATTAGAAACTAACTACTAACTAACTATATATAACTATATATGATATATGTACAATGTAACACCACATTGACTAGCAATCAAAAATAGAATAGAAGAAACAATTCAAATGAATACAGGTTTTACTGAGCTTTTATTGTTCAACTGCAAATAAGAACTGTAGTCTGCGTAATATACAACTGACACTATTTAGCTATCTTGACTTGCCACAAACATTGATTTCCTTTGCTTTCTGTTTTCCTCTCTACTCTCTCTACTCTCTTTTCACTCTTTTCTTTTTTGTATGTTTTGCTCTATTTCTTTTTTTTCTTTGTTTTTTATTTGGAGTTGCATTTTACATTACAACAACATTCGCCCTGAATAAAAGTAAATTTTCGGACTGAAATTAGAAAGGAGCATTGACATTCAACTTGCAATTTGCAGCCCATAAAAGTTGTAAAAGGACAACTAGACTATAGGTTGTGCTATATACTTCAACAAACACACTCACTTTTCATCCAACTAGATCTTTTTAAGGGTTGCAGTTTAGGATTATGGTTGTTTTAAACCCTTTTCAAAACACTACCACCACAACTACCACCACCGCCGCCGCCAACAACAACAATGACAATGACAAGTCAGATCCTACCATATCAAAGGATAACAACAGTAGCCCCGCACGTACCAACTCATCTTTAACATTGGAGCTGGATAAGGACTCAAACAAAAATAGTCCTGAATTGCGCCCAATGTCACGTAATCGAACTAGATCGATATCAATAAGTCGATTCTTTTTCAACAAGGACCACGATTCACCCGGCACATCTATTGGTAACGTGCCGGTAAACTCCTCGGAAAACAGCTCTTCAAAATCAACTGCATCAGGGGCACCTTCAGATCAAGGAAGCAACAACAATGGAATGAATAAATTGAAAAACATATTTCGTTTCCCCTCCAATTCAGTGTCGTCATCAGAGGAGAAAGCACAAGGACGGAGGCAGCGGTCGCTATCGTCTCCTTTTCGACAAAGCAGTAAAGAAAACAAACACAAGAAATCAACTAGTATCAACCATTCGAATAACGCAACACCCAAAGTACCAGAAATTGTCACTGTTGATGTACCAGAATCGCATGATTTGGCTGAATCGGCAAGTCCCGTGGTGCAATCAAATCCGTACTTTCAACATCAGGGGCTTCCTCCGCATTTAACCGTATCTACCCCACAGCAACCAAACTTGCTAACAACAACAAATAAGTCTGACCTTTCAGTTTCATTAAGGCATAATGACTCCATTTACTCATTGAATGAACACGAGGTGTTGCAGCCACCACCCAAGATACATTACAGTCAATCGTTTTCCGGTGATGATGAGTCAGATGATGATATCACCAATGCTCAAAAAGGTGCCGACCATTCAACATACCTTGAGCCACCAAGAAAAGAATCTCTTGCAATGAAACAAGTTGACGAAGAACCAGCACTCACGCCACCTCCATCGCCATTCCAAAGGGCCCTTAGACGTGTTGCGTCGGCGCCGCTAGTGCACAAATTGATGAATGATAAATCAGGTGATGTGTCGTCGCCACCGTCACCAATTATCAGAAAAGAAGAAGAGCCGTTTGATATAAGTAAACATATTGGGGAGGTGACAATCACCGGTCGCCCTCGTACTTTAACCCAGGACCGGACGTACTCGCATGCAGCTACTCGCGTAGTTGATGTGCAAGTGGGACCTAATAGTTTTGAGAAAATTAGACTTTTGGGAAAAGGAGACGTGGGGAAAGTTTACCTTGTGCGTGAACTACAATCGAATAGGCTCTACGCAATGAAGATTCTCAGCAAAAAGGAAATGATTGAACGAAACAAGATCAAACGGGCATTGGTGGAGCAAGAAATTTTGGCCACTTCAAACCATCCATTTATTGTCACGTTGTACCATTCGTTCCAATCAAGAAGCTTTCTTTATCTATGCATGGAATATTGTATGGGGGGAGAGTTTTTCCGGGCGTTGCAAACAAGAGAATCGAAAACCATTTCTGAAAATGACGCCAAGTTTTATGCCGCTGAAGTGACAGCCGCACTTGAGTATCTCCATTTAATGGGATTCATTTACCGCGATTTGAAGCCGGAGAATATCTTGTTGCATCAATCAGGACACATTATGTTGAGTGATTTTGATTTATCTAAACGCAGTGAACGCGCCAAGAACCCGGAGATTGCCTTTAACAAGAATGGGCTATCTTTATCATCACCAAGTACGTATTCACCCCACCATGGCCCAACATTGGACACAAAGGCATGCATTGATGGGTTTAGAACCAATTCGTTTGTTGGTACTGAGGAGTATATTGCACCTGAAGTTATACGTGGTAAGGGTCACACCAGTGCCGTTGATTGGTGGACGTTGGGAATCTTTATATATGAGATGTTGTATGGAACTACCCCATTCAAGGGCCATGATCGCAAAAAGACATTTGCCAATGTGCTCAAACGTGATGTCAAGTTTGATGTTGCATCGCAGCAGCCAGTTTCATCAAATTGCAAAACTTTGATAAAGAAGTTGTTGATCAAAGAAGAAGATAAACGGTTGGGCTCAAGAACGGGTGCGTCGGAGATTAAGAATCATGCATTTTTCAAAAACACGCAATGGGCATTATTGCGACATCAAAAACCCCCCATGATCCCTGTGTTGACCAAGTCGAAAAAGCATCGTGATCATAAGGATGCAAAAAGTGGCAACGGCAATGGTGCAGGTGAAGGCGGTGGGCTAATCAAGGACGATAGTGTGGGTGGTGGTGGTAGCGGTGGCGATGCAGCAGCCTCAGATGGCAATAATGAAACGGCGCTGGGAGTAGCACACGATCCTAATGATCCATTTGCAAAGTTCAACTCAGTAACGTTGCGGTATGGCGGTGATATATTTGATTGTGATGAGTTTAATCCGGATATAGTCAATGGCCTTGATCTTGACTCATCAGTGGTCTACAACCCGGAAAAAACGACAGCATACACTAGCGTTGCATATACGATGACGTCGCCCGATAACGGAGGAGCGACAAAAAGAGGATTCTTACGTAGGTAAGATTCTTCATCTCCTTTGACCGGAACTGTGAGTATGGGGGTAGAGAGAAGAGATGATTTGACATTGAAAAGAGAAAAGCAAAAGGTATTAAGTTTTGAGATTTGATTAAAAATGGCATTTATTTTTTGTATAACGTTTATTATTTTAGATATTGAGTATTTTTTTTTTAAACTGTACATTGGAAGGAATGTAGAAACGACACATAACAACCACTTTGAGTTTCATTTGCACTATTATTTCCCTACCCTTTTTTTGACTTGTTTGCCTGATTAATAATTTCTTTTTAGGCAGAAGAAGTGGCTGGCCCAACGGAACAGAGCAAGGCTGTGTGTATGGTAGTTAGTTCACCTGGCTGTGTCTAAGGTTTCGTTATTGTTTTCTCCTTGTCTGTGTTACTTGTTTTTGTTTTTCTTTTCCAATTTATTTCAAAAAGGGAAAGTGTGTACCTTAACTATAGAAACAATAAAAAAGGACTCACAAAGGCTACAATGCCTTCATATTATTTCCCCCAAAAGAGAGTAACTTCGGCAAATTTTGTGCTTGCAAGCACACTGCCTCATAGTCATTGCACCCCTGTGTGTAAGTTATTTTTGTTCTTCTTGGCTGAGCTTACTGGGAAAACAAAACAGAACACAAAGATGTTAAAAATAGATCAAAAATTCGGAAAATCGAAATCTAGGCACATCCTGCATTTAGCGAAGTATCACAAACCCGCAGACCCGGCAGAAGAAAAAAAATTTTTTTTTTTTTTCTTTCTCTCTCTTTTTCTCTCCTTTCGAGCTTAGTATTAACCAGCCGCAGCAAAGTTAACTGATTGCCTAATTGGGAGATGTCATTTGCCATTTTGAATAAATCTCACCAAACCATCACGACGACCTAACTGATTCTTCTTGAAACTACATTCTACTGTTACGCAAGATTGATCTCTCTTATAAAATCTAAGACTTTTTTTATTTTAACTCTTAAATAGCTATATATGCAAATTATTACCGAAAAAAATAATGACGTAAAAATTGAAAACCAGTTGTTTTTTTTTAAAAAAAATCCCCCCGAAAGAAAAACCTAAATAGCTTATGACCCTCTCGCCATCTTTCCAAACCCCATGTTGACTCTTTTAACAATCGACAAAGTCAACGATCTTCAATTTGACAGCGTTACATTGGGCGGCAACATTTTCATCATACAAGTTGTAGAAATCACCACTCAAACATTGGTAAAACACCTTTGAGTCACCCAAAGTCAAGTAACCATCGTTGGAGATCGACCATCCGGCAGCGTAGATTGAACCGGATTGTGGTGGTGGACCGTCAAATTGGAATTGTCTGTTAGCAACAATAGCACCAATTCTTCCTTTTGAGTCGGTCAAGACACTGTCTTCCAATGTCATAACGAGGTTGTTTGATGATGAGCAAGCTTGTAAGATGGATGAGTCGGAGCTGGAGTCAGTAGAAACACCAGATTCTTGTGCTTGACCATCGGATGCAGTGGTAGCAGCAGCTTTTGATTCAGCAGCAACAGTTGAGTTTTGGTGTTGGATTTGACCATCAGAAATTTGTGCAGCAGCTGAAGCAGTTGCCGTAGTTGAAGTTTGGTGTTGGATTTGACCATCAGTGATTTGATTTACAACTGAAGCAGTTGAAGCAGCTGAAGTTTGATGTTGGATTTGACCATCAGTAATTTGATTTACAACCGAGGCAGTAGTTTGGTGTTGGATTTGACCATCAGTGATTTGATTTACAACTGAAGCAGTTGAAGCAGTTGAAGTTTGATGTTGGATTTGACCATCAGTAATTTGATTTACAACTGAGGCAGTAGTTTGATGTTGAATTTGACCATCAGTGATTTGAGCAACTGGAGTAGCGGTAGCACTGGTTTGGTGTTGGATTTGACCATCAGTAATTTGAGCAACTGGAGCAACTGATGATTTTGAGGTTGGTAAGATTGAGTATGAGCCAGATCTAACATTTGGTTGACCATCTGACAATGCACTTACAACATCTCTTCTTTTAAGGGTAGCAGAAGCGGTTTCCAATTTGCTACTGAGATTATCTGCTGAATCGGTTGATAAAGCAGAAGCAGCCTCAACAGTTTCTATTTGAATACCAAAACTAGATGTGTAATCGGTAGTGGCATCTGATGGAATTGATGCTGTTGGGGTCAAACTAGTCCATGGCGCCGATGGAACAGTAGCAGACAAAACTGTAGTCAAGAATGTAGCAGATGCAGCGATTGTAGTATACTTCATTTTGTGTGTGTGTATGTGTATGAATATTATTTAGTATGTGTCTGCCAAGTAAAATGTATGCTGATGTAAGGTTTTTGACAGAAGATCTGATTGATTGATGAAGAAAAGTAAAAGAAAGGGGTTGAGTGAAGAAAAAGAGGAATTCGATGCCTATTTATATTAATTTTGGATTAGTAGTTGCTCCTAATGGAGTGTATACTATATAGTTATTGTATAGTATGGTAAATGTTAAATTGCATCATCATCAAATCAAAATCAGAAAATTATAACCTCACTACTAATCTCTTTTGCCAAATGAAACAAAATCAAATAAACAATAGAAAAATATAAAAATATTTTATTTTATATTTTTACCACAAGGTGCATATAATGCACGTTATGCTAAATTTTTACAACAAGCATAAAGTAAACAAACAGATAACTTACCAGTACTGCTTCTGCTACGAAGTTGGCATTTCTCACAAGATAATGTCTTCAGTTATCATACACCTACATTGTCAATTGATTTCACCCCTTGTGGTTGTAAGAGATGGTATGTGTAGCCTGTATCTGGTGTGTCTGCGTGGACAAAAACTGAAAAAAAAATTTAGAAAACTTAAAAACAATAAAGCAAAAAGCATTGCCTCTCTAACATTTTAGTATACAGTATACAGTAATAGTTTGTTTTACTTGCTTCCTTTGTGTATGTCAAGGGTTAAACTATGGTTGTGCTTGTTTGTTTGTTTATGATTTGGCTGTAAAGAATCAAAATTCAACCAGCTAGGGAAAGATAGTGAAAGCACACAAATTTTTAGAAGCAAAAACAACAAAATAAAGACAGGTACGCAATACGATCCTTGTGTTGTGTTCTCTCTGATTCATAAACAAAAGCATAGCCTACCTCCTGACTGTGCCTCCAATAGATCCATCTAAGATCGCAATCTCATTGTGATCCGTGCTGGCTGGTTGTGTATTTACCTTGCTTCTTTGCTACTCAATTGATCCGTGCTGGCTGATTTTTTTTTTTGAGGTGTAGTTTGATAATAAATGCGTGATCTGTGCTGGCTGTTTTTTTTTCTGTTCTCCTGTTGAACTGACGCAATTAGCCACAAAGACAAGAAAATGTTAAGGTTTTACTAAGTAGTGCATTATGTACAAAAAAGAAATAAATAAACAAACAAACAATTTTTCAATATGCAAGTCATTAATACGCCGAAAGGGGGAAGTTTATTAAACAACAAATGAGAACGAATAAAAAAAAGGAGAGAGAATAGAAGGTCATTGGTCAAGAATGTACTCCCTCTGAAACTCATAGGCATACATTTATTCCCTTTGTTTGAATGTTCCAATGTGGTTTCCATCTGCCAAGTGCAAATTGGTAAAATAATCTTTCATGTTGCACTTGAATTGAGAAATTCTATTCTATTTCTACTATGACATCACAACCGTTTTGATCTCATCATCATCACAACCCTTCGTTTTATTTTTTTTTCTCTTGCAAAATTAAAACTATAGTATATGTATGATATCCCCCCTTTTAAAAGCCTAATCTTCTACTAAATCTCATTTATCAACAGCAAATGGTAAAAATAGTAAATATATAGAAGTTAAAAATAGAAACAACACAATCTTTCCTTCCCGTTCCATTTTATCAATTAACACCACAGTTGAACTTCCATTGTGTCTAAATGTATTATACTGTATGGATGACAAACTTACTGCCAGCCATGTTTTAGTTTTTCAATTGTTAGGCTCTTCTTCCTATTGTCTTTTTCTTGTTTTTTTCTTCTTTTAAATCCCCTCAACCCCCAAAAAAAGACACACAAAATTTCATCCAACGATACATTACCACCAATAGAACAACTTATGATGTCACCAGACACAGCGAACGCTGACTTGATCATCACTTATCTTCCATCATCATCACATTCAAAACCACCACCTGTTCCACTGGCCAACAATCAAATATTACTAGCAATAAAACACTTATTCAACACATCACGAGAAAACAACACATGCACCCCTTTCACTTGGATAAGAGCAAAGCATCTAATAGATTACGATAATATTCTTCTGAATCTCTGCCCTTTCTTTCCGGCAATAACGGTTCTTAAAATGGTACAGCAACCATCACGATACGACTGCATTACGTGACTAAGCAAAAGTTATTTCGACCACTTGACTCCCCTCTAAATAAATGACATGCATGAACAATAATCGAAATCAATTACAATACTCCTCTTTCTCTCTTAAAAAATCCCACAAAACTACAATTTTATTGCTAAACTAGCTTTTTACCGAAGCCTTGTCTATCAAAATAGTTCGTCTTTGCCGTTGTCATTGGCGTACAAATATCGTTTGATTGACAAATCAGCCAGGCTTAGAAAATTAATTGTATTTTTTCCCCGGGGTTTCTCCGGCAGATAACTCCGTCCGCAAAATTATCGGATCGATGAAACCCTGTTAACTCTCTCTATCGTACCGGTGGAGGGCCGAAACATTTACGGGTCAACCAATTGCGGATTTGGATCTTTCTTTTTTTTGAACTCCTCGGCCGTTTATCATTTGGGTTGGGCTATGAACTCTGTATTATTCCGGTTGAATAGGATCGTTAAACCTGAAATAATTACAGGATATAAAATAAACGCTACCATCGCCTAATACTGCTATATTATTGTCTGTTTCAAACGCTATCTCCGATTGCTCCTAATTCAGAGCAAATATAATTTGGACTTGGATATATTGCTTTACCATTTACAAATTGTGGGAAAGAGAGGATGGAATCGATCAACTGAAGGAAAGTAATTGATATCTCTTTTCACTTGTAAAGAGTAGATGACCAGTTATCGAGCTTCTAAAAAAACAGAAAAGACAAAGACAACAACAGTGTAAATTTATTACCGTGCCGATTCTTTGAATTTGAACCTTTTCCCAAAATTTGCATGGTAGTTCTTCAAAAAACAATTTTATCGAATAGGAAATTTCCACATTAAATGCGGCTCTATCGAAAAGGGTAAGCGATAATATAAGTCTTTCCTTTATTATTATTTTCATTTTTTTTGCAACACATTTTCGAATAAGCAGGACTGAAGATTTGCGTGAATTCAATGACTTCAACTTCTTGTATCTAAACAATGAAGACCGATAATCATCAATTGATAGCAAGATAATGCTGCGGCTATATATATGGGCTGTGGTATTTTGATGGCATTCAAGGTCAAGGTTGTACTGTTCCGTGAGACTGTATGCAGGATTGATCTATAATAAATAAAAGGATGTCATATAATATCGTGAGGTCTGAATAGTATTTCGATTGATAATGAGGTGAAGTGTGTTGTTATTGGTCGTAAGAACAGTGTTTATATCTTTGCAAGAGTTTCGTATAATAACACCAATCATTTTATAAATGTTTTCCCGCACTTGTTCTCCAATTTTTACACAATCTTCATCCAAATAAACATGCAAAAATTTAGGAGCTGCCCTGTTGTGTTCTTAGTATTATCACATATGAGAATGCATTCTCAGGAAAATATGTGCTTTTCAATTAGAATTGTACAGCCTCTCAGCAATCCCTCAGCAACATTCCTTATCCAAATAGGGTTCAAATCCGAAAATAGGAGATTGAAGCGCAATCGGAAATCATTCTTTTATTTTTTTTGACACCAGGCACGTGCAGCAAATTGTGGGTAATTTTATCCATAAACAAAAAACAAATGACAAAACCAAACTGGAATTAATGTACAGTCCACTCTGCAACAAGGCCAAACGCCTGGAGGATATCATGATGTTGCATGTTTCGTCAATCGCAAGTAGACACTCCTCCAGTTATATTGTCTAATAAGGACCAAAAGTTCCGGATTCGGCATTTTCTCTAGACCTTTTTTTTATCAACACATTATTTAACTAACGCGGCTAGGTTAGTTTATTCTTCTTTGTTCTCGGTTGACTTATTATTATGGATCTGAAATAAATTGATAGGTATTGTTTCACTTCTATTGTTTCCCTTGTATTGTTTTTTATTTCTACTTTTTAGCGTCATAGCATTGATTCTTAACGATCGGCGGCAGATTTCATTTGCTATCAACTTCGTTCTCTCTCTTTTTCGATCTATTTTTAGCGAATACACTTTGTAAGTTAACCTTGACGTCGAATGCCAGTTGAATATTTTCTCTTTTTTTGATTTAGGGGCAGTTGAGTTTTATTTCCTGTCATATCCGTTTCGTGGATAAAGTCACCTTAAACTCGTATTCCATTGGACGTTTTGATCAAAATGGCCACAGATTTAGACGTCATTGTCCTTTGTTTTTTTGGGGCATTTTTAAGCTGTTCCTCCGAGAATTCATTCCCCGGCAATTCGTTTTCCCCGCTTTTACTATCACTATAGTTGTCCCTATCTTCTTCGAACAAAGAAAACTTTAGATAACCGCGGCAAAACCTTTCTTTCTTTTTTTGTCTAAAATTAGCTGTAGTTGAAAAAGTCGTTACTTGTCCTTCTGTCTATAAAAAATTGTTGCTATTGTTTGTTCCCTACTTTTCCCTTCATTCTACCGGAGATAAGAAACGGGTTTGTTTTATTTCCTCTGAGTGGTTGCTGTAGTAAAACTCTTCAGATAAAAATAAAACAACTGTGGTTTGAGAATTTCAGCTTTGTGCAACTCGCAACACTTTACGAAAATCTAATTTAGAAGCAGCTGTATGCAGTATTGTCAAATAGTCTGTACTTGATCTAATCCTCTATTTAGCTCATTGCTAAGCGTGCACTTTTCCACTGCATTACTCATACAAGCTACAAAGAGTTTGCTAAAGGTAATTAGGCTACTCGACTTCTAGAATGCCGGTGTTACGAAGTTCCATGGAGAAAATAGACTCATTATCTAAAAAGCAAAGTTTCTGTTAGGAAGAACCTTTCTCCTATGTACAGGATAACAAGGTCCCTAAAGAAATAAAGACAATATATAAAATATATCAAAAAAAAAAACAGAAAAGATTTACAATAGACACTTATTATATCTGCCGAGGTTAGACGTATTCTCTTCAAACACAATCGTAGCCTTTAGACATCCCGCCTTTGTTTTGTACGTTGCAACCTCAAAGGTTCGACATTTCAAATTAGAAAATAAAAACAAGGTTGGTAGATCAACAATATCACAAATTTGCTGTTCCACAATCACAATAATGGAAATTAACGGGAGTTCGGTTAGTATTTGCGTCTACCTAGAGTCGTGTCTGACTCTAAAAATAGATTTACCACGTTATGCATATCAGAACTAGTTACAGATACACCCAACAAATTACGACGATTGAGAGAACAAATCCAATTATCGATCAGTTGTTCAGAATTACAGATGCCAAGAAATATTAACAACTTTAGAAAAGATCACCGTAAATGACTCGCCAACAAAGGCGGAGACGTTGACTTAAGCCCCAATCTTGACCCTGTTTAAATTTTGCTTTTCTGTCTCAATTGCAATTTGTGGAGAAAAGTTGCAATAAAAGAGATAGTTTACGAGGGAGAGGTTCAATTGCCTCAACAAAAAACTAAAAAAAAAAAATCAATATTGAGTGCCTAACTATTGTTTCAGAATTTCCCACCACAACAGCCCAGACATCTTTCTTTACCTTTCCTTAGGAACAATTGCACGATCAACCGTGCAGATGGAGTTGGAGACTTTTTAAAAGAACAGTACAAAGCCTCTAAATTGAGATACACCAAGAGGATTACACAGAAGTCCAAGTTGATCAAAAAAAAGTTTCAATAATGGGCAATGCTCTAAACAGAAAAGCAAAGCAAATTAGGTTTCTCCATCTTTCCAACGGATACTAAACCTTTTTCCTGCAATACTATAATCTTAAGAAGCTTCTACACATGCCGTGACTGCCTGTGGAACCGTTGGTGCAGGGTCTATTCACAAGATTGCTGATTCTAGACTCTTTCTAGCAAATGAGGCACCCGAATGCAGTCTCTAAATGTTGTAGTCAATTACAATATTTTGCACATGCAAAAAACTCTTTACTCCTATGTGATTATATAAGCATTACCAAATCCAAATTTATCCTTTTTGCATTTACCACCTAACCTAAAAGGAAAAAAAATAAAAACAAAGTAAAAAAAAAGAGGTGAGTTCCTTTGTGCCGCAAAGGGAATAATATAAATACAATAAGATGGTTAGCATAGGGGAGGCTATTCGCGATTGAATCATAAAAGAATTTGTAACCATGTTGTACTAGATTTCTATTTTATAAATTGTGCATGCCGCTAGCAAAAACGGGTTTGTTTTAACTGTGTTGTGCCCAAAAAATTCCTCCTACTTAATTTCCTTTTTGTAATTTTTGGTTTTTTTTATTTAGAATTGAACATATTTATTCTCTCCTGCTCAGGCGTTAAGGGTCTTATTGTGTTTGCTAAATGTAAACTAGAAGGCCTAAAATGTTCACTAACTTTTTTCTATAAATAAACAAGTTTATCTTGAGCCAAAAAAACAAGGGGGGACGGGGCGGCGTTTTAGTTTTGTCTGTCATCAAATACACTGTTTTGTTCGAAGTATGTCCAGAATACTACAACTCTTTGGCTTCAATTCCTAAATATCCTCAATTCTCTGCAAAGAAAACAGGTATTGTTTATAATTTTTGTCACCAAAATACCCCCCATTCGCTTGCAAAAACAGAAAGGTGGATTTGGGTGAGATCTAATCCAAAGCTTCAGGGTCTACTTATATCTTTTGAAGTTGAGAAAAGCAATGTCAAATAGCCAAACCCAAAAGAATTGCAATAAAACAACAGATAAACCTTCAGCAATAATTAATTATTCAACTACTGTCAATAAGAACACACAAAGCTTGCAATCGAAACCAAATTCAACCGAAACTGCCATGTTAACACAAACACAAACTACATTCACTGCTCAAAACCAAGAGTTTCCCCAGCATTTCAACTCCTCAATAAACTTCCTACCACAGCTGTTGCAATTACAACTGTTAGGGATGGGTTTGGCTTCATTGCAACATCCAGAACTTCAACAGCTATCGATGCAACATCTCCCACCTGTTCACCACGAGTTTGCAATGACGAATGAGAACTTGAACCAGATTCAGCGACCAACAACACAAGTGTTCGGCACTTGTGTTTATAATTTGCTGGCCAATGCCAGTCAGCTTGCGCAAGATGTCAATAATATTCAATCTTTTAACCAGTCTATATCTCACCATGCTTCCTTAGGTTCTATCACGCAACCTAAAGCGCAAGAGATTCCAAAACGTCAATCAATGCCTTCACTTCGTCCAATGTATTTACCCCAATTCGGGTCAAGCGTTCAGTCAGTGCTGCAAATTCAGCAAATGGCAGCGCTACAGCCGTTTGAGCCCCCTTATTTATCATCCACCTTGAACGTTCCTGAAGTAATAGATTCAACTTTCCCCCAATCCACCAACGCATCACTAGCTCAATCCCAGGCTGCTGCTGCTGTTGATGTTCCATTGTGGTCAACAGGGCTACCACCAAATGAATACCCATCTGAGTCATCTTCGGCGTCGCCTGTATCGGCACCCCCTACCCGTGGCAAAAGATATCGCAAACACCTGTCAAGCCAGCAGCATGAAATGACCCCAGAAACAGCATTACGCAACCGATGTCGCATATGCAACAAGCAATTCAAACGTCCATCGTCACTTCAAACACATTACTATTCTCACACCGGGGAGAAGACATTCCAATGCCCCTGGCAAGGGTGTGGGAAAATGTTTAGTGTTAAATCAAACATGACACGGCATTACCGATTACATGAACGAGATTCGAGACGTGCACAAGAACTTGACTTTCAGAGTAAGAATCCTGAGCTCATGAGGGCATTAGGACTTTCGTCAAATAGCAGTGCGGTACGTCAGTACTTTCAAACTACCGTACATCCTCACCAACTGGGACAGCTGCAACAGCTATTACCGCAATTACAACACGAGGCAGCAGCAGCATTGGGTGCAGTTCAAGCACATCCAAGAGAATTGAACCAGCTTGATACTTTGCAGCGGCCCCATTATCAATCCTTTTCGCCGTTGTCTACCCAGATTTCTCCCTTGGTACAGTCTCAATTCATTCCCAACCCTTTGATCTCCGAGACAAATGTACCGACTGATCAAGTGAAAGTTCCTGAAATACAACAGTCACCGATTCAAACGTTGAACTCTCGATTTTCGTAGACAATTGTATAAACCTAAGAAACTAATATCAAGATGTACTATACTTCTTCAAAGTTATGGCATTCTCCTTTCTAGGTTCATTGATTTGTTTACTAGAGGTCACAGGATTCACTAACTGGGTCCATAGTTGAATAGTTCCTTCAAACATTACCCCTCAGTGGAAATCTTATAGGTGTATTATCTCTATCATCACGTGCCTAGACTCATATTTTGGCGCAGTCCCACGACTTTTGAACCAATCAAACAAGCATCAAAAAAAATTACATCAACCCTCAAACACTCTGCGAAAGACGTTTAGTATCACTACAACGCAAACAATACATTTACACAAACAATGGCTGCTGGACACTTAGCTAGATACATACGTCACGCACCAGTTGCTGCTCCACATGTTGCTCCACATATCTACTGGGGTGCTAAACTAATGGGTGCCACAATGTGGTTTTGGATTTTTTACAGGATTAGAGAAGATGGACCTGTCATGTTTGGTGTTAAGTTGCCATTTGAACACCACTAAAAGGGGGGGTTATGAGAAGTTATATTTTGGAAAAGGCCACGGGGAGCGTTTTGGAGGGGTCCTAATTGATAGATGGACGAGGTGGTGCACTCTAGTGGTAAAAAACTTCGCAAATGGTTTGAGACTCACTGCTTAGAGATTTTGGGTTTTTTTTTTTGGTTTTTGCAATGCATGTGTATCAATAAAGGATTAGATGTACTCTTCATTGTTAATCACCAGGTTGTAGATGTGTCTGTAGTACTCTTCTCTATGGTTCACTAGTGTGTGCGAAATATTTTTACTCCTCAGTATTGTAAATTGGACATTGTCCTTTCCAGTAAAGACATTGACACTTAGTACTTGTGACAGCTTGAAATTCTATGGCCGGGGATTCCGTGGATATACACAACAATTGGTTCTTCTCTAACTGCACACACAAAACAGACTTCGACTGAACTTATATCCGCGAATTTCAGGTCTAAAGGCTTTTTTAAAACAAAAATAGAAGAAAAGGAGAAATTTAGAGTGTGACTTGCTATTGACAGTTTTAGGAAAATCTCTTACTAAAAGAGCTCTATTTCGAACAGGTGATTTGCCGGCATAAGAAATAAAACCAAAGAGAGAGAGATATATATAACTGAAAACTAAATGAAACTAATGTAAGCTTTCCTTCTGAAATGATCATTCCTTATGTCCCAAACTTATGCGTGATGTACGCAAAGCCTGCACAACAATAGCATAGAAGAACAAAAGAAAAAAAGACTTTGTCATTGTTAAGTTATTAATAAATGGAAAACCAGGCTAAGTCATTTCTCATTGAATGGACACTTGTTGAAACGAGTCTTCCTCCCCAATCTCTTGCTTCTATACATGTGTCCCTAATATACCCTGCACTCGCAGAGGCATTTCCTAACATAGCCTTTTTCAAGACTACTTTCGAAGAAGTACAACAAAAAGAATTAAATTACGACACGTCTAAATTTCAAAAATGTAAAAATGGGACAAAATTAATTTAGAACAATTGAGAAAATTATAAAATTAATAAAGAATTAAAGATTGGCATTTTATTTTTTAAGACTATTTTTATCAACACTGAGATAGTTGAAAAAGTATCACAGCATTATCATTCCAACTCAATTTCTCACAAGAAAGGGAGATCAGTCATTGAAGCTATACATTATCTGACAACTTGTGTCTCTCACCTGCGGACTCAAATTCACCCCCAGTTTTAACCGCCTTTTTTTTTCTTTTTAGCTCCGTTTTGTCGCCCAAATCGCAGCACAGCTCGGATCCTTCACGTATTTATTCACTCCCACACATTATGTTAGCATGCTAGACCCTTCATCAAGATTAAGAAATGCCGTAATATCTGGCAATCTTGCCATAGTCAAGCGGATACTTTCGCGCTTTCCAGACTTGTGGCTCAATGTCGACCCTAACCATCAGGGATGGTCCAATCTACATTATGCCTCTTATCACGGTCATTACTTGATATGTTTCCATTTAATCACCTTCATCAACAAGACGTTGGGCAATTTGCAAAATGAATACACTACATTGGATTTATTGACTTTTGACAACTTGAACGTGCTTCATTTATGTATGGAACATCATCATTCACAAACTTTGCATTATTTATTACAGGAATTCCCGGGTAAAATATGGCTCAACTCATTGGGCGGAGAGCATAAACAATCTGCGTTGCATTACAGTTGCAAATACGACTTTAAAGAGGGAACCAACTTGTTGTTGGAATTTGGCGCCAATTACCAATTACTTGACGCCAATGGAGATACCTGCCTACATTTGTGTTTTCAATACGGCAGTCGAGATTGCTTGTGTGAGATTTTGAATTACATTATTGCCGAGTCCAAGGACAAAAGGTCGGCGCAAATGGCATTGGAGACTCTTGAAAAGGTCAAAAACTTTAATGGATGGATTGCAAAGGATTTTGCTTCCAGTTTTGAATTGATTCAACAGTATGAAGTGATAAAGAACCGGAGCTTGGCAAATTTTGATTTTGCAACGCCGCCACAAATGAAACATCAACTTTGGTTGGATTCGGCGAAAGCCAATAGCTCGTCACAAGTGTCCTTGGAGGAGAATAAGGTATTGACTAGCCCGATTGCACTGATGTCTATACAGCTGCAAAATCTGCAACAGCTGTTGCGACCGCAGTACAGGAGACAGCATTCGCAATCGTTGCCGAATGAACACAAGACATCGCCGAACGACCTGATTCAGCCCACTTCTAGACAAAGATCAAACACTGCGGTTAATAACAAGCCTACACCACTAAACATTTCAACGAAAACATCACATACATCCTTGCAGGGTAGCTCTATTGGGCTGATACACGGAATGGTTGCACCATTGACTCCATTGAACCCGCCGAAGACACCATCGATCAAGTCGGTCACAATATCACCGGTAGCAGCTGACCTAGGGGTCTCAAGTATTGATAAAGAGAAAGAGTTGGATTCTCCGCAATCAGTGTCTAGTGGTTCGTCGTATTTTGCACAACCAGGTGACCATCAATACATCACAAACACAAGAGCACGCAAACCCTCATTTTCAAAATCATCGGTATTACCCTCGATAAGTTCACCCGTAACTAATTTATACACAGAAAGTCCAAATCTGCAGCAGGTGGCCTCGCCAAGCATGCAAATACAACAGAATGAATTAAAGCCAATTCGTACGTCGTCAAGCTCTTCAATTGCAGCTAAGGTAGCTTTTAATTCCAGTAGATCATCATTACAAAACCTGTCTGATGCTAGCCCAGTCAAAACAAGACCGAGATCTTCTTCGCGACAGCATTCTAACCTCAGCAATAGCCGAGTCAACAGTTTCAATAGTACATCAAGTGCAAACAGTGTCACTTACAGCATACCACAGGGGTCTTCAATGTCAAACAGTTCCGGTTCAAGTTATGAGACAGTGCATCGAATTACAGATGGCATAGAGAGAAACGAAGCAAGCACGGGAAATTCAAAGTCTAGTATAAACGACTTTGTATTGCGGAAATCAAGGTCGTCTGGCACGTTACCTTCAACTATTCCAAAGAATAATGGACATCATGTATTTACAAACAATGCCGGGAATTTGAGTCTTACGTCGTTAAACAGCAACAATGAGTACGACAAAAAAACTTCGGTAAGTAGCATAACTTTTAGTCGTGTTAGATAGCTTATTTAGAGCGTATAATACCAGAAGTAAGCTATTGAGTGGATGTGTAGTAGCAACCAATCTTCAACGTGCGAACTACTGGTGTTGGTCAAATGAAGAAACCAGCTTAGGCTCGTGTTGTGAACTCTGTTGCAAAAGAAAATTTTTTGGCAAAAACAACGCGTTTGCCAATTTTCTGACAACAGAAGGAGAGGCACAACACTCTATGAGATTCAATGACACCCAAGAAGCAACCTTCAATCAGTCAGTTTTTCTCAAGCCAGAGGTCGAAAAGCTCAGACAATGAAGAGCTTTTTAAGTCCGACTCGCCAAAGCTAGCATATTCGAACGATATTGGAAAGTTTCAGTTTGTTAAACATGATCCAAGTTCCTCTGGCACATCTAGGAAAGACCCACAACCCGAAGAAGCTCGTCTTGCTACTCCGGCAGATACTCCAGCAGATACTCCCATCGCTTCGCCGCCTCCATCTAACTCCTCGGGCTCAAACGTGCTCGAAAATTTCCAATATAACAAGCAATCTACTGCCGCTCCATCAACAACAAAACGCAATACACCGGTGGCAGCGACGAGCGATCGCAAGATAAAGAAGGCACGGACTACAAAGCTTACTCCCTTAGAAAACCAAATTATAGAACTTACAGAACTGCATCCTGACAAGATGCTACTTATCCAAGTGGGCTACAAGTATAAGGTCTTTGGAGAAAATGCAAAACACGTGTCGAAATGTTTAAACATCATGTATGTCCCTGCCTCCGATCGTCGCTTTGCCTACTGTTCCTTTCCTGATACTAGACTACATATCAATTTGCAGAGGATACTTAATAGTGGGGTGAAAGTGGGGATCGTTAAACAGATGGAATCAGCCATTGTCAAGGAGATAGACAAGGTCGGTAAAAGTGGAGACTTGATGAAGCGTGAAGTGACTGGAGTGTACACCAAGGGAACTTATATGAGTGACGAGTTTGTTGGAAGTAACTTAATCCCAAATTCGGTCGAGGAAGAGCATAATAATTACATTGTTTGCATCAATGAAGTATCGGAACGTGAATTTGCAGTTGTTGCCGTGCAGCCCTTGACGGGAGAAATAATATACGACGTGTTTTCTGATGATGTAAGTCGAGAGGAAATGGAAACTCGGTTGCTCTACCTTCGACCAAGTGAGGTGGTTGTTATTAACAAAGAGAGTGAGATAAGTCCAAGTACTATGAAGTGTCTAAGACTTGTCAATCACGAACTCAAGATTGAACTCAAAGAGGTTAACGGCATACGATTTAGCGACTACCTAAATCAGGATATGATTGATTACTACACACAAAGCTTTCCCTTGCTGATCCAAGAATGCTTCAGCGAGCTTGTCATGTACTTGGCAGAGTTCAAATTGAGCAACGTATTCACAATAGTACAAAACATCTCAACTTTCAAAGATGCGAGAAAATACATGATTCTACCGGCTAATACATTAACGGCGTTAGAGATATTTACCAATGCAACAGATCCAAAATCTCCTAGAGGCACTTTGGCGTGGCTCCTAAATCACACACGGACCAGGTTTGGTAGACGATTGCTCCACAAGTGGATTTCTCGACCATTGATTGACAGGGAGAAAATTGAAGAGCGACACAATGCAGTGGAAGATTTGGGGCTGGAATTTGACCATGTAGTTGATTCATTAATGAAGCACTTGGAAAAGATTGGGAAGTCATTGGATATGGAGGAATTGTTAATCAAGATTCACTACTCAGCAACAACCCAATCAACCCGGATCAATAGAAAACAAATTTTCCTTTTGTTGCAAAGCTTTAACGAGCTTTTGAAGTTGGTAAAACTGTTTGGCAATACAATACAATCCTCGAGCTTGAACTTGACGTCACCATTGATTGTTGGCATGTTGCAAGATTTACTTGAGCTGGCAAATTTTGGCATTGTTGACAACTTTATCAGCATGATTAACCCATCTTACTTGTTTAATGAACCAAAAGACCCATTTGATCAAAAGGCGAGCTTTTTCAACTTGAATTATGGCTACGATGATATCAATCACGAGTTTGCTGAGATTAAAAACGTTGAGCAACTACTTGAAGAAGAGCTTGTCAGAGTTAGGCAATTGCTACAACGGCCTCAACTTAACTACGTTACCAGTAATCGTGAGCCATATCTTATTGAAGTCAGGAATGGGAAAAGCGTTGATTCATTGCCATCAAGCTTTATCAAGATCAATGGGACAACTACCGTAAGTCGCTTTAGGAATAAGGAAATTGCAAGGTTGTACAAGTTGAAACAGTATCATGAAGAGGTGTTGGTACAAAGATGCGACGAAGCCTTTGTTGCATTCTTACAAGATTTAGACTCACAATATGGGTTTTTTCAAAAGATTGTCAAACATTTATCTACGTTGGACTGTTTACTTTCCCTAACTGCAGCTAGTGTGCTCAACAATCAAGTAAGACCAATGCTAACCGATGATTTGATAATTGACGTGAAACAGGCACGGCATCCTATAATTGAGCAGTTGCGCGATGGATACGTTGCCAATGATATCAACATCCAGTACGACACAAATCGTGCTTTGATTATTACCGGACCAAACATGGGTGGTAAGTCATCTTATGTCAAGATGGTTGCTCTATTCACCATCATGGCTCAGGTTGGCTGTTATTTACCGTGTACTTCGGCCACAATGGGCATTTTTGACTCGGTGTTTATTCGCATGGGTGCTAGTGACAATATACTCAAGGGTAACTCGACATTTATGACTGAAATGTTGGAGTGCAGCAACATCATCCAAAGACTAACAACGAGGTCATTGGTGATTTTGGATGAGATTGGGCGAGGCACCGGTACTGCTGATGGAATAGCATTGGCATATTCAATCTTGAAATACTTTATAGAATCGGAATCGAAACCGCTCTTGCTATTCATCACCCATTATCCATCTATCCATGTTTTGGAACATGAGTATCCGGGCGAAGTTGTCAATTATCACATGGGGTTCGAAGAAATTAACCAAGGAGAGGGGAAATTTCCCGAAGTCATCTTCTTGTATGATTTGTGTCGTGGAGTAGTTAATAATTCCTACGGGTTGAATGTGGCGAAATTGGCAGGCATCCCGGACCACGTCATTGCCAATGCATACAAAGTAAGCGAAGACTTGAAGCTCCAAATAGAGATTGAAGATGATATTGAAATGTTGAAATTGGTCAATACGGTGATTAACGGAAACGCAGACGTGTCTAATCTATTCAAGTATTTAAGCTAAAAAAATCTAAAACAAGCTTATTGAATGCTTGTGGGTTATCTAAATATATATGATGGCCAGCATCTTTAACCACTTTAAACTTTGAAATTGAATTATTCTTTTCATGTATCTTTTCGCAAATGTACTCGCCACCTTTCGAATTCATCCAGTCTTTATCTCCATACAACCATAAACTATTGATGTTGTTGTCAACGAGGAAATCAACAAATCCGCGATCACAAAGGGGCAATTTAGCCAATATTTCATGGTTTATAAGCTTGGTAATTGCCAATTCTCCAGACGCTTGGTATTGATTGAAGATGGAAAATGAATAGCCATGTAACTTATAGACCAAATCAACGCTATCTTCAGAATCAGTAAAATTTCTAAACCTGGCAAATGACCAATATGATATCAACTTGGAATAAAAAGGGCCTGTCTTTTGTAATAAATCAAATGGCGATTTACTATTGTCCCAAAGTCTTTTCAAGACAGGACTTTTGGGGAACTTTGGCTTGCCTACAAGTTCCCACGCCTTGGTGAATTCAGGACTTATCACCACTTCTTTATTGTCTTCGTCAAATTGCAATTCTCGCAATGGATCGCTAGTGTAATGGAGATTCACATTGTATCTCTCATCGTTGATCAAACTATGCTCATTTGACTCTGTACCCATTGGACTAACCAAAATCAAGTCAGTAACCACTTTGCACTCATTTTGGTTATTGTACTTCATCAAATAACAACAAGACAAATATGCCCCCATTGAATGAGCAATGAGCTTGAAAGAGGAGATGTTTCTATTCAAGCGCCAATTTTCAATCTTGTCAATGAACCAATTTTCAATATCCAAAACTTGTTCAATTTGTTGTCGTTTTTTTGTCGGTTTAGTGAGGTATTGGCTGGGGAATTTGGGTCTTGCCGAATTACCAAACCCGGGCAAGTCAATCAAGTGGATCCGCATTCCAGGGATTCTAACCAACAGCTCAATATTTTTAATGAAATAGCCCAAGGCCGCCATGTATCCGTGTATGATTACGATATGTTGTTCTGGACCAGGCTCATCATTTTCCAAGTAAAACTCGTGAATGAAGGATCCGTCTTTGAGGTCAACATCTATTAGCCTGCCTTTCATGGAACTTGATTTAGATTGGTTGTTATTATTATTATTATTGTTGTTGTTGTTGTTGTTGTTGTTGTTGTTGTTGTTGTTGTTGTTGTTGTTGTTGTTGTTGTCCTCCTCCTCGGTTGCCACGGGCGGCTCAATGTATATATCATCAGGTAAAATTGCTCTAAATAGATCAAACTCGATTTGTCTATTCTTCAACCTGGCAGTCCTGAGGTTTGAATCTTCCTTGCTTATTGTACCGTGCTCTCTTTTAAGTTCTGGAGACGATGCCCACCAGTCTTGAATCGACTTTAATATAGGAATTGAATTTACTGAAGCTTTGGTTGGTTTTGATTTAGATTCGGAAATTGATTCATCAAAAGACTCAGATGAGGGGGAGGATAAACTTTCATGCTTTGAGGTATTGGGGTTTCCCATGGCCTCAATCGAGGTTTGTATTAAGGAGGTCATGAGGTAGCTGTGGGCTTTCTCTAATGGTACTGCAGTGCTGTATCATTGAATTTCTTATCTTTTGTTTTGCTATTTTCGCACCTTTGGCTTGTGATTGGAGATAAGCTCCACTTTCAAGGCTTTGAACAAAAAAAGTGAGAATGGACAATATTAGGATCCAAAAAAAGAGGGATGGAAGGAGTCAGTGTGCCACAACCACCTTCTACAATAGCACTAATCTGTTTCCAGGTTAAAAATCCTCTATATTAAACTAAAAATTACTATTCAACGATGATGTAGAAATAAACCAATAAAACCATATTAAACATCACTCCATTTCATTACTCAAAGCCCCCTTATATTAGTGTTGAACTTTATTATCCACTTCTGAGTAAGCTGGTGGTGCATGCTGACCAGCTTTAGAACTACCATTGCTGTTTCCTTCAACCACTGATCCGTAGCCAAAAACTGGTTGAGCAACCGGTTCTTCACGAGTACTATCCTGGTGATGGTGCTGGCTGTGAGGACCGTCGTGATGATGATGATGTTGGTGGTGAGCATGTTCATGATGATCTCTTGGAGTTTGGTTCTCCAAATCATTTCTATAAACATAGTACACTTTTGACTCACTGTGATGAGAATAAGGTGGATACTTGGCAATGATGTACCATGCGTGAATTAAACCAGGAATGAACCCAAGTATGCAAAGGAGAATGTTGATTGCTGAATCCTTTGAACAAACTCCACGGCGAATCCAAACTGGTAAGGGTGGGAAGAAAACCGAAAGAACGATTAATAAAAGATCTGAAAGGCAAATACACATTGCTTAGGTTTGATTGATGTCTCTGTCGGCGTTGAAAACGATTGACAACTCTGATGAAGAGATATGCAAGTTAGTCATGTATTTCTTTTTTCTGTTTTATGATTTTTGTTTTCTTCCTCGCCTTCTTGTGTTTTATTGACACAGTGAGGTAATGTCGTAAGTATGCATCGTCGCGACACTGCAACTTTAAAATTGTAGTTTTTATGTTTTTTTATTTAATTCAATTTAATATAATTCGATTTCAATTCCTTTGATTTTGCCATCACTATACAACTACCAATCCCTTTCCGATATGGCAACGATAGCATTAAATATAACATACCAAGGGCAGCCAAAGAAGTTTACTGTTAACAAGTCACAGACCATATCACAGTTTATATCCCAATGTTTGACGAGCTATAGCATCGATGCCAACACTTTCGGTGCCGAATTGTATCACAACAATAAGGCATTGGATTCAGCATCACCCATCAGATTAACCAACCTTTTGAACAACGCCAAACTTACACTTAAGGTGAAGAAACTAGATCTGAACAAGGAAATCAATGTCAAGTTTATCAGCGAGAAAGGGACTGTGGTAAAGAAATTCACTGTAGCTACTACATTGGAAGACATTGTGGAACAAACAGTGGGACGTTTGCAAAAACCCACGCAATTGCGAATCTTGGATTTAGTGATTAGTTATGAAAAATACACCACAGCTACATTGGGATCAATTGTGGGGAATGCCAATAGTGTTGTGATTCGATTGGAAAATCAGAAACTGACAAACGAGAAGGATGCCTTGTTTAGGAAACAACAAGAAGCCAACAGATTACAGTTGGCAGAGGCTCATAAACGCAAGGAAGTGGAAACACAAAAGAAGTTACAAGAAGAGCAAGAAAGGCAAAGGCTTGAGCACGAGAGATCTAAACAGGTGAAACAAGAACCCACGGAGGAGCCGGAGGAGCCGGAAGAAGATGTCGAGATGAGGGAAGCTGCCGAGGATACTCCTTCCACCGTTACAGAGTCTGAATCAAGCCCAAGTACGGGTGAGGCACAAGCAGATGGAACAGGTGCCAATTTTGTTTACGAGGAGGAGAAGGCTGATGAAACTCCTAAATTGTACATGCCATCGAATAAACCACTGCCGGCGTATCAAAACCCAGAGGAGGATTACAACATGACTGTTGACCAAGCCAAAACTTACCAAAATGTTATACGCAATTCCGCCAAGAGGGTGAAAAAGACTGATGTCAAAAAGCCAGCCAAATATTTTATACGTGTCAAGTTCCCCGATGGTGCCATGTTGCAAATCAATTTCCTTGAAAATGCCCATGAGGTCAAGTTTGGCTCGCTTGTGAAGAAACTTGACGAATTGTTGATTCCTGAGTTTATCAATAGTTATAATTTAAAGATTGGATATCCTCCATTTACCAAATTAAATCAATCGTTTGCATTGAATAATGAAAAGTTGCACAATTTAGACGAATTCAAGTCGGAACAAGTTGTTCTAATTTGGGAATTGAGTAAAGAGTCAAACAAAACTCATAAAGGACCATTTTTGAATAATGAATCAAAAGACTTGGTTATAAAGCCAAGTGATGAGTTGCCTGCAGTAAAGTTGGAGAAACATAGAAGTGAATTACCGGCAGGTGAGAAGAAAACCGGGCTTTTCAAATCAAAACCAAAGTCTAAAGATGGTGAAGATAAGGATGACAAGAAGAAATCTAAATTACCAAGGTGGTTGAAAATGAAAAAGTGAGCACGTAAAGTAGATAGACACTGTCATACGAATAGAAAAAGAAAGGGCGTTTGCTGTTTGAAAGTAGTCGGTCCGAATAAGTTCGGAGTTTGGAGGTGGCAACCTGCCCATTACAGCCGTCGGGGCTTTTGTGTGTGCTGTCCCAACTAGGAAGTAGGCGCCTCAAAGATACACAAATAAGCCTGTGATTTATCAATTTTCTTTTTTTTTTGTTCTCACCTCGGGATATGGTTTCCTATGAATGCCATGTGTGTTTTGAAGTCAATGAATTTGGAAAAACGGAACAGCTTGTATTAGATAAAGTTTCTGAAAAACCTGAAAGGGGTGGAGCATCTGTAGAAAGAGGGGTTTTTAGATTTTGGAGGTACCAATATTTGTTTTGAAATTATATCTTTAGTCGAATGAGTCATAAAAATGATGAAACGTTTAATAGAGACAATTATGCACGACCTTTGTTAAGAAATCTTTAACCAATAAGAATAGAATGAAAGTGGCTTTGTGTTTCTATAATATCAAAATTAGACTATTGTTTCACTTTGTACATTTATTAGAGTCGTGTACTTTGGTACTATTAGTGTTAGTGGTTTATTGCCCTAAGTGTAGTATAAAAATTATCAACATTTCCTCACGAAAAATTAAAAACCCACTTTTACTGAAAATTTTTTTCTTCTTTTCTTCTTTTCTTCTCTCCACACTTCAACATTTTGATCAAACAAACAGTATAACAACAGTAAATAAACAACACAACGTCATAGCTATTACTACTACTACTATAATTATCACTTTAAATTTATTTTTCCCCCATATATTTTCCAGAGCCTACATTAATTTATCCACTATGTGTGCTTAAAATATTTATTTGTTTATCCTTATACAATTTAAAAAAATTTTAAAACCCTTTGTTATTTATTGAATTATGTCATAAATAATATCCTACTTTAAAAAAAAGAGTTTTAACAATATCCATCAAGAATATTTGATCGTTTGTTTATTACAATCTACTACCCCCTGTTTAAAAATGTTGAAATAGAAATTATTAATTATCCCCGTCCATTATGGCGTTCCCACTTTCACTACTACTACTAGATCACTGAACATTTCCCCAATACAAGAGTTATTAAAAAATAGAATACTGTTACATTGATACTTACTGATTACCATTGATATTAAATACAATTACAATTACTACTGCTGCTACTACTACTACTACTACATTAATAACAATGTCTGCTGCTACTACACCTATTGATTTCAAAGATTCATTGTTTGAATCTCCAGAAATGGTCAATGACAAGATGATTGAACCAAAAAAGAATGTTGATGCTGCTGCTACAGCTACAACTGAAAGTCGCGCTGCTTCATCTGTAGAAGAGATGAATCAGAAAAAGGAAGTTGCATCGCCTTTTCAAATCCATTCAAGTGTATTGGAATCTGTTTTCAGTACCAACTTGGACGGCAAGGATGCTTTATTAGATCATACTCCTATGTTTGATGAGTTGGATTTCATCATGGATGGTGCCAAGGTGAACTCTAAGGATGATTGGGTCGCTCTCTTTGGAGACGATGATGATGCCATGTTCCCAACTGAAGGGGAAGGTGATGGTGAATATGGTCCAATTCTATCCTTAGATGATGCCGCCACCGATGATGCTGCTGGTGTTGCTGTTACTGGTGATGAAGCAGATTCAATTGTTCCTCATGACGAAATCTTGGAGGCTCTTTTGATTGAAGCTTCACCAAATGGGTTGTCAGATGACACCATTTCTGCGGCTACTACCTCGGCATCCAGTCCAGATTTGATTAGCACTGTTGCTACCAGTGTTGCCCCTTCATCTTCAAACAAGAGATCATTTAGAGAGGTAGATTCTGTTGCTGACTATGGTGCCAAAAGGTCAAATCAACAGTCGCAGTTGTTTACCCCCAACATTTCATCTGCTTTGCCTACTCCTCAGTTGGATATGAAGAAGCCATCATCGAAAAAGGCTAAAGTTGACCATTTAGGATGTGTCACATATTCCAAGAAACAACGGTCACAGTCATTAGAACCCATTGCTTTAGATGGTATTCAGGATTCGGCTGCTTTGAAAAGAGCCAAGAACACTGAAGCTGCCAGGAGGTCAAGGGCTAGAAAAATGGAGAGGATGACCCAGTTGGAGGATAAAGTTGAAGAGTTGATGACTGAGAAATCTGCATTGGCTGATGAAGTTGACAGATTGAAATCTATACTTCAAGCCAATGGGATTGCTTATTAACTTTAGTTTGAGTTTTTTTATAAAGAGAAATAATATATAAGTGAAAGAAAGAAAAAAAATGAACTTGTTTGAGAATGATTTTGGTATCTATTGTATCTATCTGGAATTGTTGTACCTTTGTAGTTGGTTTGATGTGGTCTCTTGGTGCATAACGTATAAACGTTATAATGCTCTACAAATGCTATTTGCTGAAGCAGAAGAATTTACTTTTTAAAGAACAGCTTGCTAGTCAACTGTTTTGTCTCTCATATTAGGTCTTGGTTTGCAACTATTTATTTGCAACCAATTCTCTATTTTCTCGTGCCAACTAATGGCCGTGTACATTGTTCAAATCAGGATACAACTGTGCTTCTGTGTATACTATAAAACTTGATTGCGTAACAATTTATTGCATTCGTCTTCCACTTCTAGAATTCGACCAAACATGATGCAAGCAACAAGATTCATCGCATTGATATGCTTCTTAGTTTTAATAACGTGCAGTACTACAAGTATCCAAGAAAACTTCCTTCAGTGCCAAAGTAATAGTACAATAAGAATCTGTACATTTGATGACGAAGTTCAAAGATATGTGGCCTTACTGAAAATAAGCGGTGGGTTCATCATTGCCAAGGGATCAATATCCGCATTCGATTGCAAGAAGAATGGATTTACAAGAAGTGGTTGCAAAGTTATAAAGAAGGCGGCTAATAAACTGAAGGACAAGGTGACCCTCTTCATTAAGAGGTCACTCAGCAATCAGTTGACTGAAGTCCTTCAGGAGCAGAAAGATAGGAAACGTCAATTATGTTTAGAGTCGAACATAAAAGGACGGTGTATTAAGTGGATATTGTGGAATCCATTAAATGATGGAAGTGAGGTAGATTTAATTCTTAAGCAATATCATGATATATGCTTACTGGCTGGAAAAAAGGTTGTAGCAGATTTCCCAAATTACATGACTCATATTGTTTTCACTTGTGTTGAAAAAGATGGAGGAGATGATAATGATGACAGAAATGATGGTGATGATGGTGATGGTGGTAATGATAGTGATGATGGTAATGATGGTGATGATAGGAAATGTTCAAAGGATAATTAGCTAAATAGTATCATTAAATGTATTGAGTTGATCTTGATATTGGCAAATATGTCACTATCTTCTCCCCCATTTGTCAAGGTTAATGGACGAATCAAACTATCGACGTTGATATTGTGATATGAAATCAGGTGCTTCGAAAAGTAAGAGGTAATTTCGACGGGAAATAGTCTAGTATGTTAGCACAATCATGAGCTGAGGTGTGATTGTAATGAAGTGGCAAATGTTAGAGCCATGTCTGTAGCTGGTCTCACTATTCCAAAAGAGAAAACTGCAAACTCAATACAACAAACAGACTTTATCAACAGGAAGAGGTTTTCTCTGATCAATTACATTAGTCCAGAGATCAACAACTAATCAGTAATAAGCTATTTGGAATATAGTGTGAAATCACATGTTAATCCATTTAGTGAACAGCCACCAAAATATTCTGTTTATAAATTGAAGAGTAAATAAGTTATTGTACGACAGCAGCTTAGACTCTAATTCATCAGATCTTTTATATCATTTGTTAACAGATACACTACTTCTTAATATAAGGAAAGAACCAAAAGAATGTTGAATCATCATAAATGCTATTATTTCATTTCCCAGTTGGCATAACTAAAAATGATTGCAAAAAGATCAGCATCCATTTTCTCATATCAAATCGAAGGAACACCGTGGCCGATAGTTGGTAAAGACATTATATAAGTTCTGTAGTTTCGACTGACTGAATGACTGACTGACTGGAAAAGGATGCTAATCCATCACTAACTCATTATGGAGTTTTCCATTATACTCTTGTCACTCATGGTCTCTGTGTTTGCGAAACGCGAAAGAAACCGAGGACCATATCATTTCGATACAGAAGAAGAAGAACGGGATTTTGATCTGATGGTTGATTACATGTGTCAGAATTCAAGTAACATCATTTGCCATGACCCTGTATTGGACAAAAAATTTAGATTTACACCATGGGGCGAAAAAGGTGACACGTATGCTATTGCTATTGAATTTTTGGAGTCTGGTGGATATTCTCAAGAACAGATTGATGAGGCGGTGAAGAGGGCAAAAGCTAAACGAAGAAAGCCAATTTGATTCCAAATTCTGTGAATTATTGAGAAAAATTAAAGTGGCAAATATCAACCATGCTGTATGGAGGAGGAAAGCAATAAAATTAAAAGGAGATTGTACCATCGCCGCTTATAGTTTTTCATTATAGATTTTCAAGTGACCGATTGAATTAAATTCAAATGTAGATGATAACTTTGCCATATTATTCCTTGTTCTACTTCTAATTTCCACTTCGTACTGTAGTACACCGCAGATTTGTGATGGATCATTTTTTTTTTTTGCAAAGAACTTGCCAGATTATTAAAAGTTGCAAAAGCTACGGAATATTTAGAGCTAGACTAAACAAAAGTTCTACAAATTTTATTTTTGTTTACTTTGTATATTAGTCTAATGTAAATTTCGTTTCTATGAAATTTTTAAATCTATTACAAGTGTCAGGCACTTGAAAATAATCATATGAATAACAAGCTTGCACGTTTAAAAAAAAGTATCTTGTGAGGGGTACAAGCAAAGTTTTGGCAATTTAAAGTCAACACATCCACTGACAATGTTCGCGTTTGACAAAATTAAATCGGTCCCAAAATCATAAAGGGTAAATTGCTACGAATGATTTGGATGTGATGGAAACAGAATAAAGAATATTTCAAAAACAAATGGCCAATTTCTCACAAGGGTAAAACCAAAGAGAATCAAACCTGACATGTCAACCGGTCAAACAACAAATATTGAAGAGCGGAAAACGTTTTGAATCTGATGCTCCTGCTTTAAAGTCAATAAAGACGACGATGGTTCGAACGTCTTTTCTGGACAACGACAAAGCTTGATGGTAACGATTGAAGAAATTTACCAAAACTAAAAGAATAAATTCAGGGACATTATGAAAACGGCAATGATTACGATAAAGTTTCGTACATGCACCAATTAGGTTTAACAATAGTGGAAAAAAAATGAAAATACAAATTTCCACAACTTCTTTTTGTATTTTGTTTTTCTTTTATCTTCCTCAGGTTTGTTAAATATTAAGAAGAAAATAGGAGGGAGAAGCAGAGTTAAAGTAATCTACAATATCTGTTTCACAGTGAATGTCCCAAGATATATCAAAGATAATATATGCACTTATGAAACAACTGGATCGTTTGCGATGTAGATTGTAGAGGAGGGGGCCGCAAGGACATGATGAAGAGGGACAAGAGGGTGTCTATTGTTGCTCACGTGACAACAGTAACATATATGTCCGAGGTTTCAACAGTGGTACCTAATATTAAATGCTGAACACTGTACAATCAGATACAACAGTTTATTGTCCTGCCTCTCAGTTTAACAAAACAATTAAACCTGACCGTAAAAAACAAAACAGAGATAGGACAACAATGGTTTGAATCTTTAGGGGCCTAGAAGAACAATAACTGTGGGCTGATGTCGGTCTTGTACGGAAACGATCTCATCTATTCCACTTTTGTGCCCAAATACGACCGCCTCTCATTTGTGTTTCACGTAACATTTACTTACACGGCATTTATTTGAGGAAAGAAAAAAAAAATTTTTTCCAGGGGCTTTCGACTTCTGTTTCTTTTAGTCGAAGCAATATATTAGTTGCAATTGGATGGGTTATCATTCTGTAAGGACTGATTCTAAGTTTGCAATGGATGGCACCGAACGTAATTCGCCCCCTTCCACCCCTATTTCCCCAACTTGAAAGGATCTCTAGCCTATCGTAACAATAAAGTAAGTTGTCTTATCAATCAAATTTCACGCGTGTTCCGATGGAAGAAAGAGAAGGCGGTTTTTATAAAGCTTATTGCGTAATATGCATAAAGGGGTAAAATTTTAGTCATGGGTCCACGTCCACATCCCGAAATTGAGAATTTTAATTGGTAGGGGGGGATGGAGAGAAACGGGAAAAAGAAAACTAGTGGAGGTTTTCTCGTCGCTTTAATGATAGTTGCTACTAATTTAAGGACTTACTCATTGGTATTGTCAATTGTGCTCCATCTTTCACAGAGTTGTTATAGAGAGATATATATTTCTGTTGAATTATATATTTTTGTTTTAGCTTTAGTTTTAATTTTGTCTCTGTGTCTTTCTTATCTTTAAGGCAAATTAAAAATTTAAAAGTCAACGGCAAAAATTTTTCTCTTATTGTATGTTATTGTGTGATAACATATTATAGTGTATATATATATATATATATATGTATGTATGTATGTATGTATGGATCTAATAACGCATGAGAAAAAGAAAAGAAAAAAAAAAGAAATTTCTTTTTAAAATTTTAGGGCTTTCCGATGGGACAATTAATTAATGCTTTTTAAAGAGAGGCAAAAGAGTGACAAAAGAGACAGAGAGAGACAAACATCAAAATGCAAAACCCTAAAATACACCAAAGGCTTTTTACATCTGAAGAAATTTTCATTTAATCTAATTCCATCTCCCCTCTTCTTCTTCTTCTTCTTCTTCTTCTTTTCTTATCTCTAAATTACAAATTGATCCACTGACAAACTACTTTTGGGCTTGATAATATAAGTACATCTTTATATCCCACACAAACACAACCCCTTCGACAAACAACCACACTTTTATTCAATAATAATCCATATATTAGAACAACCAACCATTCTACAACTCCCCCCCTATTTTAAATCATCTCCTATATATTTCACTCGACACATTTACACAGTGAAATATAGATTATCCATCTCCATTCTAATATAATTTCTTGAATAATACATCAAAGTCGTATTACAAAAAATCCCTGTCTGTTCTATAATATAATAATAATATTATTACTCAATCTAACGCTAAAGCTCCCAAGATGAAGGAATATACCGAGGAAAAATCAGTTGGTCTTGAGCACGAAAAGAGCATTGTTTATGATGATTTCGCCCCAAGCTCAGCTTCTGATGCCGAGGTACAAGATACACAACTCAATTTTGTTGATCGTTGGGCCCACAAATTAAAAGCAGAAACAAAAGGTATTGACTTAGTCACCGATGAGGAAAAGACAGATTCTTCGGTATGGAACGCCGCCACCATGTGGTTGAGTGCCAATTTGGTCATTGCTACTTTTGCTTTAGGTGCATTGGGTATTACTGTTTTTAATTTGGCTTTTGGTCAAGCAGTTTTAACCATTATTTTCTTTTCGGCCATTGGTAATTTCACCGTGGCTTATTTTTCCTGTTTTGGACCTACATTGGGGTTGAGACAAATGATTTTGTCACGGTTCATGATTGGTGATTTGACAGTACGGATTTTCAGTGTTATTAATGTCGTTGCTTGTGTTGGTTGGGGTGCTGTCAATATTATGTCAAGTGCTCAGTTGTTGCATATTGTCAACAATGGTGCGTTGCCTCCATGGGCTGGGTGTTTGATTCTTGTGCTTTGTACCATCTTGGTGACATTCTTTGGTTATCACGCCATCCATTTCTATGAAAAATGGTCATGGATTCCAAACTTGATTATTTTCATCATTCTTATTGTTAGATTTGCCATGACTGACAATTTCCATAGTGCAAACTTTGTTGGTGGTGAAACTACTGCAGGTAACGTTTTGAGTTTTGGTAGTACCGTTTATGGATTTGCCACTGGTTGGACTACTTATGCGTCCGACTACACCGTTTACCAACCAAGAAACACTAATTTGGTCAAGCTTTTCATCGCAATCTTTATCGGTATCTATGCTCCATCCGTTTTCATTTTGATCTTGGGTGCTGCTTGTGCCACCGCAACCAAGACAAACCCAGCATGGGCTGAACTGTACGACAACTACTCCGTTGGTGGATTAGTTTACTCGATTTTGGTGACTGATTCTTTACATGGATTTGGTCAATTTTGTTGTGTCGTGTTGGCATTGTCAACCATTGCCAACAATATCCCCAATATGTACTCAATAGCCCTCAGTGCCCAAACTGTTTGGACCAAGTTTTCCAAAGTACCTCGTGTTGCTTGGACCATCATTGGTAATGGTGCCACTTTGGCCATTTGTATCCCAGCTTATTACAAGTTCGAATCCGTTATGGAAAACTTTATGAACTTGATCTCATACTATTTGGCAATTTACGAATCGCTTGTTTTAAGTTCGCATTTGATTTGGCACAAGGGCAAATTTAGAAGCTACGATTATGAGCGTTACAATGATAAACAAAGTTATCCAGTTGGGTTGGCGGGTACTTTTGGATTCTGTTGTGGTGTTGCTGGTGTTATTTTGGGAATGAACCAGACGTGGTATATGGGTGTTATTGCTAGACAAATTGGTGATTATGGTGGTGATATTGCTTTTGAACTAGCTTTTGCATTTGCATTCATTGGTTTCAATACCACGCGCTACTTTGAAAAGAAATACATACGATAGATTAGATTAGCTTTGACTGGCTTTTTCATTTTTATTTTGATAGAATATGTATTAATGTTGTACCACTTGTAATATAATGATAGATGTGTGAATGAGAATGATTGAGAACAGTTTATTGTAGACAGAGTGATGCTGAGGGAATGGAGAAAACCAAAGTGAGTACTCCTACATATTACTACACTAAAAAATTCCGACTATCGTCTAAGTTCATGGAAACATACACAACCAAGATCAGTTTCAAATGATCAATACACTTTGCTAAATATTTCCTCATAACTCTTTAGCTTACCTTCAAGATTGAAAAATTTCAATGTCGTCAACAATTGTTTTCGCAAAGCATCATTTATCCCACTTCCTTCCTTAATGTACTCATCTACAAAAGGTAATAACCATACCACTCGTCCCAAATCATTTGATTTTACAGCAGCATCCAACATGATTGAAAATAAATGCTCATCAAACACTCTGCCTTCAACCAACACATCCTCAACGTAATTGAGTTCAATCCGCTCTTGATCTCGCGAATGCAACACAATTTTGTTGAATAGGAGATCGAGATATTGGTACAATCCCAACTCGATAGCCATTTCCATAATCAGGTACATGCTTCTGCGCGAAATGGTCAATAACCGTTCCTCGAGATCAAGACCAGGGATATATGTGGGTAGCTTGTATTTCGATTTGGATAACAAGGGCGATTTAATTACCAGCATCTCACCAGCAATCTTATCCAACGTCAAGAACGACAACAATTCCAAAAATGTCTTGTCGTCTCTTCGGAGTAGTTGATACTTGAGTAGTGATGGAAGCATTTCCGGATCCTTTTGAATTAAATGGGCAAAATGGTCAGCCATTAGTGGAGCAAAGATGGAGTCAGTAGCTGGTGAAGGATCTGCGAGGACTGTAGGCTGGTGTTTATACTGAAACAACGACAAGTAGATAATTTGCTGATAATTTAACAAGTTACAATTGCCGAGTTTGTCTAATAGGTACTTCCATAGCTTAATCGTTGGTATATTGTTATGAGGGGATAGTAGTATTTTAACCACTTGCACAGCCAATTGAATGTGAGATAATTTTTTATTCGAGGTTGCGTAGTCCTCAAACGCCGTCTCTAGTGATTGTATTACTTCTTTATCCCCATATTGAGCCAGTTTAAAAACAATGGGCTGAGCGAAACCAAGCTGCGAAATAGTGTTACCTTCTGAAGTACTTAGCCACTGCGAAGATTTGTAGTGATGGAAGTTTAGTCGGTACAGTTCCAATGAAACGAAATCACTTGAAGTTTTAATCTCATCAATAAAACTCCCAATATCGTGATCAATCTTTACGCTCCTCAATTTCAAATCTATCTTCACATTTTCCATCAACATGTTGGCCACCAACATCATCGTGTTTCGCATTTCTACATCGGTATAGGTAAGACCCTCGTGTCCTTTCATGTCTTTACACATGTCTTTGAAAGATGTGATTTTGCACCCTGCATCATTGGCAAACATTGCCTCAACATTCTTTTTGTCTTGGAGAATATCAACCAAATTCAACCGGTGTTGCTTGTATTGCCTCGACATTTCTATAGCATCTTCGTATCCCTTTACCCGTCGTTCGTATCTTTTGACAGCTTGGGCAAACCTTTTATCTGATTCGAAATTGGGCACTGATTCCTGGGTGTTGTTTTTATGGCTAAGGCTTGGTATTAGCGAGTAGCTTCGTATTCTGAACGGTCGCTTGAGCATGGTATGACAATGTAGTAGAAGTGTATTGGTGAAAACAAGTTGTACACAATAATCACGTTGTAATTTAATCTCTCATAATGTGTGCTCTAGCTTTACTCTCGTTTAAAGTCCATGAAAAAAAAAAAAGTTGAAAAATTTCGTTTCAATCATTCAAAACATTGACCATCCACAGTTTTACAGAACATGAAATTCTCCAACATCATTGCAGTTCTTTCTGCATCAATTGCATCAGTTTCAGCCTACCAAACCACAGGAAAGGAGACGGTTGACATTTTGGTTGACTACAGCATTAAAGAAACCCCAGAAGTGACAAAGAATGACGTGGCCAGTTGGACCAATGGGGAAGAGATTACCATTCAATACACCCTAAGCAATAATGAAGAGACTGAGATTTCCATTATTGGTGTCACTGGTCAATTCTTGAACCCAGTCACTAAAGAGGCTGTGACAAACTTGACTCAAGGAAGAATTGGACCCGTTCAAGTTGCTGCTGGTCAATCAGCAAGATTTGAACAAACCGTCGCGGTCAATTTGGTTCCAAATAACTATGAATTGGTGCCACAAGTCTTTATTGTCCAAGGTGAATTAGTCAAGGTTATTCCCTGTCGTGGTCAGTTGGCTTCTGTTCTTGATAAAGCCATTTCTTTTTTCGATCCAAGATTGATCTTTTTGGAAGTCGTCTTGTTGGCATCTTTTGCTGGTTTGCTCTACTTGGCTTATCAGATCTGGGGCAAGAACTATATTCAAGGAACAGCACCCGTCGTTAAGACTAAAAAGAGTGTCAAATCGCCTTCTCCTGTTGCCACTTCTTCCTCAGCTGGCTCATCAACTGGAGCTGGATACGATGTTAATTGGCTTCCAGAAGGTCACTTGAAGCAGAAGAAGACCAAGAAGGTAGCATGAGGGAATGTAGTAATCGTTAGTTAACATACGCTGTAGTTGTTTACAAATGTACGTTTTTATTTCAGTGTATTGAGGCTGATATTCAGCAGTGTAATAGTAATCGAACTGTGAGCACAACAGATCTAAGCGCTAAGTGCTACATCTCTAGATCTCTATTAGATACACTGCTGCTGGTTAAACCGTTAGTTCACCAAAAGATTACAAGGCAATGGAGATATTCACGTGACAATATCGACTGTAATTTTTTTGTTTATAAACTTGCAACATCAGTATCAACATATTTGAGCTTTCTCTCCCAAACATAGCCCTTCCCACACCAGCATGCGATTATACCTCAATGATAAACCACGGACATTTGTTTTAACAACTGCGACGCATGCATTAATCGTCAGACACCCAAACCCAACATACGAACACAAGGGTATCAAGAGTCGAATACTTGGCCATAAGCGCAGTCACAGCGATAAAGACGATTCCAAGGTCTTGGTAGAGTTTATCTTGAAGGAGTACATCAATCTAAGCTCATACCGAGATGTAACCCCTAAACGAAACAAGCTCTTGGGATTTATTGGTCTTTTACCTTTGAAAGGTAAAGTGTTTTTAGGCTTTATAACTCAGCATGAGCTAGTAGCCTCGCCAACTTTGGATGACAAGGTGTACAAGATCACGGGAACTGAGTTTTTTTGCTTAAACAGTGATGAGTACGACTATATTTTTGATAGAGACTTTGATGAGTTGCGCTATCAAGACACTGAAAAGGTAAAGTACCCTGGTTCTTCGGTGAGGAAACTTTTATCGAGTGGTGCATTCTTTTACTCGAGACAGTTTGATATCACATCTACAATCCAGGAAAGAGGTATAGGAACTTCCGATTTCAAGTTAATTGCAGATGCCTCTTACTTTAGGCGGTTCCTGTGGAACATGTTTATGATGGAGGAGCTACTCGAGTTTAGAAATAGATTGACGTTGTCGGAACAGAGGTTGATTGATGAGACGGGGTTCCTCATTATTATTGCTCGTGGATATGCGAAAACCATCAACACTGAAGTTTCTGGTCAAGATGCGTTATTAACTTTGATATCGAAACAAAGCAGTGCCAAAGAAGGGCCCATTTTTGGCGATTGGGGATGTGATGGTAATGGGTGCGTTTCAAACTATCTTGAATCGGAAGTGATTCTCTTTACTGAACATTTCTGTCTATCATACGTGATTGCACGAGGAAATGTCCCCATGTACTGGGAACTTGATAACAACTTTTCAACCAAGAATATAATTGGAGCTAGCAATAAAAAAATCGTGTTTCCAAGGTCATTTGAAGCATCACAGGAAGCGTTCACAAGGCATATAGAAAGGCTTGCTGCTCAATATGGTGATGTTCATGTGCTCAATGAACTCTCAGACAAGTCATACAAGAGCGTTTTAAATGCTTCCTTTGAAGAGCAGGTGAAGTACTTTGTGGCACATAGAGACCCTGCCACATCTGACTTTAAGTTTCAGTACACGCACATTCCCATACCTGCTGCTAGGATCAAGAAAATAGGCTACACTTCACAAAACCCTTCTGAGATACAGTCTCGAGTAGCTACTTCTGTGACAGACTTTGGTGCTTTGTTCTATGATAATGCCACAACTAGTTTTGTTGGCAAACAGTTGGGTATATTCAGAATTAATTCCTTTGACAGCTTGAACAAAGCCAACTTCTTGTCAAAGGTGATTAGTCAGGAGGTGATATTGTTGGCATTCAGCGAGATTGGCGTACACTTAGACAGAGACTTGTTTACATCACACGCAAAGTTATGGCAGGAGAATGACATTATAATAACTCAGTTGACGCTCAATTTTGTTTCATACAGCGACAAGTTACACACCAGCAAAAAGTCAAATGCCTCGTCAGTAAAGTCCCACATTACGAAAAAGTATTTAAGTGGAGTGGTGGATAATACCAAACCAAATGAAATGGCACTACTCAAGTTGTTGGGTAGGTTGCAAGACCAGTCTGCAATTAGTTTGCACAATCCGCTTCACGATTACATTGATAAAGAGTTGGCCAAACGCAGCAAAGAGTTTACATCAGAGCTGGATATATCTGTATTTGCATCTACATTCAACGTGAATGCAGTTTTCTACGAGGGAGATATAAATGAATGGATATTACCACATGGTAAATCACATGACTTGGTTTTCATCGGTTTACAGGAAATTGTTGAATTAAAGCCCAACCAAATGATGGCCCAGGATTTCAAAAACAAAACTTTATGGGAGCGTAAAATTCTAAACTGTCTCGCACAAGAGGACAAGTATATGGTGATGTGGAGCGGTCAACTAGGAGGACTCGTGTTGCTCCTTTTTGTCAGAGAGTCACAGGTGAAGCATATCTCCAATATTGAAATTTCATTTAAAAAAACAGGTCTTGGTGGGATGGCTGCGAATAAAGGAGGAATCGCTGTCAGTTTCAAGTACTCTGACACAACAATGTGTTTTGTATCTTCTCATTTAGCCGCAGGACTCAGTAACACCGAAGAAAGACACAACAATTATAAAACCTTGATCAAGGGGATCAAGTTTTCGAAGAATAGAAGAATTCCCAATCATGATGTTGTCATTTGGTTAGGTGACTTTAACTTTCGAATAGACTTGTCGAGCGAGGAAGTGAAATCTTTGATACATCAGAAGAAATACGGCAAGTTGTACGAGTACGACCAGTTGAACAGGCAAATGGCAAGTGGTGAAACTTTCCCTTTTTTTGCTGAACAAGAGATTCGGTTCCCACCTACTTACAAGTTTGATAATGGCACCAGAAAATATGACTCAAGTGAAAAACAAAGAGTTCCTGCTTGGACCGATCGAATATTGTACTTGTCGCGCAAGAACCTAATCAAGCCAATGGACTATGAGTGTATCGATAATATCATCTTTTCTGACCATCGGGCTGTGTACGCAGTATTTCAAATTACAGTTAAAATCGTCAATCATGGTATTAAAAAGAGATTGTCTAATGAACTATACGAAACGTATAATTTGAGGTATGGTGGAATTCAAGATTTGTCGGCCTTGACTTATGATCCTGACAAAAAGAGCGCCGATTATGAAAATGAAAAGTTGCCACCACCTAGTTCAGAAAAACTGAAATGGTGGCTAGATGGTGGCAAACCGGCAAAAGTAGCAATCCCTCGATTGTCTGAGGAGGGGAACGATCTCGTCGTAAATCCTTGGCGCCCAATTAATCCGTTTGTCGACACCATTGAACCCGAATTTGTTTCGAGAAAGGAGTTGGAAGGTATGTTGAAGTAAATAGGAATGGAGTAGATCAGTTTCCCTCTTGTACTTGTACTGTAGATGCAGAATCAGAAGACTCTTTCTTTTCTTCACTCGCGGTGTCTCTGGAGCTTGCTTGCACTGTGGAAGTGCACTCCCCTGATCCATTTTCTTCTGACTTGGTTATATTCTCTGCATCTTTTAAAATCGAGTCTAGCTTTGCCTCAAACGAATCCAACATCAGCTCTAGTTTTAAAGCTTGTTTTTCAGCTTCATTTATCTGTTGATAGGTATTAGCTATGTCGACGGAAGGTTCTTGTGTCATTGCGTATGGACGGTGTTGTTGCTGTGGTGAGAATTGACGTGCAATGTTTGAGAAATTGTTTGAGAAATTGTTTACACTTTAATTTTTTTGTTTGTTCTCTTACATTCAATAAATACTTTACTTAAATCTCCTTATTCCTCTTTAAACCATTGAGAATAGAAATCAATGAGAGGAAAGATGCTTGTGAAACATCGGTATTGATACCAACACCCCATCTGGTAACCGAGTTGTTGACCACGACTTCGATATACGTTGCTGCTCTAGCATTAGCATCTTCGCCCAAAGAGTGTTCGTGATAATGCTTGACATCGAAAGCAATGCCCAAATGCTTGGCCAAGGCGTCATTGAAAGCAGATAATTGACCATTACCCTGTCCTTTTACGGTGACGGACTTTCCATCAATTTCGATGGCTGCTTCTATCTCCTTGACACCTTTACCTGGGGTTTTTATTGAGTAATCAATCAACTTGTAATGCTCATCAGCAACCTCCTTGTCGTCTTCGTCGTAGTCAATAAAGTATTCTTGTTTAAACAAGTCACACAACTCTTGGTTGGTGAGTTCTTGTCCTTTGACTTCAGCACGTTGCTGAACCACTTTTGAAAAGGCAACTTGCAATCCTCTTGGCAAGTCCAACTCCAAGTTGCGCAAAATGACCCATGCTGAACCACCTTTACCCGACTGTGAGTTGACACGGATAATGGCTTCGTAAGTACGGCCAATATCTTCTGGGTCCAATGGCAAATAAGGCAATTGCCAGTGCACATTCTTTCCACCAGCAGCCTTGACTTTTTCGTGGTGGGCAGCGAAACCTTTCTTGATAGCATCTTGATGCGAACCGCTGAATGCACACACAACCAATGAACCACCGTATGGCGTTCTGGCATGGACTGGAATCTTGTTGCACTTTTCGACAATATTTATCACCGATGTGATGTCTGAAAAATCCAAGTAAGGCGACACACCTTGCGTGTACAAGTTCAAAGCCAATGTAACCAAGTCAACATTACCAGTACGTTCACCATTGCCAAAAAGACACCCTTCAACACGATCGGCTCCAGCCATTTGACCCAATTCGGCAGCAGCCACACTACAGCCACGATCGTTGTGAGGGTGCAACGAGATACATACAGTCTCACGATTGGTGATGTGAGTTGCAAAGTACTCAATTTGATCAGCATACACGTTGGGTGTCGACATCTCAACAGTTGCCGGTAAGTTAAAGATTATCGGTTTCTCCTTGCTGGGCTCCCATGCCTGTTTAACTGCTTCGCAAACTTCCACGGCATAGTCCAAGTCGGTATCTGAAAAAGTTTCTGGCGAAAATTCAAAATCCCAATCTGTTCCTGCAGATGATGGATCGTCTTTCGTTAACTTTCGAACAAGTTGGGTACATTTCACAGCCAAGTCCTTGCTCTCTTGCTTGCTCAAACCAAACACCACGTTTCTAAAACAATCTGACGTGGCTAAATATATGTGGACAGTGGCTCGCTTAGCGCCCTTGAGTGATTCCACCGTCCTCTTGATCAACTCTTCACGGCAAGGTGAGAGAACTTGAATCGACACATCAGCTGGTGCTGTTTCAATAGCAAATCTGGTGAAATCAAAATCGATCTGTGAAGCCAGCGGGAAAGCCACTTCAATTTCTTTGAAACCAATGTCAACCAATTTCTTAAAATATTCCTTCTTTTCTTCAATGGACATAGGATCTGGAAGGGATTGGTTACCGTCCCTCAAATCTGTTGAAAGCCATCTTGGCGCCTTATCCAAGGTTTTGTTTGGCCACTGGCGGTTTGGCAAATTTACCGGTGGAAATTTCTTGTACTTGGTTGATGGATCTTTTAACATAGGCATCTTTGGTGTAGAAAGTGAGATAGTTGAGATAGTTGAGATAGAATCACGACTTATGCTTAACTATTTATATACTGAGTTTATGGTTGTGATTGGATTTTTCAGAAAAACGAATGATGAAATCGAAGTTAGTCATAGAAGACGATTACACAAAAACTCTTTTCTGTCTTTTTTTCTTTTTTTCTTTGCTTTGTTGGTGAGCTCCGATACAGGTCCTGAATTTCTTAAGAGAACCGAAATGACCCCAGACTTTAGATCTATTGTTATGTTCTTGAGTGTATTACGGTTAACGGCGGTGTTTTCTTGTTTGCGGGAAAGGGCAGGAAGGCTGACTCTGTAAAAAGTGGCTATGGGTGGTGCTAGTGTATAGACAGATAGCTGGTCAAGAGATCCCATTTACAGGTCCGTTAAAGGGCGCTATCCAGGTTATATTAATCTTACACATAATAGAGGACCTTATATACACCTGCTACTTTCGCAATCCACTTGGCAAAAACGCTAGTAATGGAACCCAACCCTGTCACGTGCTGCCCTTCAGCTGCTCTTCTGTCTTTGCGCGAAAATAGACATGAAAAATTTTGCACACTTTTGCAAACTTTTATCCTCTTTTTCTCTTTCTTCACAAGCCAAAGCAAGTATGTATATTCATTTGTTTTGCTTCAATTGAATTCAGATGATTAGAATTATATATGCGTTATCGTCATGATTACGACCACTTAACAATGTCTTCGGGCGTAATTTGAAATCAACCAACACCTACATGATAAAATTCTTGAAGCTTCTGCACTTGACTTGACAATACTAACAGCTTAGAGTAGAAGCGTTGCTGCATTTGGAATAAATATCTCAACTCAACGGGTATTTATAAAAGCAAAGACTATACAAGAAAAACAATTTTAAAATAGTAGTCGACAGGTGCCAATGTAATGCCGAGTCTTGAAAAGCAAGCTAACTAGATAAAACAAAATAACACTCCAAAAACAGCAGTTAGTATTGGAGCATTTACAGTAGCAGACCCTTGGTATTCAGATACTGCTGGAGATTCTTCAGGACTGTATATGATCGAAATTGACTCTGCAAGTGTAACAATAGCCAGAGTTTGCTCTTCTGGGACATCTTCTGACCAGTACTCAGTTGTTTGAGGTTCCTCGACATCAGCAGACGGCGCTTGAACATGAGATGTAATTTCAATTATTGATGTGATAGTAGTAGTCACATCTTGTTCTGAGTTGTAGGAGACAATTGTGGTAACATGTGATTCAATCTCGCTAGCGGTAGCAATTCCAACATCCTTGGAAACACTTGGTACTGGTGATGAAAATGTCGATGGTGCAGCCACGGAGGTGGTGACATCTTGACTCTCAGTTACTAATGCAGACTCAGTCTCTTGAGCTATGGTCTCTTGAGCATCAGATGTAATAGGCTTCTCTACAAGATAAGCTTCAACGGATAGATTGTTCTCAGTCGTAGCTTCTGCGGCCAAGGATGTCAAACATTCATCACCACTGCATGATTCTATCAATTCCTCTTTAACTTCACTTGATCCAGGCTCCGAGACAGAATATGGAGGGATTCCCACTGATTTTGAATACTCAATAGTAACTTCAGCTAGTGACAACGAGGCTGAGAAAGAAACCACTTCTGAATATGACGTTGTAGCTAAGGGCTCTTTACTTGATTCACTTTCAATCGACGTTGTCAAAGGACAGTAAGTTGTGTAGATAGTTTCATCTTCGGTAACAGTTGTGAGTCCAGTTGTATGTGTAACCATGGTACAGCTATTATCTTTGCATGAAGTAATTGTGAAAATTGTTGTTTTAATATCAGTATTTGTAGAAACAACTTGCTCCAACGAAGATTCAACCAGGATAACGACATCTGTGGAAGCTTCGTAAATCAAAGCAGCAATTGTTGTATATGTGGAACTTGACTCATTTGCTGAAGTGGTGCTCGACTCGGTTGGGGAAGTGCTTGATGATTCTACTTCGCTGGTTTCAACTGAGGAAAGAAAGGATGTAGTAGCTTCAATTAATGTTGATAAAACCAATGTACGAGTGTCTTGGGAACAAATATCATTCGAACATGAGAAAAGGGTAATCACTGTTGTATCAATGCTTGTAGTGGTCGATATAGGTGGTAAGGTAATGACAATTGGAGGTGGCATTGAAGTCAGGAAATCAATAGATGGCTCACTCAGCAATGAGACTAAAGTAGATTCATAGCCCGGGGTCTCTGAGATGGAACTTTCAGATGTGGCTTGAAGTCTGGTTTCGACTTGGGATGAACTAGTTTCAACGGACGAACTTTCTTCCACACTTGTTGACTCCGCTGATGTGCTACTAATTTCAAACAATGTAGTCGAAGTTAAATCAATTTGAACAGAGCTTGGGCCCTCAAGTGAGAAGCTAAGGGCTATTGTAGATTCAACTTCAGGCGTAGTTTCAGCTTCAGGCGTAGTTTCAAATTCGGATGTAGGGTCAGTTTGAGCTGTCGTCTCAGCTCCAGACGGAGTTTCAGCTCCAGACCTATTTTCAACCTTGGATGTTGTTTCTTCTGTGGTAGATTCAATGGATGTTGACTTGATTTCACTTGTGATAGAGAGATCTGCAACTGAGCTCGTCCAATCCACAGTGGAGCTTTCAACCAAAATGGACTCTGTTTCCTCTGAAAAAGATGAGGAAGATGTCAAATCTATGGATGGCTCCTCAAAGCTAGAAATAATCGATTGGGGCCATTAATTCGCTGTAGTTAAAGTAATGTCAGGCTCAGATTCGGGATATATAGTGATGGTGGTGGTTGAAGGATCAGTGATTGTAACTGGCACAACAACTGTAACAACTCTTTTAGAAGATGTGCTTGTTGAGGTCTCTCTCTCAACCTCTGACATGGTATTCTCTTCCAAACTTGTTGTACTTTGCTCATTAGAATCCGTTTCTGGGCAGTATGTACTTGTGGTCCATGTTTCAGCGGTGATAGTGATGTCTTCGGTAATATAAACAAATGCAGATCTAGCTAAAGTAGTAAGTGCAGCGAGTGATGTTAAGATAGCTAACTTCATGTTTGGGGTGGATCAATAAATATTTTTGTAAACTTGGCTGGCTTGAAGCATCTTTACAAATCCGATTCCATAAAGCGAAAAGTGGCACATTTATAAATCAGTTTTCACATCATGTTTGGTGATAATTAGCACTTTTGGGTTAAGCTTTGAAACGAAAAATAAAATATAGTGGAGTTTATTTCTTTCGTTAATTACAATTGTTTTCAGCTTGTTTCAAAATAACTGCAAAAATTGTTTCCTTCATTATAATACACAATTTTATTCCCCATTAGAATTTGGGCATTTTTCTACTCCTGAAAATCCAATATTAAATGGGGATTGGTGAGTAACATATTTTTTAATAATAGTATATTACAAGCTTAATCGTTAAGCGAAACAATCAACTTTATTTTACCAACCTTTCTCTTTCACGATACAATCCGCAAAGAAAAAATCAATAAAGCTGACCACAAAGTCAAAGGTTAAAATAATAGGTCTCTTTTGAATTTGCAGAATTAGGACCACAACGCGTAGAGGTTGAAGTAGCACAGGCTATTAAGCAAACGGGGAATTCATATGACTACTATCTGGTAATCTTCGAAAGACTCACTTCTTTTCTTTACCTTTACATGGAAGCTATTCAGTTGGTTCCTTCGCTATTGTTTTACCCTGAAACATGGATTGTGTCTTGTTTCATTTGGTGACTAAACCGTTTAGGCTAAAAATAAAGACTATAAGACTGAGAAGAAGAGTAGAGTGAAAATAAAGTAGAAGAAAAATAATTAAGACACCCTTAGAAATATTTTATTGAACTAACTTTTTTGTTTCAGATGATAACTAAAAATCTTTGTGTTAAAAATTAAATCAATTGAGCAAACTTTAATCCCTGGAGAACTTCGTTCTCTCTATGGGAGTAAATCTTGTGTCCGGACTTAATGGTGTGATTTCCCTGTGCATTACAGTCGCTGTGGCATTGTTTTTTAATGCAACGGATAGCTGGCATTGTTCAAAATGGAATACTCCTTCTACAAACTGTCTCCAACCCTCAATAAGTGCTTTCTATAGATCATATAATTTTTTTGCCTCTTATTTTGAGGATCCTCAACCTAAGCTACCTCTTCCGCTTTTGGGGAAATATAGCTTTCTAAAATTGAAGCAATCCATTTTGTTTGCACTAGTTTTGTAATAAACAGGATATCGTGTTAAATATTACATCAATATTATTTTTGCCCGTCGCGGAAAAAAGGACCTACGATATGAAACAAGTAGTTTTGTGTAACAACGCAAAAAATTCTCTAGAACTGTTTTTCGTGTTTTAAAGATGAAAAGATATTTAATTTTATAACTTAACATGTATCATTTTAGATAACACAGTCCAATTAGCTAAATTTATTTATTTCAAATACGGTGTAATTCTTTTTCGACTGTATTGGTGTTTCCTGGCAAGCAAAATGATTGAAAATGATTAGAAGAAATGGAAATTTTTCAGCATATTAATCATCGCATTAAAACATAGCCCCACACATTCTGAAACTCCAAATTTAGAACGCTTCCACTATAGATGGATGGAATCTGTCTTCTGAAACTAATTTGATTTCGTAAGAGAGAATGTGTTTCAACAGATTGTTCTAGACCGCTAAGCTGCAATCCGCTTTTTGTTTTCCAATAGGAGCTGTTTGAAAAGTCGCCTTTCCAAGGTACATTGCCCCTGTCTTTGCTTTCAATATATGAGGGATTGGAACTGATACCCCATAGCTAACTCCAATGCAACTTTTAGGCTCAATGACTCTTAACTTTTAAGATTTTAACGCATATATATGAGAGCAAATGTTATAAATGCTTGGTCAAACACCAAGCACATTTGCAGAAAGCCGTAATTACTTAAAACATGTATTGTTAATGTGGAAAGCCCAGATGAATGACCTGAAACTTGCATGAAGTAGATGCATATTGAAAAAGTCTAAATCCCACTCTGAAACCATCTGAAGCACGGTACCATTGTGTTATCAATTTTGAAACTCGAGGCGGTAACGACAGAGCCACAGTGCTTATACCACGAATATTTCGTAGTCAAAGCAAATGGAAAAGAATATGCTGAGGTTGAAGCAACAGCCCAGAAAGGTCGAATGGTTTCAGTAACAATATAATCTGACAGTAGGATAGAGTCTTTATTTTACTTTTTTTTCTTTTTCGTTTTTTCAAATAGGCTTTATCGCAGTTTCCGTTGGTTGCCTAGTTTTCAAGAATTATTCAGTAGAAGATACCCGTGTCACCGTGAAAAAAATAGAGTCTAAGTCCGAGCTCTAGGTATGAATTTCTCGCAACTCTACGGTGGATAAGTTGTGCAAAAAATGATATTTCGAAAAGTCTATAGAAAACTAAAATTAAAACTGAAAACCAAAGTGGGAATAAGGTAAATCTAAGCTAAGCAGCAAGATGTTATTATTATCAACCGAATCAACACAAGAACGGAGCTTGTACATAGAGGAGTCTTTTTTTTAACGAACTCCTATAATGGAAACACGAAGTGAAAAAATGTAAGTTGTGAAAACAATTTAACCGAAATGATTGTTAAAGTTAATTTGTGTAGTGGTTTTAGCAGCGCTGACGACCTCAGAATTGGTTTATTACTGGTCACATCTAGAAGAAGTAAGCCAATGGAACCAATGCCAATGCCAAGTAGGTAGCTCCGTGAGAAGCAGCAGCAGCAGCATAGGTTGAGATAGCGGCGGTGGTTGAACCAGAAGCAGTACTTGATTGAGCAGCAACGGATGATGCACCTGCAGCAGTATTCGATTCAGCAGCAACGGATGATGCACCTGCAGCAGTGTTTGATTCAGCAGCAACAGTTGTTCCAGTGGCAGCAGTATTTGATTCAGCAGCAACGGTAGTTTGACCTTCACCAGCGGCAGTAGTTTGACCTTCACCAGCAGCGGTAGTAGTTCCGTAGATAACAGATGTTACAACACTACCGCCAGTGGTGTAAGTGGTAGTTCCAACAGGAGCTGATGATGGAGCAACACCACCTGTACCAGTTGAAGTTCCGTAAATAGTTGAAGTGACAGCAGTACCTTCGGAGGTGTAAGTGGTAGTTCCAACAGGAACTGATGATGGAGCAACACCACCTGTACCAGTTGAAGTTCCGTAAATAGTTGAAGTGACAGCAGTACCTTCGGAGGTGTAAGTGGTGGTCTCAACTGGGGTGCTTGTTGCTGGAGAAGCACCACCAGCAGTAGATGAAAGTGGGCAATAAGTGACGTATTCGGTAACGACACCATTAACAGTTTCAGTGGTAAGAACTGGAACAGCAGTAACAGTTGATGGTTTGCCTTCGTTGTCGGTGGTGGAGATAACCTTGGTTGATTCTGGAGTTTCAACTGATGAGAGTGGACAGTAGGTGGTGTAGATAGTCTCGATACCAGAAACAGTCTTGGTAGCAGCAGACAAAGTAGCTTCAACGGTAGTCTTGTGGCACAAGTCCTCGTGGCATGAGGTGATGGTAATAACTGATGTAACTTCAGCGGTAACGGTGGACAAGATTGGTGATGTTGAAGTAAAGGTAGAAGTTTCACCATTTGGCAAGGTAGTAGTACCAGTGGAGGTTGAGCAGTCAACAGTTTCAGTCAAAACAGTAGTTGAACGGATGGTTTCAGTACCGGTTGCACCACTAGATGCACCACTAGTTACACCACTAGATGCACCACTAGTAGCAGAACCAGCACCAGAAGATGTGGAAGATACAGCGCTAATATCAACAACTTCAAAAGCAGAGTTTGCAATAAAGGTACCATCTCTGCTCTTCAATGAATCAGCAACGGATTGAGCGTCCCTCTTGTCCAATGGGGATAAAGTCAAGTCACTTCCCTTCATTAATCTCTTTCTAATAGCACCGGTGGAGTTTGAAGCTGGTTCTTCTTGAGCTTGGACTTGGTATAATGGAGCACCTGATGTTCCGTACAATAATTTTGCTGGAATGCTAATAACGTTTCCAACATTGACAATATCGGTAAAGTATTTGGTAGCATCAACAAGGGAGTAGTAGAACAATGCAGTGTAATCATCATCGGCACTGTATTTGAATACAGGGCTTGGCAATCCTGATGGAATGGTGAATGGACAAACACCAGTGTCCAAGTCTACGACAGCAACGGATGCACCATCAACTAAACAAGCAACGTCTTTTGAAACGACGGTGGATGACAAGAAAGCCAATGAAGTAGCTACAACAGTGGAAAATTTCATTATAAGGAGTAGCGAATGTGAGGAAATGTAGTTAGTTAGGTAAGAGAAATTTCGAGAAATAAAGGGATTAAGGAGGGGGCTGATGGCGGACTTATATAATAAAAAATATTTCGAGTTGCAATTTGGGAAAAACCTCGTGGTTGTGAACTCTAATGCTAAAGTACCACAAAGCCAAAATGCAACAAGAAAATGGAAAATAGAAGATTTCTTTTATTTTTGGTGACTTTTGTTCCACCAACGAATGAACAAACAAAAAGAAGAGGAAAACTGTGATACACCTAAAAGCATAATGCAAGATGTATTTACAATTACATCGACGTTTGTGCAATGTTTATTGTTGTGGCACCACTCATAACCTTTGTGGAGGAAGTTATATGCAGTAAGTAGTGGGCTTTAGCTTTTTAATGTAGTAGAATTGTACTTTTTTTAATTTTAAACTTTATAATTGACAAAACAATACTGCTTTGGTGAACAAAGCAAACTGTATTGTCTTTCATTTCAAATTTGTTTACTTTTAACTACGGTGGTTGCATTGTATTGTTATCTGTGAGAGTGAACGCACGTTTTGACTTAGCAAACTCGTAATTAACATAGACAACAACAATAGAGTAAGAGTAGATATATTGATTGCAGTTAAACAATGAAATCAGGATTTCGCACTCCGATAGTATTCTAATTTTGATTGGATAAGACAAAAGACGGGAACATGAGTCCGTAGTGTTGATGCGCCAGCCTATTGCCTTGCTTAAGGTAGAAGAGTTCAAGACGCAAGGAAAGACAACATGTGAACTTTTTTGGGAAAATGTAGGAGAACAAGGTCAACTTCTACAATCGGAGTAAAAGCGTAGTCAGGTTAGCCTTGGCAGGAAATAGCTGACAAAACGTTTTGCAATGGTAGATATCCAGCAGCGCAAAACTATTCAAACTTGTTTGTTGTTATTTTTCCTTTTTGGTTGAAAAAGCTTACCAAATTGGAAAGATTGCTACTTTCTTTTCGAACTAATGGCTCGACATAAGCCATATTCTAGATTGGATCTAAACCTCCATTAGTAATAGGAGGAGAAAGATTAAAATTAACTTTGAGTTCCGAAACTAAATTTTGTTATTTTTGTGACGTTTAAATCAACAAAGAGCCAGCAAACAATAAATGAAAGAATTTTCATTTTTATTTTCATTTTATCCAACAAAAATATGCAAATGAACACCTCTTTGTAACGGAATATTGTTGATATCCATTGTTTTTTAGCAGGTAGCTAGGGTATATCTGGTACGACTGTAGAGACATACGAGCACATTTAGATCAATGACCTACTTCCGACAAATGTATTTCAAGTTACAAGTAATTAACTTTTGCGCCAGACACGAAGAAAATAGATAGCACTAAATGAGCTTAAATTGGATTACTAACCCAAAAAAAACGAACTATTCTAACGCATCAGACGTCATCACTTGTGTTTAAGCATGCGTATCACGCTATTTCTACAGCTCTTCGATTTTATGTGGAGCCTTTTTGTTTTCCCAACATTTTTCTGTTGTCATATGTCGGGATATGATAAGCTGTTGTGCTTTATCCACGTATTGTAGTGTTTTTTTTTCCCACTTGTGAAGTCTCATAACCACTTCTGCTCCAAACAAGATTGCTAAATGGGATTTACCAACAAATTATCTCAAGCAAGAGAAACTGAACGGAATTAGAGCCAATTAGATATTTGTCTCACAAAAAACAATGGCTTGTACCTAAGCCATCGCAAGATTAATTACTGCTCAGCGCTTGTTTTCTTCTTTATTGTTTATCATCAGTAGTAGTTATTTACCTCCTTTTTGGCCAATTTGGAGGTTCCAAAGATACTTACGCAGGGGGGAAGGAAGGAGGACACACCCGTTTTAGTTGAATTATGCATTTGTAAATAAACATAGTAATGATATTAATTAAACTTGGAAGAGATTCACATAAAGATTCCGTGGAAGTTACTTTTACAACCGAATACAGTGTTGTAGCTCTACATTTCTCAGACTTGTTATGGATATAACGTAGCCACTGTGAAACCGAACAAGGAGTGATGCGTTGCTAACTGGTGCTTACGCGTTCGGAATTCTGGTCTGCGAAAGAAAACTAAAGCCCCATTTTTAAGAAGCAGCGCGTCATTTCGAGATACCAGTTGACATTCTGTCTCTTACAATAAAAGAAAAAAAAAAAGAAGAGTCTTTGCATAAGGTGCGATGTCGCCCACGCTCTTAAATTCGAGATTTCCAGAGAAACTTTTCTGGGCATTTCATATATTTAGTAGTTACACATATGACAGCCCCTATTGTTTTTGGTCTTCTTTTGCTTTTTCTTTGTATAAAACGTTTGCCATCGAATTAGTTTGTCTAGATTCAATACAGAAGGAGTTTCCACAAAGTACGCCACGGAGATTGAGCTTTTTGTTATCAATTCATCTTCAAAACAGTTTGTTTGTTTATGTCTTATTACTCTTCCCCCCTTTGAAAGTGGCTTTTAAGGAAAATAGCTCGGAATTTGAAATACGAACTTTTTCTCAGAGATGGAAAAAACTTTACCCACTTGAAATCTGAACAGTGGTCAGACTCTCATTTTGATCGACGATGTATCTTGATGACACTCACTCTACTCTGATAGCATGTTGGATATACAGTTAAAAAGGGGGTAAACCTCACTCATTATCTATCTATATAAAATATTAATGATGTATATCCGTAAAATATTCTCTTCCTTCTCCTGCGTTTGTGTAATAAAGAGAAAGTATGTAGTGCACACTGATAAATTTATTCTACTGTGTGTATTTGTTACCAAAGTAGACAAAATGGTTTACTACTCTGTTTATACGAACGTCTCTGAATTCTGAATGAAAGCAACTGAATTGGCAATTACGAGCAATCTTAACTTCTGAACCTTAACACGACCGTGTTCGATTAAGCGGCATGGCACAATCATAAGTGCGCTGAGGGGGGTTATAAGCCTCTTGAATTCTTGGTCCAATTCCCTGTTCTCTCTCATAAAATAACATCACATGTAGAGCCATGCTATGACTCATTGAATCCATCAAATCACCTAAACATCTCCTCAAGGATTGAAGTCTGCTAATTTTCTATCAATTTTCAACTCGGCGTCAATATCGAAATCATCAGAACCTGACCAATCAACTTGGATCTTACGATACTTTGACATATCAGTGTTTTTCAAAAACATAGCCCGTTCCTTATTCCATTCACTCTGTACGTCTTCAAATGCTTTGCCCCAAACTTTGTCATACACCTTTTTAATCTTTGCTTCTTCTTGTTGACGCACTTCTTCTAATGCCATCCATTCCATATGCTTCAAATCATCACTACTTGGCTCGTATATATGCCAAATAACATAATGTGGCAACCCAACCACCGAGTACCCCATTCGTTTACTCAATTTACCAAACGCTTCTGTCTCCGCATGCTTTTCAAAAGAAAAAGCTGGGAAATGAGAACCAGTACGAAAAACCTTGGCTTTGGTCAAGATCGAAACACCTCCGATTCCGTCCAAGTCCATTTCCATCTCTGGATCTCCATATGGATCACGCAAGTATGCCAAATGGGGTCTCCATGTCTGGTATTCAACATAACCTTCGACAATACAGGCGTCTTCATCTAACGTTTCTGCCAATTGTAACCCACCATCACTCTCCTGCCACGAGTTCAAATCGTACGGCTGTTGATTTCCTAACCAGTCTGGTAGTGGACGCCACACATTAGGTACAATCACGTCTTTATCATGGTGCATTAAATCCTCCAAAATAGTCGTCGGCACCGTCTCGACATCGGCATCTCTCCAGTATACATAAGAGTGGTATGGCTTTATAGCCACCGACCACAACCAGTTTCTCGCACGCGCCATCAATTTTCTCCTGGGTCCCTGTGCAGCAAATCCATGTCTATCACTAAAACTCTGACCAATGATCTGACCGAAATCCTTTTCAAATATTTCAATCTCTCCAAAATGCATCTCCGTATTGAGATCCAGCTGAATCTCATTCAAGTGTCTCAACAACTCGCCCATAGTGTCATCCTTGGAATCACTGACCAAAAATGCCAAGTCTATAAGATTATGAGGGTACGTCAACTTTTTCATATGATTGAAAAACATTGGCAAGTGTGCTGCTGCATCTCTCAATGGCACGCAAAACAATACTCGTTCATCATACTGCCATCCATTAGATGAGCCCTCGTAGTTTGCCAAATCAAAGAAGGAAACATTATCTAGTCCGTTCAACTTGGGTGTGTAATGTGACGAGCTCAAGACATTTCTCGATATGAGTAGTAATAGGAGTATAAATACTGCTATTGATATGATGATGTTTCGACCCTGTTGCGATAGGCGGAGTAGTATGTTCTTAGATTTATGCAGCCTCACCTTTGAATCATCCTGATAGTCATAGGGCGTTACCTGCATGGACTGTGGCGTAGATGCTCTGGAAGGTGGCATCGTGGTGTATATGATTTAACGAATGACGAGTAAAATAAAAAAAAAAAACGCGATATGCTGATGCTATGAAAGTAAGATTAGGTTGGTGTTATGTAGTCTACTGCTGCAAAGTAGCGATATTCGACAACGATACAAGTCTTGTGATGCAGTAGTATGATTCGATATAAAATTTGATGTCTTGATGAGCGTTATACGTCGTAAATGACTTGAAGTTGGTCTAACTCAATGTTTTGATTCAGAATGGTTTTACACAATACAAAAAGAGAACAAAAAATTTTTTTTTCTTTTTTCTTCGCTGAAGGAGAACTACCAAGTGTACTTTGTTTTATTTATTTTTTTACAATCCCTTTCATTATGTAGTGATGCATACATATCTTTGACACAATAACGGTTACACTGTAACTTTATGCAAGCTGTCAAATCCACGATACAAATCTATTAAACGTATACATTAAATTACATAATAGACACAACGGAGGTACCATCTTGGAACCTGGTTCTAAACACACGATTGGCGTTGGTGAACATACCCTCTTTTAATGAAACAACAATAAATTGAGATCCTTTGAATCTGGTTTTGATCAAATGACCAATGTTTTGGGTATGCGAAAGATCCAATGCTGCATCAACTTCGTCCAAGATATACATTGGAGCTGGGTTGAATTGAAGTAAAGCCATGATCAATGATAATGCAATAAGGGATCGCTGGCCACCGGATAATTCCAATAAACTGTTTTTCCAAACCGGCCCAAGTTTGACTTTGACTTCGAGACCTTCAGTTACATCCATCATATTTACTGGAACCAACTTGGCAGATGAACCTGGAAGCAAATCAGCAAAAATTTGACCAAAATCGTCCGAGACCTTCTGATATGTCCCATTCAACGCCTTTCTAATTTCTCCATTCAATTTATCAATCGTGGACTCGATCTTCGTCTTGTCTTTTTCAATAGTCTTGATCTTGAATTTCAACGATGCTTCTCTTTTCTCATTCTCTTCAATCATGCTTATCACATTAACATTCACCTTACGCCTCATACTTTGAAATTTTTCTTCCAATTGGCCCAACTGCTCCTTGGCCTCGTCGAAGTTTAAACTTCTGTGTTCAGAAACTTCATGTTCGACGGCACGCATATCTAATACCCATTCATGGTCACTCATTATTTGATCCAACCTTTTCCGCAAGTCGGTTGTGGCATTGCGCGATTTTTCCAATTCGAAGTTGAGACTTTTAATCTTGACCCGTAGGTTTTCGGCTTTTTTGTTTTTGGCAGCTATTATTTTTGTCAATTCATTCAACTCCTCATCTAATCCTGCCAAACTGGCTTTCTCTTCTTCCACTTGAGCTTTTACGATGGCCAAACCTCTCTCTAAGTTCACCTGGTCATGCTCGTCCGCTTGATCCTTTGCCTTTAGTTCACTTATGCTCTTTTCTGTAGTTACATATTGTGCCTTGATGTCTTTCAATTCTGTTTGTTGCTGTTCAGTTTCCCACTGCAAAACTTGGAAATTTTCTGTCTCTAATGCCATCTCTTTTTGCTTCTTGTCCAAAACCGACTTCAGGTCCTTTATTTCCTGCTTCAATTGTGAAATCTTACCTCCTTTGTCGCTATTGAATTCCTGCATATCCTTTTCCACTTCTGTGATCTCATTTTCGTACTGCAGGCAATCATTTTCTAGTTGACGGATTTCACCAGTCAACCTTTCAATGTCGTGCTTTCTCTCCTCATTCGACTTTAAGAAAGACGATGCTTGGTTGTTTTCAAGTTTCCTTTGGAGTAAGGACAATTCATACTTTTTCATTTCAATCTCCTTTCGCATACCACTGGTAGCTTGCATCCCCTTTTCCCAGCTGTCAATTTCCTCCTTTATTTGATACAATTCATCATCCACAACATTCAACTGCTTAAGCACTTTATTATAATCCTTCAAGGCAAGCAACAAGGCCGTGTTGTTTCGGCGCGACCCACCAGAAATGTTTCCTTCCGGGTCATAAGTGTCACCCTCAAGCGTGATTGATCTCGTCCTAACCTGAGGGTCAAAGGTGACTCTCTTTGCTGCATCTGGGTCGGCACATATGAATGTGGTTCCAAACACATACTGCATAGCCTTGTGTATATCCTGATCATATACAATCAAATTTAATGCCAACTCAACTTTACCAGGGGCTATCTGCTGCGCACGTTCAACAACAGCCGTTCCCAAAACATTAGGATTAATCTTATCCAATGGAATCATTGTGACCCTTTTCCTTAATCTGCCACGTTCGAGCAATTGTGACGCAACCTCACTAGTTTTAACCACCACATTATACAACCTTCCACCAGCGCACGTCTGCAAAGCAATGGCCTTGTCATATGAGGATTCCGGCAAATCAAACAACTGAGCTACAACACCTTGTACTAAACGGTCGTCAAAATTCGGATGTGGTCTTTCGTAGTAAAAATCAAGACCTCGTAGGTTTTGCTTCATGTAGTTCAATTCTCGCAATAGTTTTTCCTGTTGTGATTTGAGTTCAGCTTCTGTTGAGCGTATCTTGTCTATATTCAATGTAGTAGAGCCCGTGACCTTGGCCAACCCAGCCTCTTTATTTTCAATCTCGCTTTCAAGGTTTTTTACACTCACCATGAATTGGTCATATTCCCCCTTGGCTTTAGCTAGCTTTGGCTCGTCGCTTTTCAAACCTTGAAAAATATGCTCGATTTTTAGCTTATTTTGTTGGATCTGATTCTTAGACGAGCCAAGCTTATTCTTGACGTCACTGAGTTGAGAAGCATAACCTGTAGATACACCACCTTTGGAAGACAACCCTGTACTCAATCCTGCCAATAGCTCTTGTTTCCTTTCAAATTGCTCCTTCAATAATGAAAGCTCCCTTTTCGAAGCCTCGTGCATTTCTTCGTGATTCTTAAACGAAAACTCGCTTTCTTTCAAGGATCTCTCTAGATCCTGCTGTTTCTGCTTCAACAGTTCTAATTTATCGGCCTCATTCCCTAATTCTTCGGTAGTCAATCCCCGTTTAGTCCTCAATCTTTCTAGATCATTTGCAATTTTACCTTCTTGGTGCTCCAATTCATTAATTTTCCCATCCTTCTTCAAATTCGCCTCTCTTGCCTCCCTTACCTGTTGCAAATCTTCGTTCAAATTGTTTATCTCATGAGTTAATTTGTCCACCTCCAAATGTAATTCTGCGACTTTATTCTCATGCTTTGCTGTATATTCAGAGTTGTTTGTAAATAACTGAGTTAGCTTTGAGTATTCAAATGCGGTCACAACACGTCTGTGCTTCTCCAAAGCCGTTTCTGTGTTTTTAAATTCAATGTAAACACGTTTATCATTCCTAAATTTCTCAAACTTTGGCTCAATCTCCTCCTTTAGTAACGTTTTAATTTCCTTAAGCTTGGAATCTTTCTTTGCCATTACCTTCTTGGCTTTGCCCTTTTTTTCCTCAAAAGTTCGAGTACCGGCTGCCTCTTCAATCAATGACAATATTTCGCTTGGTCGCATGTTTAAAACCTTTGTGATTTTACCCTGCATGATCAAGAAATTAGGGTTATTGATATTTAGCTGCACTGACTGGAAGAGGCTTAGAACAGTTTGCTGTTGTGCTTTATGTCCATTAATCAAATACTTTGACGTTCCTCCCAAAATGATCTGTCTTGTAACACTAATTGTAGCACAAGTCTCAAACCCTATGGGTGACTTAGATATTTCGGAGTTGTTAAACACAATCGTAACACTTGCTTTGGTCACCCCTGCTTGACCTCTCTTGTAAATCAAGTCTTGCAAGTTTGATGCTCGAACCGTTTGCATCGATGATATTCCAAGCACGAAACAAATGGCGTCGAGAATATTTGATTTACCCGAACCGTTCAACCCGGTGATGGCATTAAACAGCGCATCCCAGCCTGATATAACAGTACGTGTGGCATACGACTTGAATCCATCGATTATTAGCTCCTCCACTTTCATTTTGTTGGTGAGTACAATCTATAAAGAATATACGATCTTGGTATCCTTTGTTTACGTTTATTCATGTCGCAAATTCTCTCGCGCGTTTTGATCTTTCTCTCTTGGAAAAATCTCACTAGTTGCACAAAAACCAAACCATCCCAAACTCATCTGAAAATAGAGCTAGTCTCATATAGGTGGATCGGCCCAACTTTGCACCTATTTAAATAAAGCAGATGTTCAGTTATACTACAGCTTCAAGCATTTGGCGCAGAGATATACGTCGAAGGCGAAGTCTACACTATTGTGCATATTTGAGACGTCGCTATGTGAAATATAACTCATCCACCAACGAGAATGAAAATGGGGCAAAGGGCAGTAGGGAAGTTTTACATGATTACAAGAAGAAGCTGAATAGCACCACCAAACAGTGGAGTAACTCCGGATCTCTCAAGTTTCAAAACTTTAAACATCGTCCCGTATCGTCGCTGAAATGGAACAAGTCACTTTCCAACAATCACGAGGAAAATCACGACGAATCAACAAGTACAAATCGAGAAGCTCAAAATGGATCACCATCTAAAGAATTTGATATGAGCTCGTTGCGATCGTTTATCAAAAGTGGACAAGAGCTAGCTCGTGATAAGAGTATGGGAAATGAGGAGCCAAAGCATCCTCAGGATCAGGGCGTAGACAAAGAACTGTTCTTGGATAATTCAAGTACCCCCAAAGATAGTGCAAGTGATCTCACAAAGCTTGTTGGGATGATCAAAACGAAGAAGAAATATTTTGATATTGAGCAACCCAATTTCAACTTGGATAGACCAAACAAGGAGATTCTCGACGGTATCAAAAGCAGATCGGAAAAGTCAAAAAAACTTCTGTACAGAGATCCTTCGAACCTGTGGAAGGAAGAAATAGGTAACTTCAACGAGCTAAAGAGCTTTTTCAAGCAACTACCCCAGCGAGTCAAAATTAACGGGAACCTAATGAACAGTCCGGTGAGAGTGGGGGATTTAGTTACCTTTGGTTCAGAGAGTCTTCGGTTGTACATTGTTGCTGAGACCCCTAAATCATTTGATTCTCGAATTGCCACGTTTCTTTCTGACAAGGGAGAAATTGTGTTTTCTAGTTTCTCAAACGTGAATTACAGAATACCCCAAGCCATTCCTGAAAAGTACATGGAAACTATTGGTAACTTTGTCACAGAAGAGCAAAAGTATTTAGATAATCCGCCAGTAGGCATACCAGATCTAAACTTTACTAGATCTGCTGCATCGTTGCCAATAGAATTGCAAAAGGGTGAAACCGAAACCACTGCTGAAGTAGAAGGCGAAGTGTCCGAGTACGATTCCAATGACCTTGTCTTATCCCAGGCGTCATCCCAACTATTGACCAATTCAAATGTGAGGACATTTATTATACCAAATGCAGCTCGCGAATTGTTTCATGCGGCATTGACGCAGATATCAAACAATGCATTTCGCAAGGTCCATGAAACAAACAAGAAATTGGAAGGATTGCATAGAATATTGCAAAATGACGAGACTGGAGAGATAAATACACCTCGATCCATTTCCATTTTCGAAATTTTGAGCAAATTGAATGTTCATCTGGAACCTAATGTCCCATCGAATGGAGCGTCTTTCGGAATTCTGCCCAATCAACTGGTGGATTATGCCTCAGAAAACTTTGTCGCTGCAGAATACTTGTCTGTTTTATTTGCATTGAGGAAGCAAAGCAGGCTATGGACAATCCAGCGAGACAAGGCATCTTTTTCACCGACTAAAGTTATCATATGGCCCTTGGCGCAAGTTGCCCACGAAGACGAAGTAATTAGAGCTCTTAGAGGAAAGGAGTTTGGAAAAGTGGCACAATACTGTACAGAAAGACTTCTTGGCAAAACAGAGCTAGCTAAACCGACATTGTATGACAGTGTGGTAAACATGTTGAAGGAATATGTAAATGGAAAGTTTGACGACGATCCAATGGTGTCGACGACACTAATTTCTTTATTGAGAAGGATTGACAGCTTACTTTTAAACCAGGGAGAGGTAATCCCAGATGATTCCTACAAGTTTGAATACTCGTTTGGTAAAGCATACGATTTGTTGACAAGGTTGAACCAGGATGTCAATGTCAATCCTGTTAAATGGACAGCGGAATCTGATCTTCCTGGACAACATACTTCCATAAAGGCAGATTTGCAAGGTACATACTTCAAATACTTTGACAAGGTGTATGAGCTCCGCGAGAAAGATGAGATTGCACAAAAGACATTAACAGACAATTTGTACGAAAATGATCCCCTCAGTGACAAGAGAATTGACATGAAAGAAGTGTCGATATATTGCATTGACGACGCAACAGCTCACGAAATTGATGACGGAATTTCTCTACATGAAGAAAATGGCAAGTACGTAGTTACAATTCACATCGCAGAACCAAGCTCGTACATTAAACCAGACTCGATCATCAGCAGCATTGCGTATGGGAAAGCATCCACCACGTATCTTCCCGAGGCAGTGTTCCCAATGTTGCCTCAAATGGTGTCGAAAATTGCCGGATTGGGACTGAATGGAGTAGAGACGAGGACATTTGTTGTGCAGTATAAATTAAACAAAAGAGATGTTGATGACTGCATTAGTAGAGCATTGAAGGACAGCCTGTATGCTCCCGACAAAGTTCTTTTAGACAATATCAAAAAGAACGTTTACGATAGTAGTGAGGTGAAATTTGCACTTACCAAAAGGTTTCGTCAAGGCTTTACGTATGACGCTGTGAATAAATTGCTTCTAGATGACTGTAAAATTAGCAAATATCGAGATGCTTCAACTTCTGGTGATGCTGATTTTGACAATTTGATAAAATTGCAATATATTTCATCGCTATTGTGGAGAATCAGAGAATCAAATAATGCATACACAAGTGGCCAAAACAAGAAGTTGATGGTGGGGACAAACAAGGACTCTAATCATACATCGGTTGAAGAAGATGGCAGCTACAAGCTAAGTCTTCCAAACAGCGACAAGTCCATTGAAATCACATCTGAAAGTACAAATAACTTGTCAACTCAATTGGTGACTGAAAATATGATAATCGCTAATCATTTGACTGCCAAGTTTGCCAACGATAAAGGCATTAAAATATTGTACCGCAGTTTAGACCCAAAGTTTAATCCAGAATTGTTGCTAGAGTATAAGGAGTTAGTTCGGCAGGAAAGAAGTGATATTGATCAGGAAAAATTGTTGAACCTTTACGCATTCTTGACGAGAGGGATAATTTCGGACAAACCAGAGAAGCACTTTATGATGGGGTTGAACATGTACACAAATATATCCTCACCGTTGCGAAGATTTATTGATATGGTCAACCAATGGAAATTTCAGGATTACTTTCTTGGAAAAACCTCAGTGTCGGATGAGAGTATCGGAGGAATTGTATCCAAGTTGAATGCCAAGAATGATATCGTGAGAAGTATACAAAGGGACTCGATAACCTTTTGGCAGTTGTTGTTTTTGAAAATTTTCCACGAGCAAAATAGTGGCAATATAACAGAAATGCTAGATTTGAAGTTATCGCTTCGTTCCAACCCCAAAAAGGGGATGACGGTTGCTGTAAATTTGAAAACATTTTCCAGTGTCAATGCGCATGTTGATGTTAGTCAAGAATTGTTGGAGGATGTAGGTTCGGGACATTTGGGTGCTGGGGATTTGCTTGATAGTTCAAAATTGCATTTGAAAAAGATTGATGTGATTGAGAATCTATTGATATTTGAATATAGATGATTACGTTATTGTAAATAGAAAACTGTACATAAACACAGCGTAACTATACATGAAATTTCTAGCAACTTGGCTTTTTCTATAAATCTTAATTCCCCACTCATGCCCATTTTCCAATGAATGCCATTGCAAATGCACCTAAGCTCAAATTAATATATGCAAACAATAACTTTTTAATACCATTATCTTTAAAGTCACCTGAATACATAAAGTCAAATGCCATCAATTCAGCAATGCTATTGTAGATCAAGATTCCAGCACAAGTGGCATCAAAAGTACCGGTAGTGATTAAAGAAGTCCTTGAGCCTGCTGGGTACGTTTCACGAACAATCAAACCGATTCCACAGGCAAAGGGAGTGGTCAAACTGTAAGCTAGTGACATAACCCATGGAACATATCTTTTTCCCATTGGCCACTGTGTGGTTGCAAAACGTGTGCCAAGACCTAAACCTTCAAAAAGCTGGTGAAATCCAATGGCAATATACAACGTAACAAATTCATCCCCAGCTATAGCCAATGATAATCCAACAAATATAGAATGTAAAACAATACCACATTCCAATACAACACAATTCAATATCTGCTGGTACAAGCTTTCAAGTTTTGTGAGATTGCGCTCATTTATTTCTATGTCGAAGGATTTGTTTGACAAATTCGATTGCAGTTCTTCTTCACCCGGGCAGGCACATCCTTGACAAAAATCGGTTGATGGCTCCCCAGTAACGGATTCAAATCCAATTGGAAGCTTGCAATGCTTCTCGTTATTGATCTGGGCTTTTGCCTTGCTGGATAGTTTATAATGAGCAACTATATCAAAAAAGAAGATGAAGAATACGGCAATCAAAGCTATACCTTCAGCAAATGGGTAGTCTGTAAATGGAGGACCTAGACACTTGTTGCTCAACGCTGCAGCTGCTTCAGCCATTAAGTGGATAAACCCGGTAGCAATGATTACTCCACTTCCAAAATATCTAATTCCATTGAAAATCCATTCGGGTATCATGAACTTTTTGGAGTATGCAGCTAGCAAAGGGGCAAACGAGCCCACTACTGAAAGCACAAACAAAACGGGAACAGCTGACACCCTGGCTGCAAAATGCTTTCCATTGTAGAAATTGCCATCGAGGCAAGTATCGTAATTATTCTGTCTTGCGACTAAGTAATTCATGGTTGATATTGTCAGATATAAGAAAAATTGGTTCTTTTGAGGGGGGACATCATTGTACTGAAGGTAAGACATTCATGGGATTTTATAACTGGTTGGCACACATTTGTAAAGTTGTTTAAAAGAAACTGAACCAAAAAAAGAAAAGAAAATGGAAGGGAAGAGAAAATGACTGCCAGCTTTTAGATTTGCCAACCTGACAGATGTCACCATAATTGAAGAACATTTTCAACTAATACTGCTGACTAGTGTAAATATATAATTTATCTTGAGTGCTTTTCCTTTTCTTTTTCTGTTAGAAAAATAGCCCACATAAAGTATAAATCGAAGTGAAATTGGTTCGTGTAAGCTGTTATAGTTGATGCTACTAGTCAACTGTAGGGCATTGCTCATTGATAATTGTGGGGCAAGATTGAGTGACATTTCGAATAGTATCACAAAAGTTACAGAGTGAGAAGATTATTTCCGTTTCTTTTTTGTTGCACCAAGAATTGCTTTTTGGTTGGACCTTTTTATTTTAAAAGTCACTTGATGTATGATTTGTAGACTAATATCGAGAGTATAGAGGTCAATCTTTAAAAGAACCCAGAGGGCTTAAAACAATTCGACTTTGAAATCTCACTATTATCCTCTATAAAGAATTTGCAAATATCAAACCAAGACTATGCCCATTTTCCAATTAGTGCCATTACAAAGGCCCCTAAAGTTAAGTAGAAAAATGCAATCAATAGCTCTTTTGCCGGCTTATTTTTGAAATCTCCTGAATACATGAAATCAAATGCCATTAATTCAGCAATACTATTGTAAATTAGTATTCCCGCACAAGCTGCGTCAAAAACTCCCGTGGTGATCAATGCTGTTCTTGATCCTGCAGGATAGCTGCCACGTACTATTAAGCCTATTCCTGATGCGAACGGCGTGGTCAAACTGTAAGCTAGTGACATAACCCATGGAACATATCTTTTCCCCTTGGGCCATTGCGTGGTGGCAAATCTAGTACCGAGACCCAAGCCTTCGAAAAATTGATGGAAGGCAATAGCAATGTAAAGCGTTACAAAATCGTCCCCAGCTATAGTCAATGACAACCCTACGAAAATCGAGTGTAATACAATACCACACTCTAACACCACGCAATTCAAAATCTTTTGGTATATGCTCTCAAGCTTAGACAAATCTCGTTTATCCACCTCCCTTATTTCAGTTGATCCATTTGTGTGCTTCGACAGGTTCGATTCCTGATCCTCCTCTGGTAGAGTCTCACTTTGCAGTCGACCAACCGACTCAAATTCCAACAGCGTGTCGCCATTCTTTTCCGCTTCCAAGTAAGCTTTCGCTTTAACTGATAGTCGCTGGTGGGCTACAACATCGAAAAAGAATATGAAAAATACACCAATCAATGCAATACCTTCAGCAAACGGATAGTTGGTAAATGGAGGACCCAAGCATTTATTTCCAAGGTTAGCAGCCGCCTCTGCCATCAAATGGATGAATCCAGTGGCTATGATCACTCCACTTCCAAAATACTTTATGGCATCAAATATCCACCTTGGTACTCTAAATCTGGTAGAATACGCTGCCAACAATGGCGTGAATGATCCCAACGCCGACACCACAAACAATACCGGGACTGATGACACTCTCGCTGGCCAGTACTTCCCATTGTAGGAGTTGGTGCTGAGACAAGTATCCTCGTTGTCCTGTCTTATAAATATGATATCCATAGAAGAGTTACCTGGTGATTAGCATAAGGGTAATTGCTGTAGTTATAGACCCAGACGAAAGTTCTCGAGATGTGGTCAGCTGAATTGTTTCACGACTCTTATATAGGAAGTTTAAGAAACATCCCATGCAGTACAACCATGGAACGTACCACTTGGCATTTATAAAATAATGGGTTCTAAATTTTGCAAAATTCTTGGCTTTTTTTTGCTCAAATTTTTGGGTTTACTATTCTTTGACCCGATAAAAGTTACTTGTGGGCTGAGTAGATGTCTATGGTTTATTTTAGAGTCCCGGGAACTTCTATTAGCGGGACATTCCAAGAATGTATGCCGGGAGCAGTGGTTTCAATACCTGTCATATTGCACAACGGCATTCCCATTGACACGTTAAATGGACCAAGTTGCGCATATACCAGAAAGTGTGACCTTAATGCAAGCTCTATGACAAAGTTAGAGTGAGATTCTGCAAGATTCCGCTGATTGGAAATAACGGTGTAGTTTCTATTTTCGGGAATGTTAGACTGTAGTGTACTGAACTTCACGAAGAAGCGCAAAATTTTTGTTTTGAACTTAGCGTACGATTTCGTAAATAAACGAAAATAAACAGACAAACTCCACGAGATATCAAAGCTGCATCAACTATGAAGTATCATGAGGAAACAGAGGTATACGCTTCACATCAGCTTCAGAACTCTTTCTTGTCCACTGTTGATCACCTCCCATGCGACATAGTTCGATCACTTTGGCTAGTTCAATCATGCAACATCAAAATTGACAAATCCAAACAAGAGTTGCACAATTTACTCCAGAAATATCAAACAACAGCAAGCATACTGCAAGATGAGATAAACAGAATGTACGAGCTAAAGCATTCGATACGGCATTTGTACAATGAAACTATACAAGAAGGAAAAACACTCAATAATCAAATGATTATTCACAAGCTACATCTAGAAGATGAAATTAATCAGTTGAATACAATCAAAGATAAGCGTGTGCTGAAAGTGGATGATAAAGAATCACACGAACAGCTTCGTAAACAGTTGAAGAAACATTATAAAGAACATCCGTTGGTGTCACAGGTTGAAGCCGTTGTTGAACAACAAAAACATTCGCAAAAGGAGCGGAAACGAGCGTCAACTAAATCGGGGATTAAGTTAGTTTTAAGAATACCGAAACAGGATAAGGTTTTGAAGCCAAAGGGCAAACACGTGGTGAAAAAGAACAGTACGGAGCGTAAAACAAAGACTGTTGATCTAGCAAAGAAAGATGATCTACCTGCAAAGAAGGAGAGGAAACCTATACGAAAAGAAAAAGAGATTGTGCCACAGGTGAAACAAGTTCAAGAGGAGGAAGATGAAGACAATAAAAGATATTGCTTTTGTCAACAGCCGTCTCTTGGCGATATGATTGCATGTGATAATGAAGCTTCGTGTCCCAATGGTGAATGGTTTCATTACAAATGTGTGGGCTTGTTGAATCGTGTTGATGCTTTAAAGTATACCACAGGTAAGATACCATGGTATTGTTCAGATACTTGTCGACAAATGGGCGAGTCAGAGAAAACAAGACTTCAGGAAATGAAGAAACGCAAGAGGAGGCGCAAATGGTGAAAGCGAACGACGCAATTGCTTTGCTTAATAGGTGATTTATTCCGTTTAAATGTCTATACAGTTAATAGTTCCAACATACCATTTATTTCATTGGCTTCCTTGCACTTGGCAATCTCCAATTCAATTTTGCGCAAAAGGGCACTAAAGCTCTCTTCCAAAACAACACTTCTATCAATCATTGATCCGTACATTTCCAAAATCACGGCAATATAATCGCTTATAAGATTAAATGATCTTACATCTTCGATATTCTTGGTAAACCATTGTAGCATGGGCAATAATGAAATTTCGTCTCTTTCATACAAGGCAATTCTCATTTTACCTCTAGTTTTCAATTCGTTGAGAATGGTGATTGTATGCTCTTTTGGTAATCCTGGTGCAAAAGCACTGTCTAATGCCTCGCTCCATTTGAAACTGTTCAAATACTTTTCAAATTGTTTCAATTTTTTAGTCTGCGGCCCACTGGTGTTGTTTACTATTTCATATTCTTCTTCTCCTTTGTAGTCTCTACCTTTCATCATTCGCGCATATGCATTACTTGTCTCTTGTTTGACACCTTGTTTCACTTTTGGTTCAGTGGTCTTGGTACGTATAGAAATTAAACCCGACGTTAACCCCGCAGCAAAGTGTTTGTAATTGGATGGCGATACGGCGCATGTTAAGACCCCACCACTTCCGAACTTCCATCCAAACTTGACATCCCAATTTGTTGTATTATAGTCAAACACTTTGACATGTCCGTCCAAAGATCCGATTAATAATCCTTTTTCCTTTGTGTCGTATAAACATGTGGTTGATTTGGTGAAGTTATTCAACTGATGAATTTGAGAGTTTCTAGTCAAATCCCAAATCTTTGCATGTGGGCCACCAGCACTCACAATAGTGCTGGCGTTAATTGCAAGAACATCTTCAACCGGGTTTTCTTGGTTAAAAGATGCAACTGCACCTGATGGATCTCTAGTATCAAATAATCGTACCATGCCATCATAACATCCAGTTATTAACAAATTTGAATCACCAGGAACAAAATTTACACTTCTTATGTAATCACCATGATGCAGCTCGTTAAATGATTGAATGGGGCCCTGAGATGTTTGTGAAATGTCCCACACTCGTAATACACGATCATCAGATCCAGTTACTAAATTAGATCCAATACTAGGGTGGAACTTTGCAACATGGGTAGGATGCAGCGATGGGTTCAAACTAACTAGTAAATTTCGTGGTTGATAACTATCGTATATCGATACAAGACCACTGGCATCAGATGCACAAATCAATTTCCCATCGTATCGAAAATTGGAAGAAAATACCACATCTTTAAACCGAGAAAATGTCTTGATGATCTGTCTCGTCTTTGATGAAAAGATTTGTATTCTGGTTGATGATACAACAGCAAAATCATGTGGTGCTATTGGATTGAATTCAATGTGGTTAATTGCATGGTTCTCTTTGATCAATTGGGGATTAATATAACTTCTCCAATATCTTTGTTCAGGAGTAGTTTGGGATGCTAAGGTTGGATTTCGCACCTGCGGTATACCTTGTCTTGCCGATGACATGATGTAGATACTTGATAGTTGTAGACAGTTTGGTACTGTAACCGGAAATGATAATAACGTCTAAGATTTTTTTTTTTCTTTTTGAAGCGAAGACCTTCACGTGATGAGATTACACAAACATTTCCTTTTGCAGCAAAGTATTCCTGATGAAGCTTTTTACATGGTTATTTGAGCAAGGAGGGGTAGTTGGGGACTGTGATTAGGGTATGGCTGCTTGGAGTGCACTGTGGTAAGAGTAATCCCTATGGTTGTACTTATATGTCATCAGTGTCTTAACATTTTGGTACCAAATTGAAACAAAAAAAATAAAGAGTCAAGCCTTTTTGCTAATATTTTCAAGGACCTAGCAGTCTCAATTTGTGAGCGACTACGTTGCTAGCAACTACTTTAGCAATCCAACAATCATCTTAAAGACCTTTGAACACATTAACAGCTTTCAAAATAAGTCTGTAGATTGTGCTTCATGTTTAGCGCCATTAATTGACTGGACTTTGTGCTCTGTCTCACCATTGGTGATGAGTTGCCGTAGTGCAGTTTGGCTAACTGGATTGTATATGATGTTGTGGTAAAACACAAAATTGCAAAGTGGTGAAACCCAACAAAAAACTTTGTCCATTCTACACCAAGACAAGAAGGAGTCGCTAGAGGGAGCTTGGTTTGAACTATTCTGACGATGAATACCTGGTGGTAGGTAACCTATTTTTGCGCATAACTACCACAACACAGATAAGTAACTGTTGGTGGTTATGTGCTGGTGTTTATGTTATTTTCTCTTGAAATTCAGAGATGTAAATGGTGCCGTTGATAATTTAGGCCTCTGTGCTTTTCAAACTTCAGACGATACAAATTTACACATTATTGACTATTTACCAGCGATGAGTTGGAGAAAGGTGGAAGGTTTATTACTAAACATCATCCGGATTCCTTGTTTTCTCTTTTATTAACTTATTAGTAATAATATATACAATAATGCCACACATAATAAAATTTTAAGGTACGCAAATAGGGTAAACAAAACAAAATATATAGAAGAGTTGTACAAAGAAGTCATAAAGTAGTTATAAAGGGCGTGTATATATGTTAAAAAAAGAGAAAATGAAGTAAAATTTACACAAAAGAGTATTCAATTTGGTACATACACGAACTCCGTGAGAAAAGATTTAACCAATGGGCAAATGTATGTATTTTGTCTCAATTTGGTGGCTCATTGATGCAATTAGCCATGGGGAGAACATCCCGTGCGACACAAAAGATTTGATTATTGATTGATCGTATGATGAAAAAAAAAAACAACAAACAAAACTTTTGCAAATTGCACAAACGACCTTTGGGAAAACATTGTTGATTAAAAGGGATAACTTGAGAATTACTGGAAAAAGTTCTTCATAGCTTAAAGGTTTCCACCACTAATGCCACTAGTTTAGTGCTTTATTTTCGAGAAGGGTATTATTAGAGTTTTCTTGCAAACTTTTACGCTATTTATTTTCTTTTTGTTATAAGAGCTTAGATTTTGTGGCATATAGGACTATTAATAGAATACGAAAATAATAATATCACTTATACACCACGCCCAATAGTGTTGAACATAGGGAGGAAATAGAGATAATAAGCAAAGTAGACAACAGTAATCGAATCTAAAGACTAAAACTACTGCAGTTTGTGTAAGATTTGAAGCTGATTATTATATATGGAATTCTTTGAAACAACACCGAATCAAATAATGGAACTCGATGGCGACACTGATGTGACGTGTTGATCAGGAGCGAAAGAAATTGGGGTAACGGTGTAGTAGCTACAGCATTACTATGTATTTTGCGGCAGACTGGTCTAGGACCCAACTGACAGATAACTGATGCTCTACAAGATTCCATTCCATTTGTGAAGTTGATGTGTGTCCAGCAACACATTCGGTACACAAATGCACAATTCATTTGAGCCCTAATTCTAACCCAACGTAAAGACTAAAAGTAAAAGCAAAAGCAAAAGCAAAAGCAAAAGCAAAAGCAAAAGCAAAAGCAAAAGCAAAACAATGGAATACAGTAAAATAAATGATTTGCGGAAACTACTTTATTAATATTGGCATTTTTGCGTCTTGAACCTTGAAAAGCAAACAGTATTAAATCAAGAAGAGATATCCCCTTACTTCTTTACTTTTTTTTGTCTTTTTTTTAATAAAAGGTACGTATACTTGCTCAACATTTAAGGACACTCGGGTTCTTTCTAAAGTCTCCAAATTAAGTAGTCTTTGGCATTTACAGCAATAAGACGTCATTCACACAAGAGCTTATTCTTTCGAAAAAAGGTTGCATACTCCGAGGGATTTCACTGGGACTAAAAATTTGCTAAATAACGCTACTACCACTCGGTTAACGTCCACAGAAAGTGATACAGTTTTGATTTTGCCACGAATCAGTTCAATCAGTTAGCATTGCACATCTCCAACTATACCCAGTACTACAAGCCCCAACCCAAGACAATAAATCAAAAAACAAGACCTAGTTTAACAAGCAAAACAGGTCCGGAGAAAAATCATAGCACTTCAATTCAAGACAAGAAAAGGTTTCCCAGTGGAAGTAAACTTGGTACATTTCCGTTAAACAGAAGGGATACATAGAGCAACTATATTTTCTGGAGTGTTGACCATTGATCCTACCCCCCCCCCCCCCCTTCCCACTCGTCAACTAAGACAACGCTAACTGAATCCTTTTGTCTCCAGCAAGAGCTATTTTTGTGTACGCAACCCGCCTTAAGTACAAACAACTCAAACAGAAGAAAAAACGAAAAAAATAAAAATAAAAAGAAAAAGAAAAAGAAAAAAAAATAATTGTAAACAGAATAGCAACTACGAGATAGTGGAAAACATTTTAAATCAATTACCAAAGAAATACAGAATAAACATATACACTACACTAATATAGAAAGCATTAAAGTACCATGAGCCATCAGCCAGGCGAAGACGAGATACAGCAACAATTTGAAAGGTTGAGTATAAACAAATATGCTGGCACCAGGAGTCGTGCAGCTTCGTCCGCTTCTTCAACGTCAACGGGTTCAGGTTCCACATCATCCACAGTCCAACCACCTGTTTCGTCCCCACCTGCAGCACCTATATCGTCAGTTCATACACCACTAAATAGTGACATACAGGCAAGGTTATTGGCATTTCAACAAAAGCGGTCGAAACCGGCTTCCGAACCAGTGAATGTTTATAAGCAAAATAATGCCACGGCACCCAGCGTGACAACTGCAGCTCTCCAACAATCGTCACTTGCACCTCCTGTACCTCCCCCTCATGCCACGGAGTTTAAGAGTGATTCGAAATTGGAAACCATAGCTCACGTGGAGGAAGATATCCAACCTGACACAATCGGTAAAAAACAAGTAGAGTCCTTATCGTCAGCCTTCAACACCGTTGCCCCGTCATCAGACACAACAAAGAACACAATAAACTCGGTAGATGCCAATTCTCAACATGCAAATGCACCGGATAGGAATCAACCCATGGCAAACCGATTTACACAAGCACAAGCACAAGAGCAAGAGCAAGGGCAAGGGCAAGGGCAAGGGCAAGGGCAAGGGCAAGGGCAAGGGCAAGGGCAAGGGCAAGGGCAAGAGCAAACAAGAAGCCCCAACCAGAACCAACTCCTGTCTCCAACATTTAAATCACAGATGAGCATGCAAAAGAAACCGTCGTTATCCCAAAGAAGAGGAATGAAATTGAATACTAGCGCGTTTCCTTTTGGTAGTCCACCTATCTCATCAGAATCACCACTGTCTGCCACAATGTCCCCAACATCATTAGATGCAACACTTAATCTCAATACCGGCACAGTTAGAACACCAGAGCGCGAGGAACCGCCAGCAAGCTCTATCGGGGTGACGTCGAATTCGACTGCGTCTAATACTGCTACAGCGTCAAATGTCAACTCCACTACTGCACAAACTTCAACCACTTCAACTCCATTTGCAACCACGATGAGTTCTAAATTGGGCACGCCGAACGAGCTATCGAGACGATTATCTGAGCGAAAGAAGAAACCAAACTTCAAGCTTAACTTGGATTCACCAGGAAGCAACATCCCTTCAAGAAGTAGTAGCTTAGGTAAGTCAAATTCTTCAGGGCCCTCCAGTGACAACAGTCCCCAACAGCAAGACAAAGAGCCCCAGTTACAAGGTTTATTTGCCAACTATTCGAAGTATATAGACATCAAATCAGGACAATTGAACTTTGCAGGTAAGGCCTCATTACATTCCAAAGGAATCGACTTTTCATCGGGTTCATCTTTCCACATTTCACTAGATGAGTTTGAATACTTGGAAGAATTGGGTCGAGGAAATTATGGCTCGGTATCGAAAGTGTTGCACAAGCCTACTGGTGTTTTAATGGCAATGAAGGAAGTGAGGCTAGAGTTGGATGAAACTAAATTCACGCAGATTTTGATGGAGTTGGATATTTTACACAAATGTGACTCGCCATTTATTGTTGATTTCTATGGTGCATTTTTTGTTGAAGGTGCCGTTTACATGTGTATTGAGTATATGGATGGGGGATCACTTGATAGGATATTTGGTAGTGATATCGGTGTCGAAAATGAGAGTGAATTGGCATACATCACCGAGTCGGTTATTCGTGGATTAAAGGAACTTAAGGATAAGCACAACATTATCCACCGTGATGTCAAACCAACAAATATTTTGGTCAATTCTCAGGGCAGAGTGAAACTATGTGATTTCGGTGTATCGGGTAATTTAGTTGCCTCCATGGCAAAGACTAATATCGGATGTCAATCATACATGGCCCCTGAAAGAATCAAGAGCTTAAAACCAGACGAAGCCACCTATTCTGTCCAATCCGACGTATGGTCATTGGGATTGACTATATTGGAATTGGCTGTTGGCCATTACCCATATCCAGCCGAGACTTATGATAATATCTTTTCCCAATTGAGTGCAATAGTCGATGGTGAACCTCCCAAGTTGGACTCTTCAAAGTACTCAAAAGAAGCACAATACTTTGTCAAATCCTGTTTGAATAAAAACCCCGATTTAAGGCCTTCTTATGCTGCATTATTACAACATCCATGGTTGGTCAAATATAGAGACCGGCCGCAACACTTGGATAAAACAGTTCAAGCAAGGATGAACCAATTGGATAGTGGGGACGCTGTTGTGTCTGCCACTCCCGGCGGCACAACACCCACGTCGTCTGTGGGTAAACTGAAGCCTCCAGCGGCTGCAGCGGCAATTCCACAGAGGGCAAACAATGCCGAATCTGTTCATTCGTTGTTGAAGAACAAAGTCCGTGCACCTGCTTTGCATAGAGGTGGATTACCTCAAGTTAATAACAAGAATTTCCTACATAATTTGAATAGCCAAAACAATGGTAGTAAGTAACATATTGGAGGAAAGAGGATGATTTTATAGAGTAATATATATATATTCCATTTTGTATATATTCAATTCTTATGTAGATGAAGTTACCACCTGTATATTAGCAATCGCTATCAAAGTGTGCTGACACACAAGTTAGTTATACTGCTCTCTACAATGTACACTCAAATAAAAAAAACTCTATTTCAACCCCTATAAATAAATAACAAAAGAAACGAAAGACAACTATATCCATTCCACCGCTAGAGCATCTTTGACATGAATGGACCATCCAATTCATATCCTAATTTGCCATAGTAGTTCCTTACACCAACACCCGAAATAACACTGATTTTCAGTGACCCATGTTCTTCTTTAGCTATTCTAGCTGCCTCTTCCATCAACAAGGTACCAAACCCTTGATGTTGGAATTTCCTAGGATCTCTAGAGTGCAATGGCACAACTGATCCATAAACGTGCAACTCTCTCACTATTGATGTTTGTTGTCCCGTAAATTCCTTTCTATACGTGTATTTCTTACTGGCTTTTCTTAAACGCAACAAACCAATAAGAATATCCTGTTTTGGATCTTCATAACTTAAAAACGTTTCCCAACCTCCATTGGCATAATAGTCACGACGGATCAATTCAACTTGGTCAGGTACAACCTTATGGTGAACTTCTTGGATACCGACTTCACGCGTACGCACATCACGACAAGACGTACCAAAGTCCTTCATTCTTGCCAAGGCCAATTCACGCAAATTACCATTCTCAACTCCTGAAGTGACAAGGGGCATGGGGATATCTCTTTGAACACGGTAAATACGAGTCCAAGGTGGCACCAAAGCTAGTATTCTGGCAACTAAATCAATCAATGCATTGGCATTATACGACTTGTACAACCCTTGTTTCCACAACTCATATAATCCTGTGCCTCTGATGACCAAAGTAGGATACAATTTCAACCCATCAGTTCTGAAATCGGGATTCTCAAAGTACTCTTTAAACTGTTCCAAATCTCGCTCCATGCCCACGTTGGGTAAATCGGGCATCATATGACTAACAACTTTATAACCAGCATCTTTAGCTACAGCGAACGTCTCGCATACAGCTTTGACCGTGTGTCCACGATTAGTATCTCTAGCGACGTCTTCGTAGACACTTTGTACACCAATTTCCAAACGTGTACATCCATATTTTAACATATCACTAAGATGCGTCTCAGTACAGTAATCGGGTCTGGTTTCAATAGTTATTCCCACACATTTAGTCTGTGATTGCTGCGAAAATTCAATTGCTTCGTCAATGTTTTTACCATTGAACCCAGTAAGAGCATTATGCAACAGCGTTATAAAACTCTCACGATAATCAATGGGTAATGACATGAACGTACCTCCCATGATAATATATTCCACTTTATCAATTGAATGGCCCAACAGCCTCAATTGATCAACTCTGCCTCTAGCTTGTTCATAAGGGTCATACCTAGCTCTAATTGCCCTCATTGAAGTAGGTTCATAACCAGTGTAAGATTGTGTCGAGTACTCGAAATCGGAGTCTGGTCCACCTGGACAATAAACACAGATGTTACCTGTATATGCGATATGAGGACACCTATGGGGCTTACACATGACAGCGACAACAGCAATACCTGATGCCGTACGCACAGGCTTGGCTTTTAATTTAGGTATGAGGTATTTCTTATGCTGGTCAGGTATCGAGGATATAATATCAGTTAGTCTTGGTTGGCTTTTAAGTTTATGCTTTTTGGCATATCGAGTGATGAGTCCATTCAAGTTGATGTCTTTTGATGATTTTAATGATGCCACCAAGTCGAGAGATATGTCGGCACAACATTGGATAAATCTTTCCTTCTCTGGAACTTGTTTTGCTTTATTTTGCGATGGCATATTTATAATGTGTGCAGTGGTGAAATATGTGTATGCTATGTTGGAAATGGAGTTCTGATGGGATTACTGTTGGTGAGGATTCTATTGGTCATCGGAGAAGATACAAAATTTTTTTTTTAAAGTTCACATTGTCGCAGGAAGGTTTTCTTTTTGCAACAGTGTCGTAAGAGAATGATTTGTGATACTGGTTAAATTTTTTTTAAACTTTTCTTTTTTTGAGATTTTTTTTTCACGACATTACAAAACCATCTGCCATTACAGCATTCATGTTAACAATGCTAGCTCCCAGAACGTCAACGGGTGTTGTTGCACTCAAGTCGCTTTTCAATAGACAATGCACAATGCCTTTGCTTCGATTATCTCCACAAGTATCGCATTATTCAACAAATGCAAAAGACTCATCCACCTCCACACCGGATCCACCAGCCAAGAAGAAAAAATCAATGAATATAGCAAATGTTCCCCTTGCGTATATTGGAGTTATGTCTGACTTGTACATCCCACCACGTCTTTTTAAATACTCACCACTATCATGGCCAAAATTGGTTTTGCGTCGATTCCTCACTTTTGCATTCAACACATACAATGTCATTAAATATAAACGAGAAATCGCCCAACCTTTACAATTCAATGAATGGAAAGACAAGGCGATCGAAAATTACGTTAAAACAAATAAGATTTTTGCTCAAGCTTGCAACAATTTTAGCTCAACTACTTCATCGCTGCGTGATGTTTCAAAGTTTATCAATTTAAAGTTGAATCAATGTTGCGGTAAACATTTAATTGATGTACTCAATTTGAGGGCCGCCAATTTCCAACCGAATTACAAGATAACCTGGGATTTAAAATCAATTGATTCAAACCCAAAGATCAGCATGTTCAGTGTTATACCTGATCAGGATGGAATTGGATGTTTTGTACAATTTATAATGAAATTGAAAACAACCCAACATGTTACCGTGACCGAAAGAAGTAGCGGCAAATTGATACAAGATGTTGAAAGTCAAAGCACTGACTACTTGGTGTATTCAATGAACCCATTTAATGGACAGATTTTGTTGGTGGGTAAATTGTTTGAGAGTGATGATAAACGAGGGTTAAAACCTGAATTAGATGCTTTTGATGCTCATGCTATGCAAAAGTTTGTTTTAAAAGCAGCTGATATTTATCGTGATGCTCCAAAATAGAGAGAAATGTTTTGAATCATATCAGCTTGTAAATAGATGTATAAAGAAAATGCATAGGTTATACACAGTTATACTCTAGCAAGTTTGAAGAAAGTAAACACCTTTTGAATTAAATCCTATACAGCCAAAATATCTAACTAATTAAAAAAAATGAAACCGAAAAGAAAGCAAACAGATTTTGGTAACCGTTCCCGATTGGTATAACAAATAAACTATCATTGTCTAGTTTTTTTAACATCTCGTAACATTTATCAACGTTTTCCTCGTCTGCACCCACATATGGGATATCAAATCTCCAATCACACTCGTCATCGTCTTCACTCCATAAGAAAAACATTTTCCGGTTCATTAGCTCCCGTATACCCAGTTTCTTCAAGCAACGCACGCAAACTTGGCCTATTGTTCAATGTGCCACTTTGGGATCTCGAATCACGTCTTTTCAACTCCTGGGGTGATAAAACCACATCAGCTAATGAGCTAGGTAAAAAATCTTCTTCAAACACACCGTTGGCATTACTTTGATGCATTGGAAGGGAGTAATCGAAATCCTCGTTACGCTTTGCAACAAATTTATCTTCCACTTCCACCCCCTCCTCATCGTCGAACACTGGTGAGGCTAATGAGATATTCTGGTACAGATACAGCGAGATATTTGCTTTAACTGGTAGGCTGTAATCGTTAACTTGCGAAAGTGCAGTTGAGGCTCCAGAGCTGAATGAGAATCGTGATGATGGCGTGGTGGCAGATGGGGTTGAAGACTGGATGTTTATTCCCGATACCGTTGACAGTTGTGGTGGCGAATGTGCTGTTCTTATAGTTGGATATTGTCCACCTGTGGAATAAGAACGACGAATGTTATTTTGTGGCTTAGTCGTTGGCGTGTTGAAAACGGGGCCGTCAGTAAACGTATTTGAGAAAGAGTTTGATCCCAAACTATGTGGTTGGTGATGCGAGTCAGTTCTCTTTTGTTGAGATCCCCATTGTGTATACAGATAGTCAGCTGGTTTTGCGTAATGCGCAACTGGGGACCAACTAAGTGGTTCTTGCCTGGGCGGTGTGGGATGTTCGTGTTGTGGTTGTTTGGTAAATCTGGCGAGACTGTCGTCAGTAAGAGTATTGAAGGAAATTGGAGCCTCTTGGTGGGAAATATTGCGTGGTTGTGCTTGTTGTTGAGGATAGTGTTGTTGCTGTTGTTGTTGAAATGGGTATAACTGTTGCTGTGGTTGCTGTGGTTGCTGTTGTTGTTGTTGTTGTTGCCCAAATTGTTGAAATACTGGCTGTTGGTACTGGTTCTGCTGTTGTGGCGGTTGCGACGGTTGTGGCTGTTGCTTTACCTGGTAACTATTGTAATATCCAGCATTCAGAAGAGAGGCAATGCCTGCTGAATGCGAGTCAGGTGGTGATACACTGGTGTAGCGCGATCTAGGAGTAAGATCCTCAATTGGTCTTGTAATTCTACCATACTCATATTCAGGTGAGTTTTTTCTTTGATTGACATGGCCACTATAGCTTGTAGCTTCGCTGTTGCCATACTTTTGGTGTTTTAATCCGTAGCTGTGGTTAGAATAGGCAGCACCGTTGTTATTTCCATTACTGGCCAAGATGTTTTTTGCATTAACTCTTGTTCCATCAGGTAAGTAATGAGCCAAGGCACATTTTAAACCAAATTTGCAATTTCCTCGCAAAAAGTACTTGCAAGGCAATTTATCAGCAGCCAACGCCCCTTCAACGTTATGAGAAAAGGGACATGAATCACCAGCTTGGCAGTTTCCTTGTTTGAAAAACTTGCAGGGTACATGACTCAAATTTTTACTTGCATTTGAAGATGGTCCATTAGTGACTGAAACTGTGCCTGGTGGACCTGTGTTTGGGGGTAAGTCAGCACTTAGTGAGCTGAGATCAAATGCTTCACCGAGCGGTTGACGTGGACGCTTGTCATTATTATTAGATGTGGCGCTGTGATGAGTCTGGAATTTCAGATTGTGATTATCCTGCAGGAACAGGCTAGCCTTCGCTTGAGGCATGACTTGGGGTAATACGACTTGTGATTCTGTTCTCTTGAAGTTAAAAAAGGTCTGCTGTTAGAAACTGCCGAAAAAAAACCGTTGTTTGTCAAGTAATTATAATAATCTTTTGATAATTGAGAAATTTTGTATCTTTTTAAGAAATTTCTCTTATCTATATGTTCAAATGTAGAGAGAGGAAGAGGGAGAAGGGGGAAAAAGAAATAGAAAAAAGAAACAAACTTGAACTGTGGATCCCTTGTTACACAATAAAAAATGTGAACTGGAAGAGAACAATAAAGAAACAGAAACAGAAACAGAAAGAGATAGAGAGAGAGAGAGAGAGAGAGTGTGTGTGTGTGCGTGCGTGTGTATGGCTCTTATTGCCTTCTCTCTCTGTGGTGGATCCTTGGAAAAATTGTGATAGGATAAAATACAATAGGAGAGGTACACACTGTACAAATGTATGAGTCAATATATATCGACATTGTTAGATTTAGCAAACAATAAAAATTGAAAAATTGCAGTGGCTTAATTTATTCCAGAAATTCCTCACATGGAAAAACAATAAAGCAACAGCAAGTGGTATATTATTTTTAAACGCATATACTTGTTATCAAAAATTGTACAATGTTATTGTTAAAAATATCACCTACAGGAGGTGTGCGCTCGTGGCATATCAATGAGCGGTATTGCAGAGACTTTGATACTTATAGCAGTCTTTAGAAATGGAAATAAAGAGGTGGAAAGATCCGCAAGAGAAGACGCAAATACATAAAAGGAACAAATAAAATGGCAGTTGTTGATTTGAACCGTTGATTAGACGCCCGAAACAAATTACACAAAAGTAAAGTTTTTGATTAGCACTATCATTACGTAATCCCATAAGATATGCTTATGTAGTAAAATCCCTTTTTTCACCTTATCTTACATTTGACCTGATATTACACAAACCAAATACATGTACAGCCTGAGAAGAATAGAGGTAATAGAACACATCCTCTGTTTAAAAGAAGTGCTTTGTATCCTTATCGTTGACTTCCTTAGAGAAAAAATCTGACTAATTACCCTGTTGGTATCGCTTGTCATACTATTCGATTGCGGAAATTCGCCTATTGCTTTCGTAAACTGAGCGTTGATTTATTTGCAGAATTCCCCTTTCAAATAAGTCTAAATATATTTTCTTTCTAAAAGTCTAGAAGCACCTCTCACACGAAGCACGCTATACAAGGATTTATCAGTGTCATCAATACCGAACTTCAAAGATCCTTTGAGAAACTAAGTTTCACCCTGTGGTTACAGGCTATGCTTGGAAGGACCAAGTCATCCTCGTCTAAATCCTTTATTGTGGCTCAAAACCACAACAAATGCGTAATACGGCCACCGTGTTTTTCTAGCCCGATCAGAGCAGGATAGGTTAATGCTAGACACACCTTGTAGTAACTTGCTTCTATTTTTCTTGAACTTTAGTTATCGCTTCGACTGTGGCTCCAACGCTTGGAAAGAAGGAAAAACAAAACAGATAAACGAGGAAAGGGCGCAGCAAAGTATGGCAATGCACTCCACATATGGCTGTGGATTGATGTGTTCTCGTTTCCCGTTGTCTTGACAACCTAGTCAGGGGCTATTTTGCAGAAACTGCGCTTCGGACGAACACAAAAAAAACTTTCGGAGATAGCATTCAAATCGACTAAATCTTTTATAATTTAATTCCATCCGTAAATATATCAAAACTATACAAAAATAAAACCACATCCGTCTAACGACGATCACTTGATCCGATACCCCTCTTACCACTGAACAAATGTTTAGGCAAAGCAGCAGTTGAGTGTCTATCACCTTCACCTTGTCTTGCCATTCTGTTTCTTTCTCTTCTTTGTATCTTTGCTAATCTTTCAGCTTGTGATCTCATTGCTCCATCACTTACACCATCATTCAATCTATCTGATTGCGAAGCTGCTTGTTTCTTCTTGGCCAATTTTCTTGCTTTAATACCTTGGTTTTGTCTTAATATGTCAACTCCTGACGCTTTACCTCCATCGTTGGACCTTCTCTTTTTACCAATGGCGTCACGCAATTTATCAGTATCATGACCGATATTGTACATATGCTCTTCCAAATCACCAAATGATTTCTTAACTTGGTCCCTTGGCATAACGGCCTTGTTCTTCAACGACTTTCTATTTCTACCTTCGATTATCATTGTCTTTTGCTTGTTTCTAATCCATTGCGCTTTATCTTTGATATCTTGTATTTCGTCTTCATCCATGTCCATATTGGCATCATTAGTTTCATCATCTGAATCGTAGAATCCTTCTTGTTCCAATCTCTCTTCTTCTTCTTCCAATGCTTGCAACTTGGCTGCAATATCTGGATCTAAATAATCATAAACATTCTTACCGTCCAATAATTCAGGCATGGTATCTTGTTTCCACTCGTCGTCATCCAATATATACTTGTCTTTCAAATTGATATTGAAGACACCGGCTCCACCATTTTCAGCTTCATAGTCTCTAGCCAATTTTCTTCTGTTTGGATCATTTGGATCGTATTTGAGTACATCTTTAGCTCCTTCTGGTATGTGAGGTAACCTTTCGACATCATCTCTTTGTTGTGGTTGGGCAACGTGAATTTTATTCAAGACGTTGTTAACTCTAGCAGTTCCCTTCAATTTCTGTTCGATTCTAGCAGTTAACAACTTTTCACAAGCATGGTTACGCACTTGCATAACATTTTCTTCCTCATAGCATGATGTGTGCATAATCTCAACTCCAGGAACTGTTTTCAAAGTTTCCAACATTTCTTGCTTTTCAGTGTCTAAATCTTCAACTTTAATGATATCTGACTTGTTCATTACAACCATCACCGATTTATTTGCAAACAAAGGCTTAATAGAATGGAATAATTTAACCTGAGCTTCAATTGAAAATCCACACTGTTCACTCAAATCCATAAAGTACAACACACATGACCTCAAATGAGCAATAGCATATATACTCTGCATTTCAATGTTGTTCATCTCTTCAGTTGGACGGTCTAAAATACCTGGCGTGTCAATCGCTTGGAATCTGAGATATTTATAATCAAAGTGACCCACATACAATGATTTCGTAGTGAAGGCATAGGGCTGAACTTCAACATCAGCCTTGGTAATACATTTCAAAAATGAGGACTTACCGACATTTGGATACCCACAAATCAACAAAGTACGAGTGTTTGGATCAATACTAGGCAATCTTCCCAAATGTTGTCTCACTTGTTCCAAATAGATAAATGGATCCTTCAACTTTTTAGTTATGGTAGCCATACGACCCAAGGCGGCCCTTTTCAATTGTTTGCACTGGTACAAAGATTGACCAAACTTCAAAAGACGCACGTAATCTCTACTCACTTGTTCAATTAAAGTCTTGGCCTTGGAGACAGCAGCTAACGAAACTTTATAATGATTCTTTTCATACAACGTGTCCATTAAATCACGATGGAAAGGATGAACATCATTAATGTTAGGGAATCCACTCAACAAGTCATTAAGTTTCTCAACAAAACCTTCACCAGTAAATTTGACCTTTCTCATGTAAAAAGCACGAATACGAGTGATTTTAAATCCTGGTCTAATGACTGTGGGAGTTTTTCTTTGAGTACGGTTCAATATTATATCCAACATATCGTTGGATGTTGGCACTGGCGGTATATCCTTCCATGATAACTGCATCTTGTAATTAGTAGTAGTTGTGAATGGAGGTGTGACAATATCTCTTGTAACCTAAGATGAGTTTTTAGATGAGATGAGGTTTTAATTTTTTTTTTCACCTTCAAAGAAAAGGGAAAAAAGGAATTTTTACATTTTTGTCTTTGTGGTTCTTACCAACATCAAACTATGTGTATATATACAAAAATCTATTACAGTTACTTTTACTTAAAACAAGTCAGCAGAGAGCAACCACAGTTGAGGGAATCTACTTAGAAGCTTTTGCTTCAGTTGCTTGTTCAATCTCCTTCACGGCTGGTTCAGCAGTCTCCAAAACTTCATGCTCGACAACTTCAGTGCTATTCTCTTTATCATCATCATCAAACAACTCTTCTTTATAATGTTCTGGATACTTCTTGAAGCAAGTCCTCATGTTTTCAAACTTCTTGATACAGTCGATGCCTTTTGGTTCAGTTTCAGAGTAAATGAAACAAGAGAATGCTTCTTTAAATTCTTCTCCGCATGGACCATGTGCCATTCCACCCAAACAAGGACAATCCCAGTTGATCTCACCTGTTTCTGGGTTATAAGCCGCACCTTGATGGTTGTCTTCTTGGGAACTATCAGAAGCGTTGTTCTTGTCGGTAGACTTGTCGGATTTGTCACCCAGCTTCAAGTCATTTGTCTTTTCTTCCAATTTCTGTGCCTTTTCCTTCTTTTCTGAGGCATCCCCTTTCGATTTATCAGCGAGAGCATCCTTGTTTTCTTGAGACTTTTCTACTTTTTCTGGGTCACTGGCTTCATGTCTACTGATATCTGAGTCCAACTTCTCAGCAGCTTGTTTACCAGTTGATGAGTCTGCAGAAACATCTTTACTGTCGAGAGCACCTGTCTTTTTTGTCAAATCGGTCTTTAATTTTTCAATGTCAGCAACTTCATCCTCGCCTTTTTGTTTTTGCAATTGCTGTTGTTCAATTTTAAACTTTTCATGATGCTTTTCAGCGGCGGCAGCAGTCTCCTCAAAATTTTCTCCAATTTTATCCGCTACTCCTAAGATTGTTTCATTGTGGATCGAGTTAGACCATGACAAGTATCCAATGGTAATGGCTATTGGTACAATTGCACCAGCAGCCAATTTTGTATTGAATTGAGTCTGGGAGGCAGAGCTTCTTGTTGAGTAAGTTCTAGCAAATCTTGCACTTTGACGAGCAACTGCTGATCTGGTAAATTGTCTAAGCATACTTAAGGGGGAAAGGAGGTTTGGGTAAAGTTTGGTGAAAGTTTGTCTTACTAATTAGATTTATTAATTGCTGAAGAAAAAAAAGGAAAAAATGAGCAAAAAAATGAATCGTTATTATGCGCAAATAGCAAAATGTTCTCGGTCTAAAGGTTTGCTAGATGTCGGTGATAGTCCGAGAATGGAAATACAAAATGCCCTTCAACTGGTCTGTGGCGATCGAAGCTGTCACTGGATACAACCTTTTCCAAGCTTTATGGAATAATAACTATCACCTTTTAAACTACAATTTCATTAGCTCTAAATTCGATAAAAAGTGCAAACAATGACATTCAAAGCCAGGGCCCCCTTCAAAGGGACCTCAGCTCACCTCTCCAAAACGCTTGCAACAAGTTCAATAATGTTTTGGTTTCCTATATTTTTCTACTCTTACCTACTCTATTCATTGTGATGATACACCAAGTAGTTGGGCAAACCCACTACTTCATATCCCAATCTTTTTGCCATCTTGGCAAATCCTTCTGTCTCAATTAAATGGTAAAATGGGAACGATGGGAACATAGCTCCATCTCGATGGACATCAGCTTTGACCATTACTGCACCACCGCCAACACCATCCAATGCCATTTCTGAATTGACGTCTTGAGTAGCATCGTAGAAATGGGCCATTAATGCTCTATATGTGGCCATTTCGGCATATCCCTCAACAATAATCTCATCGTCACTTAACCCAGCAGCTATTTTCAAACCTTCTTCACTTTCAACCCAATTATTGTAATCGTACGGCCTGATAGATTGTTGCTGTTTCTCTTCGTCAAAGTACCTTTGGTATACATTGGCCGACAAAACGGGTTTATTATGGGCCACCAAGTCTTGGATCAAAGTTGGCGGAGTCTCGACAATATCGGCATCCAACCATAAAATCCACGATGTAGAAGGTGAAATAGTAGAAAACACCAATGAGTTTCTTGCCAATGCCATCATCGATCTCCTTTCCTTCTGAACTTTGAAAGCGTGTCTTTCTTTTTCCAACTGACTACCTAACGAATTTGAATCTTGTCTCAATAATGTAACCTTTTTGAAGTTTAAAGTGTTGCCAGCTTTGCTCTTCTTTAATGCTGTCTCCAATTCCTTCAACGCTTCATCGCCTTCCTCTGTTCTTGGAAATATAAAACCCAACGAGATCAATGAATGATCATAAGTCAACTTGTTCAAGTTTTCCCAGTATTGAGGCAAAAATTTGGTCATTGGTGTTAAGATTAACACCTCTTCCTTCTTAGCTAATGCATCGGTCGATGAAGATAATTTATTCAAGTCATAATGGGCTATATGGTTTTTGGGCAAATTCTTCACCATTACCGAATCTTTGTTGTTCGAGGTAAACCAAGACTTTGATTTCTTGTCGTAGCTATACTTTGGGGCGGATTTCGAGGATGGTGTCGACGATGAGGACCCAAAGAAGATAAAGTAGATGAAAAGGAGCACAGTAACTGGTGCCAAAAGGGCCAAAGGTTTCCTTCGTATGTAGTTCACGTATGGATTTCTATAATGTACCATAGTTGTAGAAGATTAGGCTGCAGGGACGTTTGAGAAAATGTTAAGCCGGTTGCTTTTATAAACGTGAATAATTAACTCCTGAAATGACTATCTTGGATGCAAAGGGGGAAATACACTGTGGTCTAATTCGCTTGTTTATAAATCGCAGATTTCAAACACGTTACGAAATCTTTAAATTTTTTTTCTTCTTTTTCTTCTTTTTCTCTTCGAAGCTTTTTTTTTATTTTCAACAGATTGAGCTTTTCTACATAAACCACATCAAATCATAAAACAAATGGGCATAAATATTAGAACTGGAAGCTATAGAGTAAAAAACCTATCAAAGGCATTCATATATAAAAACGATCTACTTAAAGACTTTACCATCGGAGATTTCTCTCTTTTCACCGTTAACAACGACTGGTTCATCCCAGGCAAACATGTTGTCAACAAACTTTTTGTCTTCTTCTTTTGAAGCATCCAACTTGGTGAATTCATAAGATTCCCAATCTGGAGCAACATCAAATGCAGGAACGTAGTCTTGTCCTCTAACCAAGAAAGCACCAGTGATACCGTTGTTGTTGTTTTCACCGTAGACAACCATGCAACCAAACATGTACTTAGTGGATGCTGACAATCTGTTGAAGAATCCTCCAACCAAGTTGTTGGACATGAATGTCAATGTCAATTCGTCGTTGTACTTGTAGTCAACCTTCCACAATGACCATTCTTCTGGGTTGTATTGGTTTTTCCAGAACCAAGGCAAAGCGGTTTCTCTGGTTTCCTCGTTGGAGTAGAATCTCTTCCACTCGTCCAATGGGGCCTTTGGCTTACCCAAAGCTTCCAATGGGTGCTTTGGTTTTGGAGCAGCTGGGGCTGGTTCGTCAGCAGCAGCAGAAGCAGCAGCTTTTGGAGCAGCAGCCTCTTTCTTGGCAGGGGTAGCAGCGGAAGCAGCCTTTTCCTTCTTCTCCTTCTTTGGTGGTACATATTCAATTGGCTTCTCAATGAACTTGTAATCACCCAAGAATTCGGCCAAGATTGGAGACTTGATGACGCTCTTGTACCATCTGGTGATTCCAGGATGTTCCTTTCTCCATTGCTCACCAAACAAAAAGTCAAAACCTCTTACGTACAAAGTTGCAGCTAAGATATCAGCAAATGTGATTCTCTCACCAACTAAGTAAGTGTAGTTTGCCAATCTTTGTTCAAAAACTCCGTTGACTTTTTCCAAGTAAGCAGATCCTTCGTCAACTTGTTTCTTGTTGTATGGAGCAGCACCATTCAATGGCTTGAAGACCTTGGCTTCGGTTGGTAACAACTCAGTATTAGCCAACGAGGTCCATTTTAAAATTTGGGCATATTCAGCAGCGTTCTTACCCAACAATTTAGACTTTGGATCACCCAAGTTAATGACTATTATTCTGTTAGTAAAAGCTCACCCATGTCACTTTTGATCAACAATATGAAGCCTCCAAAGCTATAATTACTTCAGATTAGGTATTCTCGACATAGTTTATTAAGACAGGGATAACTGTATAATAAATTGAAAAAGATTTCTCATCACTTTAAAGTATAGTTTGGGCTATCGCAATGGATCAATGGGAAATACATACAGTAAAGACAAATGGCAATGACTTCAGTCAATTGGAATCCCTTTGGGCCAATAAAGGCTGGGATTTTATTCAATGGGAAATTCTTTTCATATGCAGCATCTTTGTCGCTGATTTTGATATCCAAGTTGAAATGCTTGGCCAATGCTTTGGCAGGAAGACTTCTGATTTGCTGAGTAGCGTATAAAGTACCCAACGACATGATTTGTAATTGATGTGTTCAGGTTGGCAAGAGGAAGAAATGTGATGAGAAAAAGTTGGAAAATTCCTGCACTTTATATGGGAGGAAAATTTTTCAATGAGGGTTTTTTATTTTACATATTTCCGAAGAAATCACGTGCACAGGTTCAACCACAGTAATTCCTTTTGATATAGTTACAAGACATGACTCATCCATTATTGGTCAAGGTATCACCAGGCCTAGGGTGCTGACTACCTCACATTTAACATTTATAATACCACCGCATTGAGGTATGAGAACTCTGTGGTAAGCTCGGGTTAACATTTTGCAGTAACAGAATCGGGATAATGGAGTAAAAGAAGCGTGTCAAAAATTGCTTAGCGAGTAGGCAGAAGGTGTTTACAGCTCTAAAATTTCTTACTTGAACACAAGCGGGATATTATGTTGTTTTACCCTATCCGTTTAGAAATAAGGCTTTCCTGACAATAGTTTATGGAGCATCTCGAGGTAAACGAATTTCTATTTGCTATGTAAACAAGTGAAACGCTTTATTTAACCAAATTCTATACAATTCAACTAGGGTTGACATATCTTAAAGCCCATCCAAAATAGTGCAGCCACTGCTGCCGGTTTAGTTCATCTTCTGGGCTTCTCTGTCTGGACATCTCGAAAAGCTGCTGAATCAGCAAGTTTGATTGTTGAATAATCATTCCGTTATTCATATTGAGCAACTTGAATGTAAAATTTTGCAAGATGGAACGAGCAATTGGTCTCGGATCATAAGATGCTGAGCTCGACCTGGTAAAGAGTTGTTCCGGGTTGACAGCTTGTAGATGAGGATCGAGTACTTGATCTGCATTACTATAGGTTGAAAATTGTGAAGTCTCAGCTGGAAAGTTGATGATGTAATCAAGCTTGATCAAGTACCACAACAAGTGTTTTAGCTTCTTAGTTTCTGATGCAGTCTGTGGGAACCGGCTAGCATCTTGCTCTTGAGTTGATGGATTCACGAGATTCACATTCTGCAGCAGTGCTTTTGGCTCTCTATTTGAGGGATACGATGTAATGTCAATGTTCTGATACGAAATGTTGAGGTAGTTTATCTCGTATGAATTGAATTTGATAAAACTGGAAAGATCAACGTCAGCAAGCACATTCATATACAGGGTGGGTTGTTTATGTAAAAAAGCTAAGTCATAATACTTATTCATGAAAAATTTCAAGATTGTAATTGATTGAATACATGAGGAGATGATTAAGGACCTTTCTGTATTTCCCAGATGAAAGAAATAAATAAAAAGTTTAGCCAAAAGCTGGTCAAACAAATTTGATTGATTGTTAAGAACTTGCTTGTGGAACGTTGTGAGATTGTCATGGGGAACCTTCAAGTATATGCCCAACAAAACCAAACAAACACTAATCAACAATGTTTCAAAAAGTGACAAGTTTGTTGTTTGGACAATTTCAATATCCTTTACCTGATTGTACTTGAAATTTTGAAAGTCAATGAGAAACTCTAAATCAATCGCATCTGAAATCGTTGAGTCTCTAGAACAATTCATAAGGCATGAAAATAAGAAATTGTCCTTTTCCTTCATGCACACAACGGGAATGATATTTTGCCAAATATGAAAATCGTTGAATTGATCAAGTAACCAGTAAAATTGCTCCTTTACAAGCAAATTTATGTAGTGTTGGAGATCATAGCTTAAAGGAACAGTACTCGGATTAGTCATTTCAAGATTTGTGTAATTTAAAGTGGATGTGACTTGCATTGCTGGCATTGATGTATATTGTAGCGTATGTAGTGGTTGTTGAGAATTGTTGCTCAAAGATGGTAAGTTTGTCTCTAATTGGGGTAGATTGGAGTGGTTCAATGCATCTTGATTCAAATAGCTTAAGGAAGACTCCGGTAATGCATGTTGTGTGGCTTGGTTGTATCTTGATGCCAGTTCATACAATGTGTTTGAACTGCTTTCTATAGTTCTTTCCGGCTTCTTGTTGTGTGAACTATAGAGATCTATAGGATAATTAATGGGTCTATTTGCAAGTATTGGATCATTTGATGCTAAGTAATTGTCATCTTGATACTCCAAGTCTGAATCTCTTAGATCCTGTAATGAATGTAAATGCATGTATGGTTTATACTTTTCCAATCCATTGTACAATGCTGCTATAGTAATTGATTGGTCTAAGATCCTGTGAGGTAATAGAGTGATTCCATGGACCACCTCTGGGCAAGGGCTATCCTTTTGTGGGTCGTAAAATGTATATTGCGTAAAGTTTAATCTCAAACCCCTGTAACAAACTCGTTTCAGTCGTAGGCAATTGTAACAGACTGGTAAATTTTCGTCACATTTGATGTGCCTGTCTCTGCATGTAACACACCCTGATCTCGTACGGCGTCTTTTATACGGCGCTGAATCGGTAGAATCTGCCGAAGACTTGGACGTGGAAAAGGAGGATGATGTCGACAGAGAGTAGTGTTGTGGTCGCTCTTTGGCCATTTCTTTGTCTGGACACGTAGAAACATTAATGATTGGATCTGTGAAGGGTTGTACTAACAAAACTCACTATGCAATGGGGTGGTAGGTCACGATTTTTCCTTGTCTATTGCGAGTGGTTGGGTCAAGTCCTCACTGGCTGACAAATAAAGTTCTCAAGGGAAACTTAGACCGGGCGTATGTGCGAATGTTGTTGTGCTTGGTATATAACTTACCTTCAGCTCTATTCCTTTTGTAGCCAACTTGGCAGTTTATGTGTAAAAGTAGTTAATTGAAGCTGTTGGGTTTATTTGTGTGTAATTGTGTACCCAATACGACTGATGGCGGTTTTTGTATATTTTGTTGATGATATTTTGTTTTATCCAGTTTGCAACAAAAAGGAAAAGGAATAAACAAAAAACAATATAAAAAAAATAAAAGCAAAAAATAGATTTGAAAATTTTTTGAAATCTCGTAGTAACACACCCAAGTTTTTCTATTTCTGGGGGCGGAGGGGGTGGATACTTTTTTCTTGAACTTTTAAAATTTGTGAAAAATCTCCTTAAAAGAACTGAAGTTTTGCACCCTTTGGATTAAGTTAGTGGAACAGACGTATATTATAACAGGGCCTTGTTCAAAACGCGAAGTAAGAATCCAAAGTTTAAATAAGTTCCAAAATTTTTGATCCAAGTTGGTTTTATTTATATGTCAGCTTAGTCAATTGGAAACAAAGTTTAGTGCATTATAAAAAGTTAATTACGGTTAACAAAGAGCAAAATACAGTTGGGAGGAAAGAAGGAGTTTAGTAAATTAACCATCATCCTTTCTCCAGCTCTCGACTTGTGTAGCGTTTATCTTTTTTTTGTCATACATAATTTTTTTAGTTATTCTACATAAATTTATAATATTTTGCTTTATATTGTTTTTTTATTCGATCCTTGATCCTCAACAGTATAATCTAAAGCCCTTTTGTACAATTTCTAATGGCAGTATTGCTGAGTTACGTAAAACTCAAACTAAGTAGGTCATTTCTGCACCAAACAAGGTAGTCCAATGCTAGATGTGAAAAGATGCATTCCATGAGTCAGTTTGGACTGGAAAGACACTCAGTGCTATTTCGAGTCATTCAATAGTAACACCAGGAGGTGGAGGGAAGGTATGGGGGAATAGACAGATTTTTTTTAAAAAAAAAATTCAAATTACGAAAGACATTTCATTTTAACTTTTCATGAGCTAAACTTTAAAACTTTAAACCTATCTGCTCCGTAGACAAGTTGTAACTAACATATGATCATTCGTTCTGCTAAATTTAGGCAAAAGTGGTGATACTGGAAGATACTAAACCTTTTACTCTCTCTAAGCTGCGTTTAAATTTGCAACTCTGTGTATATCTGCTTTGAAGGTAACATACAAGTTACCTCATGGTAAGATGCAAACGGTGGACTCAACGCCATATCAGCCACCGATTTATGCAATGATTGAAATAATGAATCAATATATTACTGTATACCTTAACGGAGAGTACCAAAGCAAACCCTTTCTTTTTCCCTTATTGCTATTAACTAGTCGTGACCTCTGAAAGTTACTGAGAGCCCCTTACAATTGCAAATCGACCACCCGGAAGCTCAACAGCAAGCATATTGTGAAATGCGTTGTAGCAAACAAAGTAAAAAGCTTAAAGCTTAAATGTAACATGTGTTGTGAAAATAAGGTTTGAAAGACAAAAACTTTATTTATAAAAGTTTACCTAATACTCAAATGTAACAACTTTAAACATTAACAAAAAAGGGTACAGCAGCACAAGATGATGTAACATAGATTCGCTTCCACCCCCTGTAAAAGATGAGTTAACCACTATTTTTTTCCCTATTCTGGCCCGGCCAAGCTTGGCCGCAACAAAAACACAAAAGCTTTGTGATGTTGATGCTCCTCACAGTTTATATAGACGGATTAACCGCACTATTAGAAAGAAAGTAGGCGCGCAGTATAGAAAAGCCCCAAACGGTCCATTGTTTCATACATTTGCATTGGTTGGATCCTGGTCGTCTTTTATCTCAAGGAAGCTGGTGTCCGAATACAACATTGGATTGTGCGAAATTACTAAGACGGATATAGCCACCGTGCAAAATCCCACCCACATTTAGCTCTTAATGTTAGCTTCTCTGCAGAAAAGCAAACTCATTGGTTATATAGTTTGAAATGCAGAAGGGGTTATAATGCGAATACTATTATTACACAAACGCGTTTTGAAAAGGTATTGCTTTCTTTTTTGGGAAAGAAAGTGAGAGAGAGGCTTTTACTCTAAATATAGTTATAGAGTTTCCTCAAACGGTCGGCAAACTGTTCTTCCAGAAGAAGCTTTCTTCGCTAAGTGTGAAATAGAAACATACATTGATTGTATCCCCCTTACCCCTCTCACAAACCTTCTATTTTTTGCTGTCGATAATATTATATTTCTATTTCTACCCCAACGTATCACAAAAGACAATTTATCGGCTATAACTTCCTGATATTATTTCTAGAAACAAAGAACCATTTCAAAAACCAAAACAAGACCTTCAATTGGTGGAGGCGCGTCAGAAATCAAAAAAAAACTAAAAATTTTGAAACGTCTAACATTCCTGAAAGCTTTATTCTCCGGACATTTCAATAGAAGTGGTGAAGGACTACATGTGAGAGGTGTCGATCGGTTTGAACAGATTCAATTTTATCCTTCGTGGTTCATTCAACGTTGCTCGCAATCAGCTAAGGTGTAATAATAGATAAACTGTAACCCTAGCTCAACTAAACTGATCAGCTGGAACAAACGTCCCAGAGATTGGTTCGGAGTGGGCCGTCTTCCGTGTAAAATTTAATTTTGTGGTTCAAAAGCTCAAACTTGTTACACAGAACTTTAATTTGGCAGGTTGAGGCGATGAACGCCCCGCCAAACTAAAATCTTGAATTCCGTGTTTTGCGACCCCACCAGTAAACCGTCAACAGATTTTGTGGACTTTTAGTTTGTTCTAAACCGGAAGTGCGAGATGTATGGGGTCACCTTGGCATCAACAGATGTGCTTTCATAATTGCTTATGGCGTTGAGCTGGAGAAGCATTGAATTATTAGAATCATAGGACTAGAAACCAGTCAATTATTGCTCTTTGATTCACAAATTTTGTTCCCTATGGCTTTAGCATCTATCCTCAGTTTCATGTTTAAAATGTATCAAGATCTTGAATAATGACACCAATCATCCGAGACTTTGGTGCAAAATACACAAAAATACAAAACAACGTGAACCACCGAAGCACTGTACGTTTGTTTTTTCTACGAACTTTCTTAACCAAACGTGGAAAAAGGGAAGTAATCACCAGGTCGTATATTAATTTAAATCCGCTCGAGAGGTAAGTACTTTTTATCCCAGAAGGTTTTGCAAATACATATGGCAAAAGAATTTTCTTGATAAATAGAAACAAGAGAGAGAAAAGAAATTTCCAAATTACAGGACATACGTTCCCAGAAATTACACTTTGAGGGTTTTGTAAACCCCGTCGTGTCTGTTATATTTCAATATCGTGCTATACCAGGAATACTTTTTTCTCTGTTGTATGATTTGCAGTTTCGAACGGAAATGCTCCACCAAAAAAATAAAATACATTTCCGGCAGTTAAATAATAAATTATTATAATTGCATGCATCCACAACCCTTTCTTGAAACGAACGGAAATGTCGCTGCTTATCACTGAGATCAGCTGATGATGTTGAGGATGTAGTTTGTATTGTTTTACTGCTATGCGAGCTCTTATCTGAGACACTTACTAAGCAAGAGATGGTGTTAAAAAATGTGGCTAGTCTAATTCGTAAAGGCAGTTCAAAGCAACATTTCTAGCACTTCATTTATGAGTGCTTAGGATCTCCAAGATGCAAAATAAGGTTTAAATAAATCCGGAAGAAATCTCATCATCGATAAAGTTGAACCCTTTATAACTTAATTTGCACCTGGCGAAAACCTTAGCATCATAAAATGACCAGTCCAGTTCTAACTTTAATTACCTGCCAAACCTTAATTTCCAAATATTGATCTATAACTTTAAGGGCCTTGCGTACCACTTTTATTTGAATCTGAATTGCGATTTTGTAAGCTAGATGTATGGTTGGATACCAAATCATTAAATGATAACACAAAAGCTACTACAGGCTGGAAAATCTACCGTAAAGTTATTCTAGTCACTGAAATAGTACTGACGTATACCAAGGATGTGTTTTAAAAAACACTTAGAACGTAATTTCATACTAGCTTGATAACAAAATGACCACTGCTGCAACCCAAAGACAAGGACTTTAATCCTTCGCTTTCTTTAGCCAACTATTTCTGTGAGCAGAAGTAAAATGGCCACTAGGCTAGACCTTGAGTTGCGTTCAGAAAACACACAATCACAAATTAGCTTCTCAGGTTGTTTTCGTATAGTTTATAACTCAGTATTGCTTTCTAGACTTGGCACTCTGAATTTTGGTATTTTACGCGGCGGGCTAAGCAGATGGGAATCCGACTATTTGCAACAGATCAGCAGTAACTCCCAAGAAACAATCTATAACTTCGAGAACAGAACTGTGCTATGCCAATTCCAACTGATCTTTGACTTCTCAGAGATTGCGCTGCTATTTATAGCTTTTCTACTCGTCAAAAAGAAAACAACAATAATGATATAATGCCCCAATATAACACAAAAAAGGAGTTTCTTAACAAAAAAAAAAAAATACGGTGTTAATTAAGTACAGCTTTTCTTAGCAATGACCGTGGCTCACAATATCACCTCAACACACACCCAAACACTCCCACACACACGAAAACAAACAAAAAAAATTAAACGTTTTATTAATTAATTTATTTATTTTCCGTTGAGTTTGTAGATTTACTCGTCAAATTTTAGAAAAATTCAGAATAGACGCTCGAAAAAATATAGCGCTACTCTTGTTCTTATAGGTCGAAGGATCTAAAATAGGCAGAGAAGAGTTTCATTTACGCAAAGTTGACCTTAATTTCGCATACAAGGAGATCGGCGAATGGTCATCTATAATTTGTTGCAATTGAGAGGAATTGTATGGATTTTTCTATTGTTTTTTTGTAAAGCATCCGTTTGTGTACTTTTGTTAACGAGCGGGTAGAGGTGCATAAAGGTATGTTGGTGGTGTGTATGCACGCTTTTCAACCTTGCAAAGAAGCAGAGTGAGTGAGATCAAATAGTGTACCTCACTGTGTATCTCTGTGTGTGTGTGTGTCTATGTGTGTATATTCTTTTGTTGGTGTGTGATGTAATCTACTCTATTTTTGTAACAATTGTTTGTTTGTTTTTAAATTGCTGTCAGGGACACAGTAGAAATAACTGCTTCATTATATTATTTTATGCTTAATGCCTTATGGTTTATATTTTATTTTATTTTGAAAATTATTGCAATTTTAGCAAAACAAAAACAAAAAAAAACAAATAAAAAAAGCACTACCTTAACTAAACAGAAAGAAAAAACGGGACCAAAATTACACAGGAAGCGAACAATTTAGTCCTTTTTCAATTCATATAATTTGTATCAAAAGTAGTATTTTAGTTTCAACATCATCATTTCCTGATTAAGGGTAGATAAGGTATGAAGAAACAAGAACCTCATAAAGATGCAGGTTTAAGCGAGAGACCGAGAAAACAAAGGAGTCGAACATTTAACCGTCACGCAAATCAACTTGCAGCAACACTGTCGCAAAATTCATCACTACAGCGATCAGGGAATGAATCAGGGTCCAATAATCGACCTCCCCTGCTTACAAATGCACGTCGTACTTCGCAATTAGGAATGAATCAACTGCTGCAACAGCCTCAGCGTCTTTCTCAAGGCCTGCAACTGCTACTGCAACTGCAACTGCAACAGAGACAAGTACCGTCGAATCTACCTCGACTGGCCCGCGTCGAGGAAGCAATTGCATTGAGCGATGCTAAGCCATTAACATCCAGTTTTATAAAACGAAACACTAGCTCGCTATCGCCAGGAAATTCTGAAGTTAAACCAAAACCATTCGTGGTTGAAATAGCCAATATTGGCCAAAGTACATCACAACAGGAAATTGAACAATTACTACAGCAGACAGTCAGTGATGAAAACTTTAAAATTGTCAAACTTTTAACAACCAACCCAGCAAAAGTAATTGTTCGGGTTGAAAGCTTAGGTGCTTGTAATAATATAATACAAGCCTTGAATGGAGTAGAATGGAAGGGCTCTACACTTTCTGTTTATATTAATTTAGAGGCAACGGAAAAGACTTCAGCCCTTCCTGGTTCCGATAAAGGCTCCACCGACTCAACAAAGCCAGAGTTCAATCGAACATATATCCCACCCCAATATCGTCAACCGTCACTACTGAGGAAAAGTAACTCATCCTTTAGGTCTCAGAAGCTGACAGATTCCTCCATGTCGTCGTTTGACTCACGCCGATCGAATACTGCCGATTCTAGAGCCAGTAGTCACGCAAGCTCAATCTTTTCCAACTACGGTCACAGACACTCGAGTAACTTATCCACAGTTTCAACCGACCTGGTGTCGGCCAAACATCTGGTTCCGTCCTTTATTATGAATATGATGCAGGGGAATACTCTACCTGAGCCAACAGTTGAAGAAGAAGAGGGTGAAATGAATGATTCAGAACAAGACAAAGAGCAAGCAGGTGAAGAGGATCATGTCGAGGCCTCGACAGATGAAGATTTAATTGAAGTTCCAGCAGGAGAAGGAGATAGTCCAGAGCAATTGATAAAAGTAAGCCCCACTCGCTTGTTTGTCGGTAATGTTCCTTATTCTTCAAATTGGGCGTCATTGAGAAAATTCCTTATAGAAAAGGCCAATGAGATTGATCCCGATAATGGAATATCTATACTCCGAGTTGAGATCCCAATTCTGCAAATGACTCTAAATGAGGGGCTATTCTATGGACAAGGCACAATGCACCAACCTCAAGTTCTATCTAGGAGCAGGGGTTTTGCCATTGTGACCACAAAAGATAGAGCATCTTCACAAAAGCTTATCGAGTTGTTGAATGATGTTGAGTTTGAAGGGCGGGCTTTAACTATACGTTTTGACAAATTTCCTCAATTCAACAACTACACTGTACAACAACTTCATCGAACTCCATTATACTCGAGACCAATTCCAGGTACGTTTGGGAGACAGTATGGCAATTCTGAATTACCAATGCACAATCGTGCTCCGCCTCAACTGGGGTACCCACAAATGCCGCCAGTCCCATTAGTACCACAACAAGCAACAAATTTCAATGCCCAACAGAAATTTGTGTCGACCCCATCTGGCCCTTCATTGTTAAGTAATTTAGCATTCGAACGCAATCTGCTCCAACAAAAGATCTACTATGGCAACCCCCAAAACCCACAAGCTGGTTATTCAGCAGCCAATCCTCCTACTGTTTTGCAGCCACCTCAAGCGCCACCGAATTTCCCAATGTCATCATCTAGTCCAAACCAGAATGCGCCTACATCGGGATACTATTTCATGCCGTACTACTTCCAAGCTCCTCCTCTACCGGGATCCAATGTATATCAATCTTATGGAGTTCCACTTGGTGCGACTCCAGCTCCGGGTCCTGTCCCGGCACCAATTCCGTCGTCGCAATATTTTGACCCACCAAATACTGTACAGCAGCAAGGCACAAATCGATCTAGTGGAAATACTGGAACTGATTGTGACCCAGAAGAGCAGCTTACAAGGGAAGTATTTGGAAACTTATCACTTAATGATAGTTAATAGAGTATAGATATTAGTGCAAATAGATATAGAGGTCTCTCGAGATAGAATGTAGGAATGGGAATACACTTTACTTTAGCGGAAGACAAGTGCATTAACTGTTTACAGTAATTGCATTTTTATCTTTTTTTTTGAGAAATTCTTCGTCTTAACCTGTAGCTGTATCAAAGACTACATCTTTGTCGTCAATGGTTTGCTAATGTTAAAGCCCTCCCTCTTTACAAACAAAAACATTTTGTTAATAAAAAATAAATAAAAGAAAATTTTTATATAGTGTTTCTAGGGTTATATGCAGTATAGAAATAAAATAATGAAAATAAAAATAAAAATAAAAATAATTTTTTTTTTCGGTTTTTCTTCTTCCCAGTCTCTCTGTCTGTCTCTCTTTCTAAAAGCAAGCATAAAATATATAAAATTCCTCAATTTTCAATCTCTTAATAAAAAATCAGCCACATAATAGAGGGATAAAACACAACTATTACACTTTTTCTCATCAACCAGACACACCACTATTAATTAGAGCTATAGTCGGCAAATTGTCACTGGGTAATCTCACACAATCTACGCCTTTTGTTTTTGTTTTTTATTTTTTTTCCCACACTTGACATCCACTAATGCCATCGAATTCCTCCACCAAAGAGAAGAAGTTGCAGTTGCAAGCAAAAAATGATGATCAAGAGATGCCCCCCTCGATATTGTCGAGGAATCCGACGTCTCCACCAACAACTCACCAAGTACCGAGCAGCCAGACAGAAACCCAACTGCGTCCTGGATTAGCACTGTCTGCATCACTTCAACAAGCTCCCATCCAACCAAGCAAAGGTCAACAGCTGCTACCAACCTCTTCTCCTGAGAGTGACCAACAGAAGAAGGAAACTGTTATGGCTGGAGGTGTATATTTAAAAGACAAGATACATTCTGACTCGTTGGTGAGTACCTTGAATTCGTTAAACTTGAAGGATCACAACATGTCACCAACTGTCCTTAGTGATAACAACGAATCTGTCACCAGTTTGGATTACTTATTGCACCCACCAGCTGATGCCCAGCATCACAAGACCCCATCTGTTCATGCCCATTTCTATGTTGACGAAGCTGTAAAGCCAGGTAAATTGGGAAACAGATCGAGAAGTGGGTCAGGGTCAAATTCAAACTCTGCTGGTTCACATGCGATCCCCCAATCTTCATTCTACCCTTTGCGCGATGGAGGTAAAAGCCACGACAGCATCAAAGATGCAGTCTCAATTGGGTCAGCCGCTTCATTTACTGCACCTTCTCCTCAAGGACAACCTCCACATCTGCATAATGCATCGTTATCATCTCAAGTTAGTCGACAACAATCACCCAAGATTTCCGAGCAGAACGCTAACATTGACCCCAGGTTACCGCAAGATGATGGGAAAATCCACATTTTGCTCGGTGTGTGCGGCGCATTATCTACCGGCAAAATCAAACTCATCATTAACAAGTTGTTTGAAATTTACACTCCAAATAAAATTGCTATTCAACTTATTCTTACTCGGTCTAGCGAAAACTTTCTCATGCAGGAGAGTCTAAATATAATGGAGAATGTCAAGGGAGTACGAATTTGGCGAGATGAAGACGAATGGACAACGTGGAAAACAAGGCTGGATCCAGTTTTGCACATTGAACTCCGTCGATGGGCCGACATTTTGGTTGTTTGCCCCTTGACTGCAAACACGTTATCGAAAATCTCACTTGGAATATGTGATAATTTATTGACCAACGTTATACGTGCTTGGAATACTTCGTATCCTATTTTATTGGCACCAGCAATGGTTAGTTATTCTTATAATGCTATAACGACAAAGAGGCAGTTGCGAATGATTGCTGAAGAAATGCCATGGATTGAAGTGTTGAAGCCGCTGGAGAAGGTGTTTGGTAGTTATGGGGATATAGGTATGGGTGGAATGATGGATTGGAATGAAGTTGTTAATAAGATTGTGTTGAAGTTAGGTGGGTATCCTGAAGTTATCGATGAAGAGGATGAGGAGGACGAGGAGGATAGTGAAACTGTTCTGCGAAGTGGGAAGGATGTGAAAAAGTCAAAGGAACAGTTGGCTGACAAAGAGAGCAGTCTGGCTATTGTTGACGACGACGACGACGACGATGACGATGACGATGACGATGACGATGACGATGACGACGATGACGATGATGACGATGATGACACTGCAGAAGATGCAGGAAGTCAACTCAAGATGGAACATAGGGTAAATGGTGACCAACATTTCTATAAACCTAAACCACAATCTCATCATAATAATGGCGATACTTCCTCCCAACCTGTCTCAGTATCGCTAGATTTAGGATCCAAGTCAGATCAATCACGTTGATTCAATATGGTATACATATATATACTATCTAGCTATTTTCTTAACCCTGTAACAACATGTTTGATCTACGACCAGAGAAATTTTGTGTGGTATCTCACTCAGCTAATTGGAAACTGCAAAATAACTACAGAGTGGTGTGTACTTATTGGTAAAATTACATCGTTACATACATACATACATATACAAAGGGTGGATTCATATATCATTTAGTTGTTTAATTTTTTCATCACGCCAAGCAAAATAGTCATCACCAATCATCGTCGAAGTGTCGTTGCCTATACTTGTCGTCCCCACGCTGCTTACTCTTTCACGCAGACAACCAACAAAACCTGGCGCAATCTCATCTATCTTCCCAATATTGTTGTTGTTGTTGTTGCTGTAAGTATCAGTACTATTATTCTCCTTTTCTTCCGAAGTTCCACTACTATACTGATTTGGCCTATTTGTAAATCGCTTAATGCTTCTACTGTTGCCCTGGGTATTCAAATTCGTGGTTGACATCTTTAATGGTGATGTAAGCGGTTTCAATTCAGTTGTTGGAGGTTTGGACGTGAATGAACTAGTGCGTGTTGCAGATATTGGACTATTTGCACTTAAGGTAGATGAATTTATGGCGCTATTAGACAGCGAACTGAGCAAAGACCTTAGGGTAGTGCTATTGTTGGTGGTTGAATTTGTATGAATGTTAGCTCTTGCGGTGGTTGTTGATGTTGTCTGGCGTGTATTTGTTGGCGACTTGATTATTTTAGCTCTAGTGCCAGTTGGCGCAGCAGGAGGTATTTTTGTCGACATGAACCGCAGTTTGGGCTTCTTTTCAGGCGAAAAGTTTCTCGACGAAGTATTGGGTCTCTTGATTGGTGATGTCGAAGCTGATTTGGGCTTGACTCTATTACTTCCCGAATTCAAAAGCTCTGATTCGAGACGCAAGACTTCTTCAAAAAAGTCCTTGCTGTTCATCATTAAGGTTCTCTTTCCCTCTTGGACAACGCGATTGTTATACTTTTTCACCTCCAGTTTCAACGATTCAATCACCCGTGGCATAGTTTTATTGATTCGTTTCCGTATTTTCTCTTCATTAAGCAAAATTTTACACGAGTTCTTGCTTAGTAATCTTGAAGAATCGCGTGAGCTCTCCTGGAGGAATTTCTGATCCTTGATAAGGTCTTGCAATTCGTCATATACCTGCAATACCGGCGCTTTCTGGTTGTATTCTTCATTCAACTTCTTGACTTCGTCTTCATGGATATTTAATACCGTCTCTTTGTCTTCCCCGTCGTCATTATCAGGATCATAGTTAAAATACTGAAACTCAGACCGCATTCCTTGCGAGTAAAACATCTTATCCCAAAGACTTTCAATTTCAACTCTGGTATCAGATATGAAACTTTCGATATACTCCGATCTCTTAATATAAAGCCTATTCAATTCCATTTTGAAGTTAAGGAGGGAAAGATCTGATAAATTGTTATTGCTCAGCATAAAATTATCAATGTACTCGTCGCTCTCTCCAAGACGTTTCCACAACTGCATACATGAGTCTGAATATGATTTCCATTTGTCGCGCTTTTCAGTAATTTTGGCATCAACCAAATTTTGAATCTGTATTAGATGATTAATATTTTCATCGTGTAAGCCAAACTCTAGAGGATCACGTAGTATTAACCCCAATGTCTGCCTGTCTAGAAAACCTTCATTTCCACCTATTTCATTCTTCTGTAGTTCAGCCAAGTGATCATCTGAAAGTTGAAGGAATTCAATAGAATCAAGACATTTGTGAATAACTTCGACAATGGTGCTTTTCCTAACATCCAACAGTTCACGTCCTACCTTAATCTCCCTCTGCAAACTCTGGATCAAGTCTGTAGAGATTCTGGTGAATTTCAAGCTTCGCATTATTCGAACCAATTGGTAATTAACCTCTCTTAATCGCTTTATATTGACCTGGCTGGATCCATCATGTGTATAGTTTGATTCTTGCAGTGATGATGACTTGACAGGACTAGCTAGGACAAATATGTCATTTTCATTTTGATCTGGAGTTTGAGTAGTGTTGATGGTCATAATCAAGTTACCAAACTCCTCCATCACTTCACGATGCATTTCGGCTTCATTCAAGGGCGGCATTGTGCTAATCACTTGAGGATCAAATTCTGAAATTCCAATTGTAACGACAAGTTTTGCACATTCTATATTTAGGGAATTATATTGCTTGTATAATCTGACAAATATTTTCAAAACATCAATAAAAATTACATTCAATCTGGACCTCAGTTCTAAAAGATTCAATTCTGGAATGTTTTTAACCATGTAATCGTATTGCTGCTCCAACGTCAATTCATCACCAAGCTTTGATTGTTGAAATGCGGAACTTGTCATCTTTGATAAAATCTGCTCTTTGTAACCATCAATATACTGTTGATGATTATTGAACACAAGACCCTTTTGTAATAGTGATAGTGACTTGTCTCCTTTTGAATCGTTCACCATCGATAATATAACTTGAATCTGTTGTTTTAACCACTCACATTCGTTTTCAATGGTATTCTTCTCCCGCTGTAGATTGTTTGCAAAATTATTGATTGTATCCTGAACAATGGTGAATATTTCTGCTTTTTTCAATTTCATTTCCGATGATGAGTAGCCGATAACTTTGTATATCGACTCCAATTCCAGTATGGCATTGTTAATTTTGAATTCAATGGAGTCAAATTGCGAATTCATATCTTCATCATCATCATTGCCCTCCTGTAGTCGACTTTGGTCATCAGCTGCCAATGTTGACAGCAGAACCATCCGTTCTATTTCTTCAATGGGAGACCTAGAGCACAGTCGAAAGTACTCAGTCGTCACTTGGCTATTATTGGAGTGGGATTTTGGCGTACTCTGTATCGATGCCATCGTTGGGTGATCGCGGGATGAATTGTTGCGTTGGTACGATGTTTGGTTGGGCAGTAGGTTGTGGTTAAAATTGTTGTAGAAGCTCATTCTATTATGGACTGCTGGCTATATATGTTACTTGTCTACCCCTGCCTATTGAATTAATGATGAATGAAACGACAGTGGTGATCATTTGTTCTTCCTATAGATTTAATACTTTTGATATGGGAAGCGTTTTTTTTATTGTTTACGCATTTCCCAATCGGTAACAAAAGTAAACATAGACATTATCAACAGAAATAAAAAAAAAACTGAGAATGATTTATATCAAAGCTGTATACTCATTATCATAACACACTGAAATATATAAACTGTACATCTACAGATTCGGTTTACATTTGTCTACATATCTCAGTAAGCATCTTCATCTAAGAGATGCGAAGCAGCATTGTCAGCGTTGTTAGGCAAGAAATTAGCGCTCAATCGATCCAATGCCTTTTTGTTTTCTCTTCTATTCAATGTCATACTCCACTTATACTTGTATGCATCTTTAGCAGGCTCAGGGTCTCTACAGATATTGATAAAGTCACTCAATTCTCTTGATGTAACTTTGACCCCCATATCAGTCAACTCTTTCATTAAAAACTTGAATCTTCTCAGATCGCCTTCGTCATGATACTTTTTGATAAATGGGAATACTTGATGGAAAGTGAGTAGCTTTCCCTTGTCTTTGGCAAATCGTACCACTTCTGTTGCAAATGTAAAGTCGTTATATTTAGTTATCGCAACTCTCGATAGCTTTTGCAATGTTGTTGAAGATACTCTATTTCTCTTCAAGTCTAGTGTCTTGTAATAATCAAACATTGCTTTCGCAAGGTAGTAATTACCAGGAGGTACAACTGTATTCCGTTCAACGTCTTCGTTGACGTAAAGCAAGAAATCGAAAAAGACACCCAACGGCTTATCATCGGGTTCACTAAGTGAATTATTTGCCATAAAGTCGACGTAAAGATGAAAATATTTGTTAATGACGGATGCATCATGCCTTTGGCTCTTTTCCATTGAGTTAAATAGCACTTGATAAACATAGGCTAAGGCCCTACTAGTTAATTTGGATTTTTTCAAATTTTGGTCAACATTGGCAGCCTGTACAACCCTTGTCGAGGTAATTTTTGAAGCAATTGTCGATTCATAAGGGTAACTGAGTACACCAAGCTCGTTCAAAATGTATATTCCTGATCGTTCACTTTGTGGTGCTCCAAATAATGCACTAACATATCCAAGAATCACTTTAGGAGAAGAGCTGAATTTGTCACGCATCAACAACAATATCTCATCGACAATTATGTTCTTTTTGTTTCTTTTGAGTGTATCCAATTGAATTCCTGTCAAGACGGTAATAAATTGCTCATACTCCTTTGCTTTCCTCAATGTCTTTAGTAAAATCAAAAGGCTCTCGAGCTCGACATTGAAATTTTCATCTTTCATAAACTTCAAAACTTGAGTTGCACTCGAGACACTCTTGAATCTAATGATCAAGTTAAGTACACAATTGAGAACCACCTGCACTCGTTCTTTGGTATAGGACTCAGACCTGTTCGCCAGCTCACTTCTACCTTCCCGCTCAAGCTTGGACACCATAAAACTTAGGAATAACGAAGCTCTGGCAGGGTCGTTCTGAAGCAGGTAGTTGTCACAAATTGCTTTCAATTCAGCAAACGAGTAAAATTCAATAATTCGTGACGTGTGTATTGGGTTAAACTTTGTCTTGTTCAAATCAAACCACCTTGGATTGATGTACCCGGTATTGGCAATAAACTTTGATCTGGGGGAAACCGTAAAGAGACTTTCGCGAAATTCAGTGAATGTAATTTTGGATTTAGGTCTGATATTCAAGTGTAGCAAATATGAATATAGGTTTGAATAGTTGTCTTCTCCAATGATGTCGAGTATGGTTTGAAAGACTTTCTTATCGATAAAAATGGGTAGTGAATTGACCATTTCCGTTTCGGCTACACCTTCAAAAAAATCAAGCAAAGCATTTGACTTGTCGGCTATTTGAATGTCAGATTTTAATAAATATAGAAGCGCTTTCGTAAAGCTAGCGCGTGTGTAATGAGATTGGGGCTCGGCAATGAATCGCATGTAGACTTTCGGAATCTCGTTATGCGCCAAAGACTCGATAACATTTCTGAAAACAACCTTCTTCATCTCATCGTCTGCCAACAAGTGGTAAATCCGACTAGCTTGTTTTGGATTTGAAATGACGAGATCCTTTATGGCCAGAGACACGGTGAAACACGCATCTGCTTTTTCTTCCATAGAGCTATATCTAATTGAGCTTAGATGTCGAAGTTCCCTCTTTGTCAAATGTCGAAGCTTTTCAACATCCAACAGACATAATGGGTTTGGTGATACGTCAGGCAGTATATCCAAAATAGAAAGCGGACGACCCACCGGCTTTAGTATTTGTGGAGGTATTGAAGGCTCAAGTGTAGCATTATGAAAGTTTAATGTACTCGTGGTAAAGTAGGACACAAATTTCGCTTGCTTCAAGTTTCGTATCCTTCCCCTACTATGAATTCTTATACATTGGGGCAACCATTGAAGTCGAAGCATTTAGTTGAAGTTGTTGCAGTCAGATCGAATCAGGTTGAAATTTTTTCTGTTCTGTTTTTCTCTCTTTAAAAAAGACGTTCTTCTATTAAAAGGTACACTGAATAACCAAATCTAAAACTCCTACAAACTCTATATTCCTACCCTTCCACTATGCTCTATCTCTTCCCATGGCTCTAATGACATTGTTGAAGTGTTTCTGCCATTGTTACGGTATAAATATTTTTGATAAAAATAAGCGGCATCAAAAACAATTGTCCCCGAGCTTCCTATTATATATGGCAACTCTTTGTATATAAAATCAGCTTTATCATCCCCAAAAACAAAGGAGCAGCTTGTTAGTATCGACAAAGTGTATGCCAAGTTACCTAACAAAGCAGATCCGAAGAGCATCGGCGATATTCCTTCAACGGATTTTCTTTTGTAATTTTTGTACAACTGAGGACACCTTGAACTGCAGTAGACTAAGGTACACCCCCAAGCTAATACAAGCCCCCATGAAGTAACTGCTGAGCTGGTAGTGTCTGAGCTTATCTGTAAGGCACTCGCCTTCCCGCTATTCAAGACTGCAGCTACCGCAACGTTCCTTAACATGGAGCTCGACTCCTCAGTGGAATCATAGCTGCTTGATACGCTTCCATCATTGAGCGCTTGGTGTTCTCTGCTATGTTTGTGCTTAATATTTAAACCCTCACTGTGTATCGACACATCTTTATTATCTGTCACCTCATCTCTCACCACTGGATCTACCGGCTGATAAATGGAAGGTACTGTGGTTGGGTAGATACTGTTATAGTAGTAGTACTGGAAACACAATGTCACGTCATTACAAAGGAAAAAGATGCTCAAATACAATTGGAAATTCAAGACAGCATCATTCATTAAACAACTGGTGAAGCTGAGGAAATCACCAAGGAACCATAGTAGAAGAAACAGCGGAGGTATACCTTCAGCCGACTTGAGCTTATAGTTGGTTATAATTTGGGGAAGTTGGGCAAATATCCAACTTGTACATGATATGAAACTGAAACTGCTGGAAATAAAGGAAAAGGTTGAGCACGTAGGCATGGTGCAAATGATGTACTGGATTGATGTGCTGAAAGTTTGTGATATTACACTGTAAAGTGAATGTATGTTACTATCTTCTAAGAAAATGTCGCTCTAGATGTGGTTGCACTTGATAGGCATATTTTGTTGTGTATTTTTTCTTATGTTTTTTTTTTTGGTACCTTTTATCAAAAGTTAGTCATACACAGCGGTTAGTAATAATGAAATTACCTAATTGGGAAGAGTTATGCGCGCGCTACATAAAAGATTCAATAGACACATCTTTTCTGTCATTCTCTCTATCTATGTTTTATACATCGAATCTAAAAATGCTGCAATCAACTTATCAGCCAACCCAGCAGTATGAATACTCCCAGCAACACCGTACATGGCTGCTGTGTCTCCCGTGGTCTGGCCATGCTCTTTCACATACTCGACAGCCTTTTCGGTGCTCGACACAAGGTCACCAATCAATTCATCAATGACTGGGACAGTCAACCTTGTAAGAGCAAAATGTAAAGCAGCTGGATGTTGCAAGGTGGCAAAATGCCATCCCTTTTTACCCAATAAATCGCCCAATTCGTAAATGGACAAGTTCTTAGCTTGATTTGACCTCACTTTGAATGCAATGACTGAGCCTAAAGGATCTCCAATAACTTCCAAGTACTTGGACAAAACAGGATTGGTTTCAATAGCCTCTCTAAGCTTCATGGTGGCACTCACAATGTCAAAACAGTTCTTCCTGTATCCTTCTCTACCGATATGCACTAACGTAGCCCAGCATCCAACCATTAATGCACCAGGTCTGGATCCAGCTAAAGTAGGAGACCCATACATACCACCGGTCCAATCACTGGAGATGTAGTACTGGCATTCACGCATTTTGGGTGATCTGTACATGATAATAGACGAGCCTTTGGGAGCAAAACCGTATTTATGAGTATCGCATGAAATTGAAGTAACTCCAGGTAATCTAAAGTCAAATACAGGCAACTTGCGTGACCCATGAACTTTTGAAGCTTCTAAAAATGTGACAATGAATGAACCAAGACATGCATCGACATGCAATGGGATATCATACTTGACTGCGAGTTTTGACAATGCTTCGATATCATCAATAATACCATGTGGGTAATTAGGTGCCGAACCAACAAGGAGCACTGTATTCTTATTAATCAAGCGCTTCACCTTGCCGATATCGACCTTGTACGTTTTTGGATCCAAGTCAACCTTATGAAGCTTCATTCCGAAATAATAACAGGCCTTTTCAATACCAGCATGAACGGTAATGGGAGCAATAACTTCAGGAGCTGTTACACCCTTGTGTCTTTTTGCATATTCACGTGCTGCCAATCCAGTCAATAACAAAGACTCGGTTCCACCTGATGTAGTGCATCCACATGCTCCATCGGGAGCATTGAAAATGTCCAATACCATAGCTACTACCTCAGCTTCCATTTTACGTACTCCAGGGAACACGTCGGGGTGTAATTGATTAGCCACGCTATACTTGTGGTACGCTTCCAGCTGCAATTTCAACAAGTCATCTCCACCATGATACACAGCACCACTGACTCTACCATTAATCCAATCAGTATGTTTCAAGTCTTGTAACTTTACCAACTCATCATTAACCGCTGTATTAGATAACCCTTTGTTGGGCAATTCTGAAAATTGCTTCAAACTGTCGTCATTTTGAATCACCAGCTTTTCAATTTGCGCAATGCTTTCTTGTAATCCCTTGTCAACTTTGCTCTTGATAAATGGTAATTCCATAACTCTTTGCGAAATACCAGTCAAAACGACACGGTAGACTTTTTTCACAATTCCGAAGATTCCGTAGCTCCAAACGGCTTGCATGACTTTCAACACGAGATTGTAGACAAAAAGAATGAAAAACACGTCTCTTGTTAAGTAAATACAACCCCAAACTCTATCATTAGTGGAAAAGTATTGAACCAATATTAAAAGCTTGATTTGGTGGTAGATGGTGAACAATACCACTGGGATGTCTTCGATACTCTTTGGCCAATCGAAAGAAATATCAACTGGTGCCATATTGCTTGGTATACTTTGTTACTTAATTGAAGACAACTAGTATCTGACTCTTGAAAAAATAATGGCGATGATATGCAAATGAAAAGTGGTGAAATATTATTTATATCTTGTGGGTGTGTGAGATTTATCAGTTTATATACAAGAAACCGGTGTGGGCGGACTTTTGGTTTGATAACTTTTACACGACCAGTGGGGAAGTAGGCATGTGTGACTTTGTGTAATCTTCTATTATTAAAGTCTCATTCAAGCCCAATGCAGCTGAACCAAGGGAAGTTAAGGAGATAGTTAAATGCAGCCGTTGGTGGGTAAGGTTATTCATACAACTTGTGCGTATCTCCTGATGTCTCGTCTTGACAACAGCACTAGCAGCAACGCTAGAGGCAAATGGCTACGAGTCATGGAAAAAAATGTATTGAAAAACTGAGAACAAAAATTTATCCGCATTTATATCAGTGGGTTCAACCTTCCCGATTTGGAAAGATTTGAACTTCTATTTTTAAACACTTTATCAAAAGGTGCAAAGACAGTCTTGGTAATCTTCGCTGTTGTATTACACTGGAACGGATTTAACCCCTTCAACGGGGAAATTAACCTACACCTTTGTTGTTGATTCTAAACGACTATTCAGTTTGTACAAAATCAAACTAAATCTTCTATATATAACCAATATTCCAACATTCATTTTGTATTGATGTATCTTAGTTGGTCTATAGAGTCGAAATATCAGTATGGAAAGAGGTGCCTCATAATCAACAAAGTACTCGCATTAAAAGATCCAGCTTTATATTTAGAAATAAACGCTACACATATACTCAATTTAATCCAAGGACAATCCCAAGGCTTCTCTTTGACTCTGTGACCCGGGGTCAAAATAACCAGTATCAGCCAAAGCAGTAACTCTAGTTCCATGACGTCCATTGATACTCTCTTCCGAATGGATAACATTGTGGTTGGAAATTCTATTGTCCCAGAGAGCTGAAGTACCTCTGTAAGTTTGTTCTCCTTCAGCCGGTGATTTCAACCCAGGCAATTGTTGTTGCCAGTTGAAGGTGACTTGGATATCTCTATTTTCTTCAACGACTTTGAACAAGTATTCCAAGATAAGATCAGATTCAGGCTTCAATAATCCCACAATTCTATCAGTCATTGACCTATTGACAAACAAGTACTTCCAGCCGGTTGCAGGATGAGTTCTAACAATGGGGTGTTCTCTCTCGACATGTTTGGGACCTCTCAATGGGTTCTTGCGGTCCAAGTACACATGTGCACTCTTGTAAATAGCAGTCTTACCATCTAAGAACTCTTTCAAAGCAGGGGATAACTTATCATAAGCGCCATAAGTTGAACTCCAGATTGTTTCACCGCCAAATGGTGGAATGGCATCGAGATGCAAGTGAGTGATACCGGCAGTTTGGTGCTCGTGCACCAAGTCACTATGCCATTGAGAGTTACCCAATTTTGAGTTTTTAAAAGTCAATGGGATACCAAATCTACCTTTAGCGTATTCTTGCCAAATGGTGGTGACTCCCTTAAGATCACGACCAGCTCTTGCGGCTTGTGGGTGAACTTCAACTTGACCCCAGTAGTGGCCAAGTTCCAATTGCTTTTGTGGTGACAAATCTTGATCCTTGAAAAAGACAACGACTCTTTCGGCAATCAACAATGCCAATTCATCTTTTTGTTGGTCGGTTAAATCACTCAATTGCAAACCAACAATTTCAGTTCCAATGTATGGAGTTAAGTGAATAACATCCTTAGCTGCACCAAACAAGGCCTTCTTTTCAGGATCAGCATTTTTTCCACGTTCAATAAACGGGTAATCTTCACTTCTAATGGCAAATGCTTCATCGACGAATTTGGGAATTTGGTCACTTTCTGGAATGTATGGGTAACCTTCTGAAAGATCAACGCCATACTTTTCATATCTTTCTCTAGTGGTTTTTGGTAAACGATGAACCCAGTCCTTATCTCCTCCAGTGATAATATCTTTCGATGCCTTTGCGAATCCAATAGGTTTCAAGTTGGCTAACTTGAGAACAGTTTCATTATAGTCCTCGTCATTGGTGGCAGCACTAGAAGCAGTGGTAGCTGATTTTGATTTTAAGGGAGTTTGAGTCTCCTCGGGTTTATTAACAATTGATGTTGGTGCCATATTGTGAAAAGTAAAAAGCAGAAGTGATATAGAGCTAGTTGTCTAAGACGAGGGACAAAGTGGAAAATTACGTATTCTTTTATATTCGAAGCTAATACAGAGAATGTCTCACCAGGTGCTTTTATTGTTAACTCCCTTTGTTTCTCCCCTCTCTCCCCTATCTCCCTTTGATTATTAATACAAAGTGCTAATTTATGAAAGCAATATATATATATTAAAAGGTGTGTGTGCGCCACAGTTGTCAATCATACAATCGTGGATGCAAAATTTATTATTTGAGAAAGGTAGTGCAACTTTCCAAATTGATTACCTTATCAACATACAGGAAACTCATAACTAAACCACTGAAACTGTGGAACACTTTCTATTATTAAAACTGACCATGCAATACATAAGCTTCTTGCAAATCACCGGCTCACGACAAGAACTGATTCAATTGATTACTAATTGCAGTTTCTGTTATATAAGTCGGGTTTATAGCGCAAATTAACTGTTTTCTTTCTCCCCAAACCGGATTTAAAAAAACTGTGGCATCACAATAAACAATAAACAATTCACTGATAGATTTAGTTCCTGAACATCTTTTTTATTAACGACAAACACTGCTACAAGTCAAGTCAGAGGGTATACTAAAACAACAATACACAGTCTCGCACTTCTCCGTTATCGGACAAATGCACTCCTCCTAAGTTTAATCCTTTGCATAATTAAATTTCGGATTCAAGGCAATCAAATCCTCAACTTCCTCATCCATCAATTGGTTCACTTTCTTATAACTGGGGATATTCTTAATCATCCGACTCCACTTGGCTAAATTTGGCCACACTTTTCTTAAATCTCGTTTATCATGAGTTATTTCTCTAACGCCATCCAAGTTATCAAATACATTTTCAAATATGGGGAAGCTCAAAATGATATCAGCTGCTGTCAATTTATTGCCCACAAAAAAGCCCGTACCATTCTGGGCCAACCTGTCGTCCAAATACTGCATATTCAACTTCCATTCATGGAGATAGAACCCATTGTTCAATCCCTTTGTCACTAACTTGGCCATGCCCTTTAATCCAAATGGCGCCACGTGCTTAGCAACTGAGTTGATTAATAATGTCATTTGAAGATGTTGCAAGGTTCCTTCACTGAAATGCAACCAGTAATCCACTTCCAACTGTTCACTGAGATCAGTAGGATTTAAAATATAATTGCGATCGTAAAAGCGCAACAAGTATTGCATTATAAATCCACTTTCGGCAAGTTTCATGCTGGGCCTGCCATCACCAAATATAATCTCCAACACGGGTGCTTTACCCGTGGGGTGGGCATCAAATAGCTCTACGGGACCACGCCACGTTTCTGGGTGTCGTAAGTATATCTTGACCTCGTAATCTAATTGTAGAATCTCTAATAACCATAATATCCTTTGTGCTCGAGAGTCATCAAGCCTAAAAGCGTCAAAAAAGTTAGTAAGCCCATTTCGTGCCTTTGTGCTCTGTAGAAACTGCGTACCAATGTAAGATGAATCTGTCTTCTGGGTGTGCTGGTTGACGTGCCATAGTCATAGTTTTAGGTATTTAAAGCCTTGTTTGTTTTGAAATCAAAGATAAAAACAAAAACAAAAAACAAGAAAACAAAATGAAGTGGATACCTGTATATATATTTATACAACTTTTGGACCTTTGGTCTATCACCTTCTCGATACGGTCATGCGTATACCCCAAATAGTATCGCGGGAGTGATTTTTTTATCTTATACCTTATTTAGAATGTTCAGATGAGGTAAGTTTTGTATCTTGTGACAAACTATTTTTTCTCTGTTTTACCCAATTAGGAAAGTAAGCCACCCACTAAAAAGCAATTTTTTTTAGAGTTTTGTGCCCTTTTATCTCCCCTATTGGGAACATACCCCAAGACAATAAAAAAGTAAAGCAAATTATCATTTGTGCAGTAATATACGACAGTAAAAAGAGTGAATAACAGAGAGTGGGGTCAAGACCAACTTGTAGACCGCTTATCCAAAAAGGAAAACAGGTGTAAGTTTAGGGCGACAACTCACCGACTTCTTTTTATACCGCATTTAGACAATTTATTGTGTTCAAGTTGAAAGCATGAACTATTTTGGTCAGCCGTCCCTTTTTCGGTTATGCATTCTCGTAATTTAGTGAGTGTGAAAGCATTGTAAGAGAGTTGGCTTTACCATTCGCTTTGTAGTGTTTAAAGTTGATTATTCGGCTTGTGTTACTAAAGAAAGAGTTTTCTCGAAATTTTGTACCAATTTGGAGAGAATCGGCAATCACAATCATTAAATTAAACATATTTAAACATTACACTTAAATCCAATTACAACTTAAGTGGACTACTACGTTCATACTTTGCAATCTTTTCATTCACATCCTTCAAGTTCTTTTCCTGACTCAAGTTTTGATAGTACTTATGTAACTCGGGAAATTCATCCACGACAGTTGGACGCAAACCTCTGCCGGTAGTAAAGATGGAAATTATAGGAAAGCTTAAAATGATATCAGCACCCGATAATTTATCTCCCACCAAATACTTGCTTCCTTTCGCATTTTGCGCCTTGGCAATACCATCCAAGTATTTCAAGTTCTTTTCCAACTCGGGGCCGTAATATTTAGCATTGATTCCTTTAACAACGGCGCCGGCGATCCAATTGGCGGGGAATGGGGGAACTTTGGTAGCCATTTGGTTGACTAATAAACCAACCAACAATGGCTGCAAAGTTCCTTCAGCATAGTGGAGAAAGTAGTTGACTTTGTTTTGATCTTGAACACTGGCTGGTTTGAGTTTGGCCTCGGTGTCGTAATTGTCAATCAAGTATTGGACGATCCATCCTGATTCTGCAAGTTGAATCACTTCGCCATCAGGTTTGGTGATTTCAACGACTGGACTCTTACCCAATGGATGAACCTCTTCCAATTCTTTGGGGGCTCTATATTCTTTGTTTCTTTCATAAACTTTCAAGTCATAGGTCAATTTCAATTCATCTAATAACCAAAGAATTCTCTGGGCACGGGAGAAATTCAACCTGGGGTAAAAAAAATTGTTAGTAGGGTGAGGTGACGGAGGCGTCATAATGATGTAATACACACCAGTGAACGGTAATTTTATCTTTTTGAGACATGATGTGTTTTATTATGTTGATATGAGGACTAAGAAAAGTAAATTACAGGGGAGGGGGGCAATTGCAGTGCTTATTTATACTGTTTCAGATTCAGGGGGGCTTGGGGGAGCTAAATTGCTGTACAAATATTATTTATTATTGTTATTTTTCTTTTGTTATTTTCTTGGACACTCGCCACTAACGTTTTTACTCAACTTCCCTCGGATGTACGCAAGAGAAAACGTCCCAAAAGAGTGCAAAAGGCCCAGCTCAAAATTTCTACATATATGGTTGTTTCTTACAAAAAGACAATATTATTGATAAACGAATGTGTGTGTAAAACCTATAAAGTCATCTCTAATGATCTGATTGTCTTACAATTTACCATTGATGACGACATGATCGTGTCCTTTGACCTTCTCAGCAGCTCTGATCCATGCTGGTTCTGAGGTGATATCTTGGAAATATTGGTACATGTCAGGGTAGCTCTCTTTCACTGGCTTGACAGTAGCACTACCATTTGCAACAATAACTTTCTGAACTGGGAAGGACAACATGATATCAGCAGCAGAGATCTTGTCACCAACAAACCATTTTCTACCTTTAGCATGTTGCGCCTTTAAAAAGTCATTCAAGTATTTAACATTCTTTTCCGCTTCGGGGGCGTAGTAACCCAGGTTGATCTTACCTACTACGGTTTTAACCAAAGCACTAATTGGGAAAGAGACTGACTTTGCAGCGACGTTATTAACCAACAAACCTACCAACAATGGTTGGAAGGTGCCTTCAGAATAGTGGTTGAAATAGTCAATCAAGTCCTTATCGTCTTCAGTAGCGGGTTTGAACTTACCTTCGGTATCGTAATGTTCAATCAAGTACTGAGTGATGAAACCTGATTCAGCAAACTTTTTGACAGTCCCATCTGGTTTCTCAACATGAAGTATAGGTGTCTTACCCAATGGATGGTATTTCTTGAAACTTTCTGGAGCTCTAACGTCTTGCACACGCTCTTCCATGTGCAAGTTGAACTCTAATCCCAATTCTTCCAATAACCAAACAATTCTTTGGGCTCTGGAATGTGGTAACCAGAAAAGTGTGATTTTGTCTTCTTGAGCCATTGTACGTGAACTTTAATATGTAATGTAATGTACGAAGAAGAAGAATAAGAAAGAGAAGATAGACCTGCAGCCCACGCAATTTAGGAGAATCTACTCTATTTATATTAACTAATCCTTTTTCCCTCCTTGTTTTCTTATAAATTGCTTCGTATGTATATAATATTACACTAAAATCTTCCGGAGTTAAGTGCATATTTTTCTTAAGAGAAGAGTTGCTTATCAAGAAAGTATACGAGATAAAATATTTCAAACCTTTGATAACTACTATATAAAGCCTCTATACAATTTGTCAAGACATCTGCTAATGGTTCAACTGCGTTACAATTTACCATTGGTGATGACATGGTCGTAATCTTTCACCTTTTCGGCAGCTCTAATCCATGCTGGCTCTGAGGTGATATCTTGGAAGTATTTGAATACATCTGGGTAACTTTCCTTCACTGGTTTAACAGTGGCACCTCTCTCTGATGTAATTACACTTTGAATCGGGAAAGACAACATGATATCAGCAGCAGAGATCTTGTCACCAACAAACCATTTTCTACCTTTAGCATGT